GGGATGGGATGGGTGTCGAGATAATATCAGAAGGGGTCAACGAGAGGATTGGATTTGCAGAGTGAAGTTGTAGTGCTGGATTGACGCCATCGAGCCCGTCTTATATCGAATCGAAGTGAGGTCTCCCCAAGTTTCGTTTATATGTTCACTTTCAACGATGACACTGTTCTGATCTCTTTTATCCCTGTTCCAGAAGCCCGTGCTGTCAACCTTGTTGAACACGTTTTGCAGCGACTTCTCTTCGGCTTCTCCGCATTGCCTTTGTGTCTACTGTTCATTTGGGGGGGACCTCAATGCTCATGCTAGACAAAGCTAATACTAGTGAGCGACGCACTGACTCCTCAGTAATCAGCAATGGCAAGATAAAAGAGATATAAATGGAAGATGGAAAATGGGCTGATGGCCATCCTTTACTCATTATATGTTCGGCTCAAGTAAGAAGCGGTACTTGAACATCTATGGTGATACTCTCCAGAGCAATATCGCATGCAGCCATCAAGACTCATTGAACGAGGTCAATCATCCATTGAGCCGTATCCATAGTGCTGTTCCCTCTCCGCTGAATAAGGCAGACATGGTAAATCGGCATATCCTAGCCATGATGCTTCCCCCCTCTCTTCTTTTCCTCTTCTTACCTAAACACCTAGCTTACCAGCAAACGCCAAGTCATGATATCAATGTTTCGCATTCTCTTGTCTTTTCCGCTGCGTCTCCCTTGCTTGTCTTACTCCTCGATCGACTTGACGCACTCCCACTCGCCGCGCAGATTCTCCTGCCACAGGGAGACCTTGTTGTCTGCACAGCTAACAGCAAGAACGTTGCCGCTCAGGGACCAGCTGACGCGCCAAACCGGGGCCTCAAAGTTGAGCACCTTGCTTGCCCACTGGCCGCCGCTGGACTGGTCCGACGTCCAGATACGGACCGTCTTGTCCTGGGAGGCTGATGCAATGTACGACTTTTGCAGCACGGTGGGAGACCAGGCCACATCGCGGACCCAATCACTGTGACCCGTCAGAGCCTCGCCCTCTTGCTTGTATGATTGCGAAGCAGGGTCAAAGGCCCAGATCTTGATGAGGTTGTCGGAACCTCCCGTGACGAAGCGCCGGTTGCCAGTGGCGCCGGGGCCCGGGGTGCTGCTGACGATGCTGCCGGGCGTGGTGGCCGGCGCCCAGGAGACGGAGTTGACGCCGAGGCCGTGGGCGGGGAATGTGACGTGGTCGACGCTGTTGTCCTTGAACTCGAGGACGCTGACGTTGCCGTCGGAGGATGCGCAAGCGAGGAGGCAGCCCGCCTCGTGGGGAGACCACGAGACGATGTTGACCGAGGCCTTGTGCAGGGGGAAGTCGTAGATTCGCTGCCACTGGCTGTTCTGGGCGCCCTGTTCCTTCCAGATGAAGACTTTTCCGTCGTAGCCGGCCGACGCGAGGATGTTGCCGTACTTGGGATGCGCCCAGGCGACGCACCATACAGCGCCTTCGTGACTGGAGGGCATCATGCAATATTAGCATCTGAAGCGGCTGTCTTGTCCGAGGAGTACAAGCCAGAAAGGACAGGCGTCGTCTCACCCCTTCAGAGTCTCGACCAAGCGTTGTGTCTCGCCCTCAATCTCAAAGATCTTGATCGTCCGGTCGCTGGAGCATGTCGCCAGCTTCCGGCCATAGTAGTCGAGGACGGCATCGTGCTAGAACTCGGTGGTTCGTGTCAGCCAATGCGCCGTCTTTGGTACTCGTCGTCTGGTGTACAGTGAGAGCATGGCGAAGAATTAGGCAGCAGTCTTGTAGCGACATCGAGCTCGATCGAGGCAGGCGACGGTGGGAGTTCAATCAACATACAATCATATCATCGTGGCCAGAGTTGGAGATGACCTGCGCCGCCTGTATAAACATGTTCTCGATTAGCCACCGCGCAATTGCGCCGCGAGGAACAGAGAAGCCCGCGAAGCTTCGGATGGCTTACCATTTTGATGGTGTGACGGCGGTGAGACTGCAATAGAGAGGGCGTGTGCAAGGAGAAGGAGAGTCGGGGACGAGGAAACAAGAAGAAGCGAAGCAATGCGATGAATGGCGAATCTGGCCTGTGCTGCTCAAAGAGGTCGAGTTGATGCCAGCAAGCTTCGGTACGATGCCACAAGGTACCGCGTTAGCGCCGCTGCGGCTGCAGATGGACAAGGGGTCGAGGTACATGGACGTTCTGGGCGCGTGCACGTGATCCAGTGGCAGAGGTACCAGTACAGGGGTGAGCTTCGGGTTCGTGGAGAGCATCGCGACAACAAAACAAAGATGCTTTGATAAGCAAATAAGATGCAGATAGGTAACTAGGTAGAAGCCGTTTGGAACCTTGGAAGTAAGTACTGCATTTGAGGTATCTGGCAAATGTAAGTATGTGATCATTGGTTGATGCAAACTACAACTGATTCCACATGAGAGGACGAGAATACACCAGTACTACTCTAAAGTAAAGAGACAAAGAGTAGAAACAAACAAACCAACAAACAAGAACAGCGATTAATGAGAGCTTCCTCAAGTAGTAAACGATGAAAATCATTATCGCAATGAGTTTGGCAGACGCTCTGAAAATGGAGTCAACGCCGCCAAATCCATCCTGAAATCACATGCAGCCCCCTCATGCCCATCAAACTCCATCCTCCAATCTGAACACCAAAGCTCTCAGATACAAACTCGACATACCCTGAACCTCACGATCAACCACACCGTCAAATCACCCCCAGCAAACACACACACACACACACACACACATAAACATCCCTCACCATGCACCTCATCTTCGACTTTGACGGCACAATCACCGTCAAGGACACAATCTTCCAGCTCGCCCAGTCCGCAATCCACCTCCAGGCCCAGCGCTCCTCCTCCTCCTCCTCCTCCTCCAACGGCAGCCTGCAAACCAAATGGGACGCCATCGTCCGCACGTACGCCGACCAGCACGCCGCCTACGCGGAATCCTTTTCGCCGCCCCAGCACGAGCGGTGCGACCCCGCGCAGGAGCTCGCGTACCTGGCGTCCCTCAGCGGGACGGAAAACGCATCGCTCGACAGGGTCGAGGCGTCGGGCCTGTTTGGGGGGCTGACGCCGGAGGACCTCTTTCGGATGGGCAGGGAGAGGGTTCAGGCCGGGGATGTCGTTGTTAGAGACGGCTTCGTCGAGACGGTGAGGCTGGCGCGGGAGAAGGGCTGGCGGGTGGGCGTCATCTCCGTCAACTGGTCTGCGGCGTTTATCCGAGGCGTGCTGCATCCGCTGGGCGATGATCTACCCATCGTCACGAACTGCATTTCCAGCGACGGCACGATTCACGGGCCCGAGGGCTTCAACGGGGGCGTCCGGCTGACTACGTCCCGCGACAAGGCCAATGTCCTCAGCGAGCTTCTCGCTAGATTTGAGCACCAGCAGCAGCGCTCGCCGGGTCCGACGGTCTACTTTGGCGATTCGACGACGGACATGGAGTGTCTCCTCAAACATCACGGCATCGTCATTGCTGCGGAACAGTCGAGCAGTCTCATGCAAACACTCGAGCGAGTCGGCGTGCGGGTGCCGCATGTCGGGAGCGCGCAGGACGGCGAAGCAGCAGCAAACATTGCCTGGGCACGCGACTTTCGGGAGGTCCTCGAGAGTAAGGTGCTGGAACGCATTGCAAATGGGCTAGCGACGGAATGAATGACGCAACACTTCTTTTTTCGATATCAAGCATGGTGAGGGTCGGGGCATGGGGGGAGTATTTCTCGGCTTATATGAGATTCCTACAAGTACCGGGAGTCGCCGCTCATCTTCTCGTGAGGTGACATGCTTCGATTGTCGAACTACCCAGCCTTCTTCTGCACTCAAAATCCTGTCTGTCACCCTCAACTTTCGCCATCATTCAACCTTTTTCAAAATCATCGCTGCGCAGTCTCATTCCATGCGGCACGCAATGTGTGCTCACGCTCTGTTACCGTCAAGCCACAAAAAAGACGCCCAGGGGCGGAACTTCAAACCGTGCAGCACCAAAGACTATGCCGACATGATGACTCCCCATCATCAAATAGACTCGGCGAACTTGCGCCGAGAGAGCGAACGGTGCATCACGTTGGACCACACAAGCACCTCTCTCGCGGGCAACCCTCGCAAGAACGGCGAGCCCCTTCACAGACGCCAGTCAGAGACGACGGATGGGACTCACAAACCATTCAAACGTGGCAAGCCTATCCGTTACAGACGACGCCTATCTGCCATCTTGGAGGAGCCATGTACACAGCATTAGAAGAAGATGATGAGCTCGCCTTGAATTCGTGAAAGCTATGGAAACATGTTCATGGTTCATGCAACAGAGAACATATAGATACATGGGACTCGCATTAGAGCCCATCCAGGCTTGCGACAACGACGACCCCAACAATAATAGGGGAAGAAATACATGCTCCTTCATAGCAGCAGTATTGAGTCCTTTGTACAAGAAGCAAGGCACAACTCAGTGTGAATCTTGCCATCCTTCAAACACACGGTCCAGGTTGAAAGCCGCGCTGATCAGCGACAGGTGACTGAACGCCTGCGGTGTGTTGCCCAGCTGCTCGCCGCTTCGAGAAATCTCCTCCGAGAACATGGACAGGTGGTTCGAAAATTGGAGCATATTCTGGAAGAGATTCAGGGCCCGAGGCAGGTACTTGGGTTCGTGGATGCTTGCGCGCGTCAGGGCCTCGACGAGCCAAAAAGTGCAAATCGAGAAGGCTCCGTCTCTCCCCCCAACACCTTTAGATGCTCAGATGATTAGCTTCGTCACCCTCTTAGCTTCCGTGTCGAGCCATGACTTACCGTCATCTGACTGGTCAGTATCATAGCGAAACACCAACCCGGTGCTCGTCAGTCCTCCTTCCTCAGGCGGCAGCATGATTGCGTTGAGCGTGCTGGTGAAACGGGGGTCGCTAGGGGAGATGAAGAATACAAGAGGGGCCAGCAAAATGGATGAATCCAGCACGGTTCTGTTTTCGTAGCTCTGAATAAAGGATTTCATCTCCGTGTTGTATCCTGTAGCGTCCCGAGTCAGCACGAAGCTTCAATTTCTGAGAGGGAAGAAGTGTTTGTAAACCTTTCTCCATAATCTCTTCATAGAGGCTATCGCGGGCTTCCAGCCACTTTGCTCTGTTCGGGCATGGGAGACATCTCTTGTCGGCAAGCCGAAGACCGCGGTCAAATGCCACCCAGAGCATGATTTGCGAAATAGTGAAGCGTTGCTTGTCGCCTCGCACCTCCCAGATGGACATGTCGGTATCTATACTTGGTCAACTTACTTGCCCCTGAATAGATATCAAGTAGCAGACTTACCGCCAATAATGGTCAAGACATAATCTGCCGGGCAAGTATGTCAGCAAAACTGTTCCGAGAGCGTCGTGTGATGAACGGTACAGACCTAGCATTCGCCGAACAGCACACCAAATGTCCCAAGACACCGGCTTTCCGTACTTGTTATACAAGTAGATGGAGTCCATCAATTCGCCGTACACATCGAACTGGAGGTGAAATGCGGCACCGTTGCCAATGCGGACAGGGGCACTGCCTCGGTAGCCCTCGAAATGATCCAAGGTAATTTCAGGGATATCCGTCTCCCCGCGAATTGTGAACATGATGGGCAATCCACCATCTGGCCCTACCGACTGAGTGAAGCGCTCCATGATGAACTCCATGTAGGCGTCCGCCTCGGCTTTGAAACCCAGGCGAAGGAGAATATAAATAGTAAAGCTCGAGTCCCGGACCCACGAGTAACGGTAGTCCCAGTTCCTCACGCCCCCTATATCTTCAGGCAACGAGAAGGTAGGGGCGGCAATGATGGCTCCAGTGGGTTCTAGTGCTCATTAGCCATGGCTTCAGAAGATAGTGTGGCTCTTGTGCAGCGTACCGTATGTCAATAACTTGAGAATCATGAGACTCCGAGACACGACTTCTCTCCATCGCCCCTTGTACTTGGACTGAGATATGAAGTTGTACCAAAAAGTCTGCGTATCGTGCTGCTGGACGTCCAAGACTTCGTCCGTGATGACTTCCGTGATGTGGTTGGGAATGTCATTTCTTAGGATAAATGAAACAGATTGGCCAGCAGACAGGGTAAAGCGAGATGTGATGCCTTCGCCAAGCATGCCTTCTCTCAGCTCTTTCTTAAAAGGGATATCCGGATAGCTTTGCCCGGCTGCCGTGTCAACAGCCACGTCAAGTTGAAGCTGAACATGCTTGCTGTGAAAGGTCGCCATCTTGCTTTGCCGGCGCTCACAAGTATGTTTGTCGCACAAAAGTGTCGTCTCGTGGGGATCCAAGCCATAGCCAAAAGCAGGGAATATCTCAACATCTGCGGCAGGTGTGTATTAGTTTGCATACCGCTCTCTGACGCTCCTCACGGGAAGTTTGCTCATGCAAACAATAGCAGTGCAGCATACCTATGGGCAATGAGCCGCGGATACACTCCACTCGTCGTACGGTCCATTTCTTCAGCTCCTCCTGCACATTCGTGGCCTCGCGATAGGCGTTTTGCTTGTAGCCCTTGGTCATGACCTTGGCGCTCTTGGGCCGGGGAAAGAAGTCGACGACGTCCACGACGCCGTCCTCGTGGATGTACCTGGTCTGCAGGATGCACGAGGAGGGCAAGTACTGCTGCTTGGTGGTGCAGCCAATGTCTGGAGCCGGAGAGATGCCAAAGTAGCCGCCCTTGTTCTTATCCAGCAGGCGACAGAAGACGGACGGCGAGTCAAAGTCTGGCCTGCGTCGAAGTTTTAATATCAGATGGACTTGTGACTCAATATGTTGATGGATATCGGCACTCACCAGCACATGAAATCGATGCTGCCGTCGAGGCCGACGAGGGCACAGGTGTGCATGTTGCCCACGATGCCATAGTCCTCGATGGGGAGGTAGCCGCCCGACTGGACTCGGCGATGGGGAACTGAGTGAGAAGTTGCCATTGTGAATGTCAAGTACGAGCGAGGTTGAGTCTATGGTGACAGCTCAGTGTAGGTATGCTGGATGCTTCACGTTGAGCCTCTGCTCCAAGTATCTACTATTGGCAGCTCACTCATAAAAGGACGAGGCTGGACAGAGAGGGCAGAAGCAAGCACGCCGGGAAACGCGGTTTCTCCAATCTAATTATAATACACTATGTGACAACCCCAGTTGGAGGCAGGAACCCCGTCCCCGAGAACCTGCTGCACGAGTACGAGATACATTGCGAGCGTGTCCACCAATATTGGGGCCGAGGTGTGGGCATGTTAGCAGCTGCCGTGAGGTCATCGTTGGCTGCACTAACAAGCCGTCTTGCCGTCTGCTTTGCTCTGTCGGAAGTATGGAGTACGCCGGGGCCGAGTACTAGGTAGGTAGTGAGGGATTTGGCATGGAACCAATGACCCCTCGGGGTCGCAACTACTATTCTGGAACGGATAGTTGCAGAATGACAGGCGGAGGAAATAGAAGGTGCAGCTGAGTCGATAGTCGTGCTGTGCTGATACTGCAATCGAGATTGTGGTGCTCAACCTGACGATGACGTATCGACTTGGCACAAGCTCCATGCAGCTAAGGCAGTACCTTTCCCTGGCAGAATATGTACACAGGAACGCAAGCTGGTAGACATTACACACGTCGCCATATAAACCCTATGGCTGACAATGTTTGTTCTCAAGATAAGAAAAGCCTTTGATATGACGAGTTTTCCTGGCAGGAATTGACAGCTTCCACAGGTATCTATTCATGCAATGCCACAAGGACGAATAAGGTACTTCGTACGCAGTCCCAAGTGTCGGGGCGAAAAAAGGCCGCCACTTCCGAACCAAGCATGAGCCGCGGCTAGCCAATCAACAGCTCAATCACAGAAGTGCGCAGTAATCGGGCGTACAACATACGGATCTAACATCGTGAAGTGCACACGAACCGATTCAACCGTTGAAGTTGGATCATAAACTGGAAAGGCAACGTTCATTGTGATTCTTTGAATTCTCTATGCCGTTGGTGAGAATCATTCATAGTAGAGGGTATCAAATGCCCCAAGCGGCATGATCCCATTGCCTAAACGCCCAAACGCCGGTTCACAGCCTGAACCCCTTTCCACGAAAACCGTACCGTCACTTCCTCCTCTGAAAGTGAACCACCATCCTGTGCCATGTAAATTTCACTTCATCACACAAAAGCGAAGTAGTGTGGAAGCTCAGGAGATCACTGCATGACCAGCACATCTTCCATCTCTTCTCCCTCGTCGTCATCCCCATCTTCATCCATGGCCTCCGCGGCAGCCTCTTTGGCATCGTTGCCGCCCTTGTCTCTATAGGCCTCGCTCAAGCAGTAGTGGTTGGCAAATGGGCCGCTCTTGTTGAGAACAGCAACCTCTTCCAGGACCTGGCGAAGGTAGGAATCCGGCTGCTGGGTTCTCTGCCGCAAGGCCTTCATAGACCAATACTGATACTGCCGGAAGCAATCGAAAATGAGATCGAGAAGCTGGTTCTTGGGAATACGAGCCGCCTTGAGGACTTCGGTCTTCTTGGGTTTGAGAACCGAGGGAGCATTTTTCTGACAAGGTGTGTTAGCAGCAAGACCGGGTGACCGCCGGCAACCAGTAGACGTACGATAAAATTGCCTCCCCAATTGACGGAGCCCGCAGAGCCGGGGTTGATGATGGAAGACGCCTTGTTCCTGCTGATGATTTGAAGCTTCGATTTGGAGTTTTCTGCTTCGAAGATACGCTTCGCCAGGAGCTCCTCTTCCTCTCGAAGGTTTCGCGGTTCGACTCGTAGATCATATCTAATTTTGCCGAATATCTTTGTCTTCTCTGTAGCGAAAAAGTTTAGCATCCTGCGAGCACGCCTACCAATCCAATGACGGGCCAACCATACTCGGAATAGCCTTGCGATAGTAGGGCTGATACCGGCTCCTTCGATCGTAGGTTGGTCTCTCGGTATTGCCATTGTTTCCCCTTTGACGCAGAAGAGCGAGCGGGATCCCTGCGCTGGCCGCCTCAGCTCTCGCCTTGTTCTTGGTTTTGAAGCCCGGCAAGTCCTCCTCGCTGAAGATGAAGGCATTGTTCACGTCCTGGTCGAGAATCTCCAGGTCGTACTCCTTGGGCAGAAGCTGATGCTCGGGAAGGCCCGGGGTGAGAAGCATGCGCAGCTTCGTAAGCTCGCGAGGGCTTCCGTCCGGCAGCGTGTCGCCCTGCGGCTCGTTCCACGTCCGCAGCGTGCCGATCTGGATCTCGTCGTCGTCGCCCAGCTTCTCCGTCAGCTTCACCCAAGCGTCCCACATGTACTTGGGGACGCGCGCAAGGTACAGCGTCTCAAAGGTGTTGCCCGGAACATTCTTGTCGTAGAAATCGAGGTCGCCTGCGTCCTCAAAGAGCTCCTCCTCGTCAATCGCCATGGGCGACGCCGGCTCGGCTTTGACGAACTCCGACTTGACGTTTGAGTCGGCCATGTTGATGCTCCTTCGGCGAGAGCACTAAGAGTTCGAATCGGACTATCGGGCGCGGGCGAGCGAGTCAACGAGCAGCGGCGGCAAGATGGCGGGCGACTCTCTGTTGCGGATGTGAAGATGCAGAAAAAGACCCCAAGGCGTCACCGCGGGCTGGAGCTGTGAGGTGACGAGGTACAAGTCCCAAGTACCGGCGCTAGCCTGACGTGCCCAGCCTTGTTGGAGCGCCGTTTCACTGCTCCGGTGCACTAACAAACAAACTTTAGGCTTCCCAGGTTCCTCTGCCGTCTTCACGCTCGGCACAGTCATGTGACAGCCGCTGCGCATTGACATGCACTGTACCGAGTACGCCTTGAAAGTACCTGTCGAGCGCCGTTTTGAACGGAGACGGACAGCAAACACCAGAAATGGCAGATGCACACATCCGTCGGTTCCACTCCCAGTGACCAACAATTCAGACTTCGCCTCACTTGTGCACTTGCTTGGGCAAACCAAATGCATCAACAAGAGACACTATCTCAATCATCGTCTAATCAAATGGCTACTGAGAGTTATACTCCATAGTAAAGAGCGATTTTCACCCTGGAGCTTAACCGCACGGCTACTTCGTGCACCAAAACTACGAGGGAAGCCTCGCTTTCACGGCGAAAGTCGGAAACGTTTTCCGTCATTACCGAGGCTGGAAGTGGTGTTGATAGCTTCAAGCAGGCAACTGTCACTCTTTTCAGAATCACATTTTGGCCGCGAAGAAGTCGCTGGGTAGTACATATATATTGATACGCTATTCTCATTTTTTTAAGCCTATGTCGAAATCTCATAATGCGCCTTTCAAGCAGATGCGTATTTTCCATAACCATTACCGTAATTCATCCAATCAACCAAACCATCTGCAAGAGATTGTCTTTTTCTCACAACCCGTCGGTTCTATCAGTCAAGTTTCATTGCACCTACTTGCAGCAGTGCATGCCTGAACCAGTCTGAAAAGCATAGTTTCTTTTCGAGCTCAGGAGGCCGGAACATGCCCCTGTGTAAGTGACCTGGGCGACGACGCTGCTATTGTAGCTCATGTGGTCAGAACTTGTGTTGTCAGATATTCATAGCGGGACCACCCAATTTCATTCTGAAAAAGTAAAGCAGCTTCAACAGAATATCGGCACTCTTATAATCCCAAGCATTCGTAGGCCGGATATCTAATCGAGCCATCCGAAATGCGTAGCTTCAAGGCATGTCAGCATGCTTCTCTTCCCCTGAGCGTGAAGTCTTTGTACCCACCAGATATGTAAACCAAATTAGAAGACGCGCGTCGAAGCCATTATCTAGACGGGAACATTCGTGAACAGGTATGAGACCGATTCGCCATTGTGGGTTCGACGAATAGCCTAATAAACGTCAGCGCCCAACGTGAACACATCTTCTAATAGGGATATCATACCTCGGCAAGAGTGCCAGACACATCGATGACCTTGAGCTTGGGGCATCGCTCAGTCTTGTCGCCAACTGCATTTCATGGTTAGACCACACAACTTTGGGGTCAAGGAACTCGACATAACCTACGAGGGACAGCTAATGACATGTTAGCGACACATTGCTCAGAACGTGATACAAGCTCATCAGGGACAGCTTACTGTTGGTGACGACAAGGCCGGACAGATGTGAGTTGTTGATGGTATCAATGGCGGTGCCGCTAAGAATACCGTGCGTTACGATGGCAAAAACTTGACGAGCGCCGTGGCTGTTGAGAGTTTCTGCCGCCTTGGCCAGCTATTGAAGCACCGTTAGCTGCATGACCATGAGAGTGAGAGGTCTGGATGACGCATACAGTTCCGCAGGTATCCGCCATGTCGTCCACCAGGATGGCCACCTTATCCTGGACGTCACCGACAAGAACCATTCGGCCCACGACATTCGGCCGGGGACGCTCCTTGTGAATCAGAGCAAATCCGGTGTTGAGACGATCAGCCAGCGAGGTGGCACGCTTCGCACCGCCGGCATCCGGGGATACAATGACGCAGTTCTCGACGTCTAGGTTCTCGCTGATCCACCGGAGGACGGAGGGCTCGGCATACAGGTTATCTACGGGGACGTTGAAGAAGCCCTGGATCTGGGAGGCATGCAGGTCCATAGTTATGACATGGTTCTAGCGCATGTTAGGGTTACTCAGTTCAGAAGCAGAGCAAGAGGGACGTTGGTTTCAACGCACGCAGCCGGAGACCTGCAGCATGTTGGCAATCAACCTAGCGCTGATGGGCGCGCGGGACTTGTCCTTCTTGTCCTGCCGCGCGTAGGGGTAATTGGGAATGACGGCCGTGATGCGCCTGGCCGAGGCGGTTCGGCAGGCGTGGATCATGATGAGCAGCTCCATGAGGCCGTCGTTGACGTCTCCCGGCGCCGTAGACTGGAGAATGAAGACGTCCTCATCTCGAACCGACTCGCCAATGGAAACACTAGTTTCCTGGTTGGAGTAGTTGAGGCTCATCGTGTTGGCAATGTTAATGCCGAGTCTGCGGCGAAATCAGCCCGGGTCCCGCATGACTGCTGCCTCTCTTGACTGTCCCAGATCTCGTTGCATCGACAATCTTGCGAGACATACCGATTAGCGACTAGAGCACTGAGCTCCGGGTGGGAGCTGCCCGAAATCAGCTTGATCTCGTTTGCCATTTGGTCCAGCATTGCCAAGGATGGTTGCAGATGCCCTTCTGCAGGAGAGAAGAAAAAAAATGTTTGAAGAAAAAAAAAGAGTGGGGGCGGATGAGGAAGGATTCGGTGGTGGTGTGCCGCTGTCGGTGGTAAAGATGAGGCGCTCGTGGTGATATGAGATGCTCAAGAAGGGAAAGATGAAGAGCTGTCCGTTATTGATGCAAGATCTTCTGTAAGGAGTGTTTGTTGACCTTTTTCACTTGAGATATTGAAACTCATCGATCGACGCAACGGCGTTTGAGTCAAACTGGGACTGAACCTTCAAGGAACAACGTTAGTCCTGGTCGGTGGCTTGGACCACCAAACGGACGGTCCTCGGCGTGCGAACTCAATACCCGACCTGTCAATGGACGGAAGTCAAATACTGTGCACTGTGCACAGTGACGAGGAGCTGTTGGGCCGGCTTGCGATACTGTGTCGCTACTTAACCTTCGTACCATTGGCGGGGCCCTGGCCAATCTGTTTTCGGCCTAGCACAATGCACAGAATGGCTCGTGCACGAGGCTGACGACTTGACCCTTTCCAGCAGCCGACGTCAGATAAAGGCCGGCCGCAGCAACCCCGAACCCTTCATCTTGAATCCGCGCATCAACTCAGCCTCACCATCGAAGCCCCGAAGCTTATCTCAACTACACGATCCCCTTTTCTCCTTCGTGCCATTGATTTACTTCTTATGGCGTCTGCTTAACTGCCCAGAAAGCCTTCGTGGGCGGGACATTTGCGCCACGGATTCGCCCAACTCACCTTGTCCTTACCTGTTTGACCCTGACGACGAAAGCCTCACTTTGAACTCAGATCAAACTTTGAGGCGGCCATTTGGTCTGATCTCCTACAACAACAGCCATCCAATTATCATTGTTTACTTTTGTCTAAGCAAGCTTTCACCATCTCAAGCTTTCACCATCCACTCGCCTCACTTTTGACTTTGGTGCTGTTGTTACGCATCTGTAATAGACTGTTCAATACCTACCTATATAAGCCGGGTTCTCCCCCCTCGACATCTGCCCATCATGTCTCCCGTCAAATCACTCAGAGAGCTCTCCATCATGGCGATCTTCCAGAACATCCGCCAGGTCGACAACATCGGCTATCTCAGCTATGAAACCGTCCGCTCTATCCTCTTGAGGGTTGAGAGCGCCGCCCAGCTCCGACAGATTGAGCTGAACTCGCCACAGATCCAGGGCCAGACGGCCGAGCTATGGGTCAGGCTCATTGAGCGCGACTTTCCCCTCGAATCCAGGAACAGGGCGTATCAGCCCAAGGACCCCAAGAACTGGTACAGAGTCTGGGAGAAGTACAAGGTCGAGCAGGAGAAGTTCTTGGAAGAGAGCGAGAACAGGCTCAAGTCCGCCCTCAACAGCCTCAGGCAAGAAGAGGAGAAGAAGACGAGCAAAATTATCGAACTCGGCGCCATTCCCAGCTCGAAGAAGGGTGCCATCAAGCGCCCTCACGCTAGAACCTCCAACACCCTCTCGTTCGGTGGTGGCAGTCGCACCAAGACTGCCAACGGCGCGAGCGTCATGCGCAAGGTGCGCCGCGAGGCCAAGGAGATTGCCCAAATCCACGGCACCCTTTCCCGGCCCATCAGGACGCCGCCTGCACGCTCCGCCGTCACCAAGGCCCCAGAGGCCATGGTCAACGACCACAAAAGGGCTGCCCTGCCACCATATCGCCCTGCCCTTCTCAAGGAACCCCTAAATGACAAGGACTTGGACCCCGTGCTGCTGAGAGAGTTCGAAATCGACCCTGAGAGCCGAATCGAATGGCTCTCAGAGGCTGCCCTCGAGAACTATGAGAGGCGAGCCTCATACCTCTCAGAATCCGATGAGAGCGGTGACAGCGGCCACGCCCAGCCGAAGCAGCCAGCCAGCGCCGCGCCCAAGCCCGCTGCCAAGCTCGCTGCCAGACCCGCCGCACCCAAGGCGCCGATGACCTCCCTCCAGCGCAAATTTGGAGGCTCCAAGTCTGCTTTAAGGGCGCCGCTCGCTCCCTCCGCGCCCGTCATCAAGGCACGGGAGCCGGAGCCAAAGCCGGAGTCAGAGCAGTCAAAGGCCAAGCGGCCTCGACTTCGCCCGTATCCTGCGCCAGATCTGCCCAAGGCGCCGACCTCTTCGTCCTGTGATGAAGAAGACCAACCTGAGTCGTGGCTTGAAGTCCTCGACAAAGTCGACGCTAAGGTTGAGGCGGAGAGGGAAGCTCGAGCACCGGCCGGAAACGCAAGGGTTGCCCAGATCATCCGCAAGCGCAACAATCCGGACCTCTTTGCGACGCATCCCAGGAAGAAGGGGTTCCGTTGAGCTGGGAGGGCGATGTTTGTTTCTCCTTTGTTGGCTGGGAATCTGTGGGGCTTATTGCCATAACCCTCCTGTCGTTGTTTCACCCTTTTTCCTTTCTCTTGATACCTGAGGCGAGATATACCCACGACGATTGCTTATTGGAGGAGTTTCGGTACAGCCTTTGCGGCTTTGGAATTTGGTACAGCCTTTGCGGCTTTGGAATTTGGTACAGCCTTTGAGGCTCTGGAACTTGTGTTTGCGGAAAAGGGCGCGGGATGTGTGTGTTTTTTTCCTCGTCTTTGGTTTTGGTTCGGACTAGATGGACGGTTACTTGCAGACAACACTCGGCTGCACGTATACTAGTAGAAGCGGTTACAGGACTTTCAATAGAAAAGGTTTTCGGACCACACCTATGTTTGTGCTTTCATCAAGTGAAAACCCCTTTTTTTTGGCCCTTATAATGATGCGTGATTGTCATTAATTACTTCCAGCCGCCATCGTATATCCGTTCACGAAAGCTCGATCCCAACTGCCTTCTTCGGCCCATGTGTTACCGTCAAGACAACGTCCATTTCCCAAGACAGAGGACACAGCATCATAGAGAGCTTCAAATGTATTTCCATAGCTCAATCTATCAAATGGCCCAATGTACGCACGTAACTGGCAGCAAAAGCCCCGTTATATCAAGCCACCCAAACTGTTGCCTTTTTAACAGAATACTTTCCTCCCCTCTCACCTCTCGGGTTCCCCCCCTTTCAAGAAGACATATAAGGTCGACATCATCGCTTCGCTTCGGCGTGGTTCCGTCGCTAACAAACAAAATCCATCCTCATCCAAAGTACCGTCCCCCCCTAAGGGCGAGGACGAGATGCAGAGTGTCGCCTGCGACAAGGTTGTACTCGGCCGCGGTCTTGTCGTCGGTCCTGCACAATCATCGAATTAGTCAGCTGCGATGTTGTGTGTCTGGCCTGGCACCTGCTCTCGGGTTTTGCTTTGGAATGGGGGGGTGTGTGAATGGGGGTTGTGGCAAGGGGGGTTTTTTTTTCGTACATTTGCTTGCCGCCGTGGATGAGGCGCTGTTGCACGGGCGGGATGCCCTCCTTCTCCTCGACCTTTTCCTTGATCTGGGACACCTGCGCCGGGTGGGAGGAGCCTGTTTAGTCTTTCGTTGTCTTTACGATCGGTAGGTAGGGGGGGTCCGAGGCGCGCTGTATACCTTGTAGTCGAGCTCGATGTCGAGCTCAATCTCCTTGCCGGTCAACGTTCGCACCCTGTCAGGTTGTTGCACGCTCCGTGTCAGCCACTTCATGGAAATCATTCGGGTTTGGCAAAGTGTGCCGCCTATCCAGGGAAGCACGGGCGAGGTCTCTCTCTCTCTCTCTCTCTTACTTGATCAACATGTTGGCGGTGGACTTTTGCGAAGTGCCGATGGATGAGCAAGGCTGGTGTGTGGCGTTGAGTGTGTTGACAGAGTTTCGCAGGCGCTTGCACCGACAAAAGAGGTTCTGTCGTGACAAAAATGTTGGTTGGTGAAGGTGACAAGTTCGGGGATTCACAAGGCTGACTGACAGTGACGGCACGGAAAGCTGGAAGTGGGATGTCGGAGCTGGTCTGGTGGGGTTACAGGCATAGGCATGTACCGTTGTACCTGCACCGGCAGCCAGAAGGTTTGATTGGGCATGTCAGGTAGGGGGACTGAGAACAAGGAAGAAGAACATCACTATTTACACTGAAAGTATCAGGGAAAACAGAATGGATCAGAAGCAATAAACAAATGGCATGTCAAATGAGTGTTGATACATCACAGACGCCTCGATAGCGCTCATACAGTCTGAGGGAGGATTCGCAAATGTGTATTTCAGCGACCTTTGCACCAAGTGCCGGGCCCATTACAGCCTCCCTATAGCTCCTATAATACAAGTTTTTTTTCATTACACAGACAAGCATGCAGCGGAGAGTTCATTCCATCTCATCCCCCAATTCACCATTTTTCCTACTCATCCTTCATTTCTTATCCGTCTCCTCAAACACATTCAAGCCCAGGCCTTCGGCATCCAGCATCAGCCTGTTCTTGGCGCCCGACTCTTGCAGCTGCTGCGCAATGAGCCTGGCGTTATCAATCTTCTTCAGCTCCAAGTAGGCCTTGCTCTTCTTGATGGCGTCACCAATCAGCTCGGCGGATCGGGCCTCACCCTGCGCCTTGACGACCATGGCCTGCTTCTCCTGGCGGGCCTTGTCGACGATGAAGGCCGCTCGCTGGGCCTCTTGTTGGGCGACCTGCTTGGCTTCGACAGCGGCTGTGAACTCTGGCGAGAAGGCGAGGTGCTACATCATGAATAGAGGCATTAGAATAGGCTGTAGCAAAGAGAGGCAGGTGGGTGAAGTCGGCGTAGCTTACCGTCAGAGAATGTTGAACCGCGCCGCTCGGCGGGACAGGTTCTCCCGTACTAGTCGAGCCACCATCTCTCGCTGTGTGATGAGCTGGCTGGCGTTGAACTGAGCAACTACGCTCTTCAGGACCTCGTTCACAATCGACGGCAGCACTCGTTCGTCATAGTCGGTTCCGAGCGTCCTGTAGATCTGGGGCAGTGCTTCAATGTTCGGTCTTGAGAGCACACGGCAGGTGATGTTGACCATCTGCAGGTCCTTGGTGCCCGTCAGCGAAGCAACGTTGCGCGGCTTCGCTCGGACGTCGTAGATGACGGGCGTCTCAAACCACGGAATGTTGATGTGTGTTCCTAAAGAAAGAAAGCAAAGCCCTCGTGGTCAGCCTTCTTCTTCCGCGCAAGGACGATCACAAGCAGCCTCCGAAAGGGCCCCCTCACCTTCGCTGTAAATCTCCTTGCTCACGCCCCTCAGCCGCTGGTACTTGATCGCGCGGTGACCACCGTCCACGTTGAACAGCGAGTTGGACAGCAGCCACGCACCGCCCGCCAGCAGCACGCCTCCCACCAGGGCGCCGCCGCCTCCCCGCGGCATCTGCGGTCCTCCTCGTCCGGGATAGCCGCCCCGCGTCTGCATCTGGCGCAGGCGCCGCATCGCCTCCTCCTGCCAATTGTTCGGGTTCGACATCTGCCCTCTTGCTGTGCCTTGCTTTGCGCGCGGGTTGGAACTTGGTGGCTGTCGGTTTCGGGGGCTGTCCCGGGGCATCAACTTGCTGGTGCTGGTGCTGGTGGTTGTTGGTGGTGCGTTCAGCCTCGATGATGTTTGCGACTGCCTTGCCTGCCGCTCAATCTTTCTGCATGAGCTAAGCTTGGGTGGCTCGAGTCCCAGTATTTCAACCAATGGGGTGCGTCAGCTCTTTCCCCGCGCTTCGCCTTGGCAACTCACCCTAGGTATCTAGAAGGTAGGACCGAGAGAGAGGAATCACTTACATAAGAATCATTTTCAGAATGCTGTTTAAGGCATGTCATTCCCACTGGATGGATGGTTTGCACATACATACTAGTAGTCAAGTATTCTCATTGTATCGTGTTCCATTCGTTTTCGTATCGTAGCTAGTAGTAGTGATATCATGTGGGTATATGCTATGGTATGAATTCTGTGCTGGCATCGTCTTCCCTCCTCACCCGACCAACGACACCTCCCAGTCCAATCTCTGCTCTGTTCTTGCAGGACTTCCACAAGCCACAATGTCCATCCAGGGACTAAAGAAGACCGCCTATACTGAACATAAAACCCTGCCATCAAACCCCGAAGCCCGTGTATAAGGACAATCTTGGCTAGGCCGACAAAAGAAACAAGCGGATAACGAGAGTCCTGGCTCATCGAGTGCTCGCACACAAGCTCTTCAACGCCGCGGCCATTATGCCGTAGTCACCAGCGGCTTCCTGGCATACCCGTTGAGCATCCGGAAGCCCGCTCTGCAGTTGCGCCCCTCCTCCATCACAGCATGGACACCCTCCAGACACTTGCCCGCCTCCTTAATGGCCGGGCTAGCAGTCACGGTGTCTGCGAGCCTCAGCTCACCTGAAACCTTCTCCATCTCGCATCGGAGAAGCCACCTCTCCCAGCTCCAGCCGCCGGCGATGCTGCAGACGTTGGCGATATCGTCGGTGCTCCCCATAACCATGGCGTCCATCTGGCAGACCTTGACGTCTGCTCCGGCCGGGCTGTCCTTGGGAGGAGTCGGAGGCTTGACTGCTGGCTTAGCGCCAACGGGGAGGCATACCCAGCCGCGGCGAACATTGCAGAAACCAGCACGAGCAAGCCGGCCCAGCCACAGCTTGGTAGGGCTGGGGTCGTAGCCGAGAGTCTTGAGGGTGAAACCAAACTCCACGCTCTTAGCGAGGCCCAATGGTCCTGCGTTCATGATGTCCGAGTCGAGCAGGGAAAACTCGAGATATCCGCCAGGCTTCAAGACTCGCATGCATTCCTTGAGGCAACTCTCCCACTCGTCCTCGCCGTTCTCTCCAATAAACTTGAGCAGACCGTGGAGCTCGCGGGCGGAAATCAGATCGAACTGGTTGTCTGCAAAGGGAAGCTTCGTCAGCCGATCAACGGCAACTTGACGGTGGTTGGGTGGGCCTCGGATATTGGAGTTGGAGAGCTGGCGGACTGCCTTGGTGGTGACTGTGTAAATCTTGGTGTTGGGATAAAGGAGGGCACAATGCCACGCCCAGTCGCAGCTCGACTGGCCACCAAGATCCAGAATCCGGGCTCTGTCACGGCCAACACCATCTTTTCCGGACCCCATTCGGGAGAGCCGGGCCAGGCGCTTGGTGACGGGTGCAGAAATGAGCTTTCCACCGTTGAGAAACTTGACCGCGGCCACATGCCAGGCAGCCATGGTCATTTGCTTCGTCGCCTCGGCCTCCTTCTCCTTTCGTAGAGTTTCAGGATCATCAGTCAGGATGTCGTCGCCGCGAACGACATTGGCACTGAGGCGCTTCTTGGCAGACTGAGGAACAACGCTGAGCTGATACTTTCCCAGCAACTGGCTGTGATGAGCCGCGCGAAGCGCGACCCTCTGCGCCTGAAGGGCCTCGAAGCGAGCGAGTTGGAAAACGAACACGTCGCTGAGCTGAGCTCGGACAACGTAATCCTGGAAGGCCCTGTAGTACGCGGACTCTTTGCGGAGGAGCTTTGATGGGAGGCTCTTTGCCACCACAGTTGTCGTGATGATGTTGGAAAATCGGACGGTTTTCTTTGTCGTAACATCCTTCTTCTGCCCTGACTCGGACTGGACATGAGCTACCGATTTAGCCTGGTCCTCCTCTTCTTCTTCATCCAGATCCTCCTCAATCGTTGACAAAGCGCCAGTAGACTCAACATCGTCTACGCCCTTGAGGTATGCTCGCTGTGCGACAAGCCACAACTCAGTGCGGTCAAGGTTGGACAGCGCCTCCAGCTGTTGCTTCCGAGCATAGCTGGGGTCGTAGTCCTCGACGATCTCGGTTGCAACGACCTCGGCCTCGGGGGAAGAAGGAGACTTGACAGCTTCGCTTCCTTGACCACTGGTCTCAGCATGGACAATTGGCCTAGCAGTGGGTAAATCATCTTCGTCGACCGCATCAACTGGAGCCTCTACGATGTGCTCAACAGGAGCGGACGACGTCAATCCCACGCTTCGGTAAAAGTCCTCTGCTTCATCCCGCTGGGGCACAGGAGGAATGGAGGCATTGGCGCCGGCGTTGGCATTCCAGGGGCAGCGATAGAATTGCTCTGCTGTCGTTGATGTCGGTGGAACAACATCGATTGGCGAAAGGGTTCGAGGATGCCATGTGTTCCTGCTTCGGGGCGACAGCCCAGAGAAGAAGCCGCCTGGGGACGGAATGCTGAGCCTGGTAAGGCCTGCCAAAGACTGGCGGGCAAGGCTCGATGGAAGACTGGTCCCCCGACTTGTCTGCGGAAAAAAGTTGGTAACAAGTCGGAGAGAGCTCTGTTGCATTTCCATTTGCTGAGGGGGTGCCGCTTGAGTGAGCTCAGCAGCCTGATCATCCTCCTCCTGAGAGTCCTCCTCTTCACTCCCCCCGGACAAGGCGTGTAAAGTTGCTAAAGCTCCGGGCTGCAAATGTACACCTGTCCAGGGGGCCTCCGCGGAGGACTCATCGTTGCCAATCACTGGAGTCGGAGGAGAACTCATCGTCGCGAGTTGCTCCGATGAGAGGCTCCCGTCGAGAGACGGCGGAGCAGAGATAGTGGGGAGAACCAAAGCTTGCTGCTTGCCGAAGAAGTCCATCTGCGCCGGCGACATGGGAAGGTTGGCAGATGGGGTCAGCGGAAGCGGCGAGGTGATCTTCTTGAGCTCATCGACGGCAGTCCAAGTTTCGTCGCCCTCATCTCGTGTAGGAATGGCGATAGGCGTGGGCCCTCGGATGACCGGTTCGAAGACCATGGACGTCGCTCGAGATCTTCGAACGGACGACGAACGGCGCAGTCCACGCTGGGCTTCGTCGTCGGATACATCATAAAGATCGTACAGCTCATCGAATTCGGTACCATCCGTGATCGAGCTGGTTCGGTTCCATGAGTTGGTGTTGGAGAACGACGCCATGGAGCTCTCATCGCCAGATACCGACGACGGCGAGGACGGAAGGATCGGTGCAGCCAGATAATGCACTCCCCTCGGCGTGGGAAAGTGGTCGCTCATCGGTGACAGCCATGCCGTGATGTTGAGATGAGACGTATCAACCCGCTTTCCCTTTGCACCAGCTTGACCATAACCATCCTCGATGTCCTCCTCTATTATGGGATTAAGACCCCGCCTTGAGCTTCGATCCAGCGAAGACTCTTGGGGTTGACGGTTGTTGGGGGTATATGAGGTTGGCTCGGCCATTGTGAAAACTCAGGGCACTATTCCAGATAGTGACCACAATATGTCCAGCAAAAAGGTCAAAAGAAATAATGAAAGAAATAACGAAACTCAAATTAGTAAGTATCGTATAACGAGAAGAGGAAAAAGAAAAAAAATTAATAATATGATAGACTCAAAGACAGTCGACGGCCGGCGACGATATGCGAAAAGGCTCAACGATGGGCTGCTTCGATCAACAAAGCGTCTATTAGTGCATATACAGACAACGCCGCAAAGAAGAGAATAAGAGAGAAGCAAAGGCAAAGAGCGAGAGTTGCCAGCGCTGTTGGTTCGGGATGGTTGCGTCTTATTAGAGATGGAAGACGGCGCTCGATTGGGCGGCTAGATGCCTCTCGGCGCGTAAGGTATACGAAGCCCTCGCTCGTATGACGCCGCGGTGCATCTTGGGCACAGGGTGATGTGGCGCATGGCGAAGCGACACCGCCAGAGGGTCCAATATCGACGTGCCGCGCCGGCGCACCGGATCCTGGCATGGCCTCGTCTATTCGTCTATTCGTCCATGGGCGGCTTGACGGGCATCACCACCCCAGACGAACGGGACTTGGGACGATGTCCATCAGAGGCGCGATCGAGGTCGAGCCGCTATTGGGACAAACGTCCAATCAGCTGCCGCATGCCGGTTCTATATTTGGAAAACTGTCTGGCCCGCGACCTTGGCGATGCGATGACTGGCTGGCGTCTGCACACACACGAGAGCCGTCGTGGGGAGTCGAGCTGGAGCAGCGGCCAATGGCGACGGCTCTCGTGCGAGCTGGGCGGCTAACATGCTTGTCGTCACCAAGGGTGACGGCCGCAGCTGAGAGGGCCGTCTGTATCGTGGCACGATTTCGAACAGTCGAGCCAGCTCGTTGTATGTAGACGCGTAGAAACCCGGTTCGCAATCAAACGGCAACGACTATTGACGCAGGATGAAGTGGTCAAGGCCGTTGTTGATTGAGACGGCGGAGACGGACAGCCTTGAAGCTCACCAGCTTCATCGATGTGCTCACCGTCAACTGTCCAGAAGGCGCGGGTATAGTATGCACCGGGAATTTTTCATCACTGATGCCTCATAAGAGGATGGCGGTTACGGAGGTAGACTGCGCCACGTCTTCGTGTGTACGAGATTCATGTTGAATGCAAGATTCACAAGATTGCCTCCGGAGCGCTCTGGCCTCAGGCGTCGAGCTGCCTCACAGCATCCAGCACGATTACTGGGGAGAGCCACAGGCCAAGCCACAGGGGAAACCCGCCCGCTGAGGCGCCGTGCCAGCAGCGAGAGACAAGGGACGGGACGAAGGTACCTTGGTACCTACATGCGCTCCCATTGCCCATTTCCCCCAATTGACGTCGCCAGCGAAATGCAGCCCCGCCATGGACCGCTGAATTTACCCCGCCACGGTCGTGAACGAACTGGAAAAGACGAGCGACACCAAGAGAGACAAGACACAGCAACGCGTCTTGCTCTTCCCAACAGCCCAGCATCTGCGTTCCAACAATGGCAGACTCAGAACAGCCCGAGGCGCCCGTGGAGCCCCAAGGCAGACATGTGGTTTACTGTGGAGGTACGACAGGCTTCTTTTCCTTCTTGTTTCTCCTTTGCTCCCACCCCTTTGAGTATTTCGTCATTACAGCGAGGCTGCTTCTTGATGGCTGACTTGTGCTTGGATATCCAGTGTGTACTCTGCCGCCAGAGGTATGAGTGAACGAATCCCCTGAACGATGCCTTGATGAACCCCCGAAGCTCAACTATAACCACAAGTAGTACTGCGAGTATGGAGGCACGGTCAAAAAGTGCCAGGAGTGGCTAGAAAAGAACCAGCCGGCCATGTACGAGAGGATATGGTCCGCCGAGGCCCTCGAGGCGGCGACCTCGGCCCTGTCCATCGACGCGCAGAAGCGAGCGGCCAAGGACGCGCAGAAGAAGGCCGCCAAGGCCGAGGCCGCGGAGCAGAAGCAGGCCACCAAGCTCGCCACGAGCGTCGTCACCATCAAGCGCATCGAGAGGAACAAGAAAAAGTTTGTCACGGCCGTCATTGGCCTGGAGGCGTTTGGTCTGGATCTGAAGAAGGTGCGTTTTTGGCGGAGAACTCCATATCCATCCATCGACGATGTAATCACTTGAACTGACTGGTAATCTGTCGATACAGGTCGCCAAGGACTTTGGCAAAAAGTTCGCAACTGGATCATCCGTGACGAAGCTCCCGAGCGGCGGTGAGGAAATCGTGGTTCAGGGAGACGTGAGCGACGAGCTGGAAGAGTTCATTTTGGAGAAGTACAAGGATGTACCGGAAGAAAATATCGAGCTAGTTGACGACAAGAAGAAGAAATGATATTCTTATAAGCAATCATAATATACGCCTTATCCCTGTTGGTCTCAGTCCAACGATGCCGTGGTATTGTTACAGATCCAAACGCCGTTTGCTTGCCAGTGCCAAAACGAAGAAAAACAACCACAATTGAACCAATCTCCCACAAAAGCATTGCCCTGCCCCATCGCCGAGGCTTCTGCCACAAGAATTGCGATGCAGTAAAATACCCATAACGATCCGAGTCCACATCCTCATCCTCTCTTTCTCAAAGTCCTCCTCGTGGTAGTGGTCGACGCGGCGGATCCTGCCTTCGCCGTCGACTTCACTACACCCGCCGAACTGGGCTTTCTCGGACTGCTCATCACGGGCTTTCTTGTAATGGCACCGCTACCCTTGCCCGTAGTCTTGCGGGGCATTGCGTTTGCGCTTGCGTCGCTCGATTCGCCAGTTTCACTAGCTCTGCGCGTTGTTCGAGCTGCCACAGGCTTTCCCGGGGGCCCCTTGGGCGCCACTGTTGTGGTGCGCTTTGTTCGCGCTGCCGCTGCCGCCGTTGCTCCGCCAGAGCTGGAGCTTGAATTGGATGTTGTCGTGACTTTTCTGAGTCCCCTAGTACGCGTCTCTGCCGCCTTATCAGATAGTCCTGAGGCAGTGGCGGGTCGAGAGATGGCAGTCTTCAGAGGAGAGCTGGACTTGTACAGATAGGACTTGGTGGGGGATGTTGCGCGGTTGAAGTTCGTCAAACGAGAGTTGGACGATGTAGGTGACAGAACCAGCGCTGGGCGAACTGGCCCGGCATCCGCGCCGCGAGCTCTCTTGCTAGGACGCTCGCCCTTTTGAAGCTCATTCTCCTTGTCCACGTGAATCTCATTGCTAGCATTGCGGTTAGTCCAGAAGGAAGAGAAAGAGAAACAAAAAAGTACAGCGTATTTAGACGCAATTCACCTCAACCGCTTCTGGGCGCGTCCAACCTGCGGCGCGCGAGTGGTTTGGTGGATAGGCTTCTGAGGACTGGGGAGCAACGGCAGATCCTTGACGGGTTGCGGTAGCGGGCGACTGGGCGCCCGCTGCGCCTGCTCTGCGTATTTGAGGAGCAGGTCGCCCATAGTGGCCTTCCTGAGCGCGGTTGGTATCCGGTTGAGACGGATCTCGATGCGCGACCTGAGGCCCTGCGCTTGGAGATGGTACTGCGCGCGTAATCTGCGAGCCCGCTCGGTGACTGGGAGAGGGCAGGAAAATGAAAGATTAGCGTGAATCCGAGACCTGTCTGTCTGTCGAGGGAACAGCCGCGTACTCTCTAGGCGCAGATTCTCGATCAACGCTTGCTTCTGCTGCAGCGTGATTCCCGTCGGCTTCTTCTGAATGGGGCTTCGCTTGGGGGTGGAAGGGGTGTCGGAGCCGCTGGATGTCGCGCGCTTCTCGAGCGACGAGCCCGACTCTGCCGAGGCCTGCTTTCGCGGTCGCGTAGGAGCCATGGTCTGCGTGGTTGTCTGTGGCTTTGCGCCTGCTTGATAGTGCTCGTGGTTGAGGAGGGAGACGGGAGATGGCAGTGCGAATGAGGGAGTGCGAGTGCGTGCAGCATCGAGTTGCGCCAGAGTGAGACAATGACTTGAAAGTAAACAAACCAAATCGGCGAGCGAGCTATGGATGACATAAGCAATCATACATGACCCACAGAATATGCGGGTTAGGAGAAGGGTAGCGCTACTTCAAAGAACAGCGATTTCTGTGCTGCGATCGTCTGCTGCCAAGTACAGTTACCGCACCCCTAGCGCTCCTGCATGTACCCATCTTGCGCTTACCAGGCTGAACCGCCTTACGACACTCGGAGCTCCAACAGCCGAATCGTCGAACGCAACCTGTGAAGCTACCACCAACTCAACTCATCACAGCCTTCTACTGGTTCCGACTTGCAACTCCATCTCTCGAAAACAGCAGACCGAGCCTCTAGACCTTCATCACTACCAAAGACTACCGGACATCCCGATTCAGCGGCCCAGCGCCCTCAGAAGCAGCTACAATGGTTCTCGAGGCTGTCATGATCGTTGTGGACAACAGCGAAAGCAGCCGAAATGGAGACTACCAGCCGACCAGATTCGACTCACAAGTTGACGCCGTAAACGTGCTGTTTCAGACCATCACCTCGGGCAACCCGGAATCATCCGTCGGCCTGATGAGCATGGGTGGGAAGGGCCCGGAGGTGCTCGTCACCCTCACCACAGAGCAGGGCAAGATTCTGGAAGGCCTGCACAGGACAAAGAAGAAGATTGGCGGATCCTCTCACCTGAAGACGGGTATTCAAATTGCGGCGGTATGGCATTGTCTTCCTTTTAAATCCCGTGTGTGGCTTTGCTACGGTGATGCTTCCAGTGCTAACTGTCTTGTGTGTCTCTAGCTCGCCCTTAAGCACCGACAGAACCGATCCCAGCGCCAACGAATAATAGCATTCGTCTGCTCGCCCGTCGAGGAATCAGAAAAGGAGCTTGTGCAGCTGGCCAAGAAGATGAAGAAGGGCAACATCTCAATCGACTTCGTTCTGTTCGGCGAGCTGGACGACGACGCCACGCAGAAGAAGCTGCAGGCGTTCAACGAGGCCGTCAAGGGCAACGAGGGCTCACACCTGGTCGTCATCCCGCCCAGCAGCAAGCTGTTGAGCGACCAGCTCATCTCGACGCCCATCATGCTTGGCGAAGGGGCTGGAGCGGGCGGCGGCGGCTCTGGCGCTAATGACGAGTTTGAGTTTGGCTTCGACCCGGCGATTGAGCCCGAGCTGGCCCTTGCTCTGCGCATGAGCATGGAGGAAGAAAAGGCTAGGCAAGAGCGGGTAGCAAAGGAGCAAGAGGAGGAGGCAAAGAAGGCGTCCTTGGAGAGTGTCAAGGAAGAGAATGAGGGCAGTGGAAGTGGCAGCGGCAGCGGAGGCAGTGCGGACAAGGACAAGGACAAGGAGGGCGGAGACAAGATGGACACCTCCTGAGCACCGTATTCCTATACTCGATAATCCCGATCCAGTGCAAGGCCTTAGAGGAAGAACGCTAGACATGATAATCACGATTAATTGAGGGCTTTGATATTTGAGTCTAAAGTTTGGTCCCGCGATATTCTTCCAGCCGCTCCCTCCTCACCGATTGTTAATCTCTCTGATGTATGACAATAACTTGCGGTCAAAAATGTCGCATCGGATGGGCATTTCCAATGAGTAAAAGGGGTTCTTCATCACGTAGTCGGCGTACAAGTCGTATATCCTCTTGATGGTGACCTCCACGTTGGTCTGCGTCGTTTCGGTGAAGAGCAGGAACTTGGTGCCGGTCAAAGTATTGAAGCACTGCATGCGAAAGTTTTCCGTCTCGAGCACCTCCAGCCCCGATGAGGGCTCAGGGCGGTTGGGCGGCTCATTCGTGCCCGGAGTAGGGGGCTGTGCCACCGGCTTGACGGGATTCAACCGCGCGGTGATGGCATGAACTCTAGGTACATGGACACAGGATCAAATAAGCATATATGCGGTTTGGTGGGTGGTTTTCTCAAGCGTGTGCCATCTTACCCGTGGAAAGTTCCGGCTAATACGAGAAAGTCGTTTGTGCTGATCTTGTTGAGGCCGCCTTCGTGGAACGTCTTGTTGTATATCAGACCGCCGGCCTTGTTGATGATGACGAGAGAAAAGACGGTCCTTGATTCGGAGACGAAGTCAGGCTAAGAAGGTTCTGGCTTGTGGAAAGGAAGGGAATGGGACGCATACATGTTGTGAATTGAGATTGGATGTGAGCGGATGCGGAAGGATGTAGTCGTTCTATAAGGCCCTTGCAGGCTCATCGACCCATGAAGGCGAGACCATGAATCTAGTAGCCATGAGTGAGTTTGGGGTGCTTGAGTCTGAACAGACAGGGGCGAGATATCCCCTTGCCCGGGAGCGTAGATGTCACGTACCTTGTCTCCGCCGTTGAGCCCGTCTTGAGGATTCAGTCTCTGCTCTTGGATCTTTGAAAGTCGTGTTCCTTCGTGTGTTGTTGCTTGCGAAAAGGAAATGTCCCTTTGAAGCCACCTTCATGAGATGGCGGTGCTTTGGCGGGAGGACGGCGGCACAAGCAACTGAGCCGTCGCTGCTTTTAGATCGAAGCCGGCCCTTGTCTTGCTCTCCTGCAAAAAGCGTCCAGAGGCAAAACGGCGAATATTAGTCGAACAAGGTAATCACGCGTCTATGAGCGAATACTAAGGGGCTTCTATATAACTGCTTTGGAAGTTCTGATTGATTTATTCTTGTTGCGGATTCGCAGTTTGCGTCATGAAAAGAAGAATCTCCCAGTCTATGTATGTGAAGCCGCAATAGAATCTCTCTCGTAGTGCACGGGGTCGAGTGAGAGATATAGCGGCGGCAAGGCTAGTCCCCTTATGGGCGCTCCCAGGACGCGCCTCAAGAGCCAACGCCACTAAACCGTATCTGCCGCTTATTAGGGACCGAGTAGCTTAGAAAGCCGCCTAGAACTTTGCGAGAAGCCTCACTCGTCCCATTGAACCTTGATTTATCCCCAAGCTCCTGTGCCTTTTCCCCCCGGGCATTGCCCAATCTCTCGAATTGACAAGTTAGCGATCCGACTTGAGCCTCTCTTTTATCTTGCCCATCGCTTTCTAGGACTCACAGTGCACGTCTCGAAGAGAAAACTCAGAAGAAACCGTCGAAAGAACAATGTCTCATCGCACGTCACGCCCGAAGCCTCCTCCGCCAGGCAACGAAGAAGCCGGAGCGGTGCTCAACCTGGGCGAGTTCCAGGACGTCGACACCCTCACGCTGTCCGAAGCCGCGCTCGTGCTCAATGCGCTGGTCGCCAAGCGCCGAAACGACCGCAAGAACGTGAACGAGACGGAGTATGTTCTTTCCTGGGGGGCTTCCAAGCCGACATGGGAGGAGGAGGAAGAGAGAACACGATGCGCTTCTTGGCTTCTTGACGGATGGCTGGCTAACTGGGGACTTTCTTTTCCACCTCTGTTCTAGAATGCTGAACCAGACGCTCAACTATCTGGATCACTTTGCGCGCTTCACGCAGAAGGAGAACGTCGAGGCTGTCGAGCGTTTGCTCAGCGCGCACAAGAACCTGGCGAAGTTTGAGAGGGCACAGCTCGGTAATCCACCCTCATTTCCAGAAGAGAAAGAGAGAGGGGAGAGACAAAAGAAAAGAGCGAAAAGAGGAGAGAAAGAAGGGCGGAATTGCTAACAAACTGCTTCGTATCCTACAGGATCACTCTGCTGCGAAAACGCCGACGAGGCCAAGACGCTGATCCCGTCCCTGGCGGATAAGATCTCGGATGAGGACCTGCAAGACCTGCTAGACGAGATTTCAAAGCTCCAGAACCGATGATGTTGACGACGATGAACAACGACAACGACGACAACAACAACGGTGCGAGGTTCTCCTAAACGTTTGTTTTATCTTTTGAGATATATGGCACGTCACGAATTATTGATATGTTACTGCGCGAGGAAAACACACTAGACTGCTGCTGATATACGGGAATAACGCAAGAAACGGGTGGGATACAGGCGGCATCAGGACTGCAAAGGTCTTTGCATCGTCTTTTCCCTTTCAACCCCCTTTGAAAACCCTTCGACTCGATTTCCCACTTTCCTACCTTTTGTTTCTGGGGCGCTTGGGAGAAAGGACATATAATGTGGTCTTCTTTTTTCATGTTTTTTCTTTCCCTGTCTTTTTGTTTTGGCATGCGGACATTGTAAAAGTACGGATAGGGCAGTCTAAATACCCCCTGATAATCTGTGAGAACAAATCACGAAAGAATCGATTACTATATCGTGGTGTCGAACTACGTCACTGTGCCGCCGAAACCTGCGGAGTCGGGTTCAGAAACGAAAGAGTCGCTACCTATTACTTGAACATTTTTCATATGTATCAGTTCCCCAAGCTCCCTTTCGCCTTTTTGATTCGTTGCCCCTTATTTACCGAGAGCATAGCCGTACCGACGATGAAGGCAAACCTTCGAATTTGTGGTACGAAGTCTCGACACCTGATAGAGGAGCAGCACACGTCGTGTGGCCCCCTTCCTTCTTTGCTTCTGCCTCCCTCTCTCCTGTTGTTTGGTTTTCTTCTTTCTTTTTTCTCCCTTTTCTATGTCTTCCTTCTAGAGCATCGCTGCCCTATTTAAGATCTTTGTATTGATAACCCCTTTTCATCCATATCTGGACCTCTCCTATGCCTCATCCCAGGTTCTTGTACTGATTCCAGTGGTTGACATACACCGGCTTGCCATCACCTGCCGGCCCCGACGTGAGGTTAGCACGCGGGTCCGCAGCGGTGACCTCCTGGACGGGCTCAAGGCGGGTTCCCTTGTGAGTGCTCGGGCCCGGGCTCGAGGCGCTCACAGCGGGTAGCTCAACAGGGGCGGCGCTGGTTCCATCCATTTCGAAGGCGCCGCTGGGTGGCCGGTAGGGGTCTTCGGGCTGATCAGCTCGGCCTACGTAAGGGCCATGTTAGCGAGACGAGACACAGACCCGCCAGAGAGAGAGGGGGGGGAGAGAGGGAGAGAGGGAGAGAGAGAGAGTACGCAAAGAGAGAAGAAGAAGAAAAAAAAAACAGGGAGGAAGCTTACCTCCAAAGGGGGCAAAGGGGTCGCTGCTTGCTTGGGTGCCGGTGGTGTGAGCTGATACAGTCTGAGGGAAGTGCTTGTCCTCGACAACTTCGTCTCGGCCGCTGTCCTGCTGGATGGCGGACGCGGTGTCGGACCCGGTCTGCTTCTTGCGGCGGCGGCGGCGCAGTAGAGCGAATGCCAGGACGACGAGGATGGCGACGGCGACGGCGCCGCCAATAGCGATGCCGACGATGACCCCTGTTGATAGAGGGCTTGCTGCTGCTGTGGACGACGACTCAGAAGGGCTTGTTGTGGCGGTATCAGCATCGGTGGATGAGGGCGCTGCTGGCGTGATCTCGGACGTTGCCGAGATTATCGTGCCCGTGAGCGGCACGTCTGTCGTTGATGGAGAAATGTCAGACGTATTGCTGTCCGAGGCGGTCGTTGTTGGCCTGGCCGTGGTGATGGTTGTGTGCCTTGTGACGGTGATGATGGAGTTGTTCGGGATGGTGTGGGTGATGCCCGAGTCCGTCATGGTTGCGGACTTCTTGGACGTTGGCGTGGGCCGTGACGGAGTCGACTTGCCATTGCCATCAGTCGGCGTCGCCTCGTGAGAGTCTGAATCCGTGGGGACCTTCCAGAGCACTCCGTCTGGGCATGAGCGCAGGGCACACGGATCCGTGGAGCAACATCCTCTAAATTGGTTGGCAACACAGGAGTAGAACGTGGTGCCCGGCAGGCAGTCGGTCTCGTCGCGGACGAGCAGCGGGTTGGGAGACATCATGATGACCGGGTTTGAGAGAAAGGAGATGGATTTTGCCCTTGTCTTCTTCTCCTTTTTGCCCCCCTTGAGGAGCGAGAGAGAACAAAGAAGAAACTCGGCGAAAACTCCTTCTCCTCTTTTTTTTTCTTCTTGCTGGTAGTTGAATATTCAGGTTCGTTTAACCAAAGCCCTGACTGGGGCCGGTAGGCGAATCAAGTCGGCCTGCAGGCCAGCTGGTGGCAGCTGGTCGGGGGAAACTGTCAGTTCCGGAAGACTCTCTGACAAACGTAGGCCCCTGGAGTTCTGCGTCAGGCCCAAGAGCTGAGAGATGGAGCTTCCCGCGCCCCCCCTTGGCTGTGCGAAACAGCAGGCAAACGATGCCTAGGTGACAGAAGAGAAGGCGGAGAAAAACAAAAGGGGGAGTAAGCCGGGGGGGTAAAGACCCTGGGGGGAATACGAAGAGTAAAAGAAAAGGGAGCCTGTGATGGCAGTGATGCAGAGCTTCCGGGCAAAAGTCGTTCGCAGGGAACTTGTCAGCGGTTGGGTGCTGGAATGCCCGACGGGCTGCATGTGGTCAATGCAGCTGTGCAGAGACGTTGGAGACCGAAGTATGAAAGAATAACAGGAAGAAGGAAGCAGAAGCAGAAGCAGAAGCAGAAGAAGCACGGCTTGGGGGTTTCGGACACTGGGGGGCCTGGGTTTGGTGTTCGTGAGGCGTGGAGATTGAGGTACAACAAACACGACACGGGAGCAAACGAAAGCAAGAATGCCTTGATAGCAAGAAGGGAGATGCAATACAGGATACAGAACGTAGCCAAAGCGTCAAAAGCACCACCCGTGTTCTCTTTACTGCTGTCATCTAGCTGGATCAAAGGGTTTGAATCATTCTTTGTCGCTGAAATGCACTGGGAATTGGAGTTCGTCTGCTAAGTTGTTGGTGAAAGGCGTGTCATGTCAGGGGTTCAACGTCGAGCAGCCTCGTTCCTCAGTTTCCTCGCCCTCTTGTGCTACAGAGCAATGCCGACAAAGGTCATTGTTCTAGGTCCGACTACGTAACCAGGTACTAGTAGTAGCTGTCCATGTATGATAGCATCTCGTTATATTGCTGCCTGCTCTACTACATACAATGCCTCAGAATGCCCGACTCCTCCCGGCATCAATCGTTGCAGCTCCAGCCAGCAAACGGCCAGATGCATATCTCTGGGAAACCCCCCTTGAGGGGGGGCCAGCAAACTCAGCAAACTCGGGCCATGCTGCGATCCGAACAGTCTCTAGCCTCTCTCTCTCTCTCTCTCTCTCTCTCTTTCTGGCTTTCGCTGATCCAACGTCTTCTTCCGTCAGACTTCAACTTTTTGCGTAACCTCGCCCGCTGTGGGAGCCAAAGAGTGGGCAGATGGGGTTTTCTTGGTCGCTCTTTGACACACCCATCTCAAACTCGTCAGGGGTGGGCCGGGGGAGCGTTGGAGGCTCTTCGTCACGACACAAACATCTCGGCTCCTTGCAGGGCTGTTTTCGGGGCGGGCAAACCAGCCGAAAAGCATCTCCTGCTTTCGTTTCGTGCAACGCCGTGCCTTGTCAACAGTCGTTACACCCAGCAGGTGCCTTTTCACGTTCGAATCCGCTCCATGACAGGTGTCGAAAGTCATTATATTAGGCTGCTGCAATGGAAGGAAAAGTTCAACGGAGCTGACAGGAGACACACATTGTCTTCTCACTATATGCTCCGCTAGGGATATGGAAAAGAGATGAGCCTCATGTGCAAATATACAAATCCACCGCCGCTGCTTCACAGCTTCTCAAGTAGCAGCTTGCTACCCTGGTTACCCACAGGCGCCTCCGTCTTCTTGCCCTTCTTCCCAGTTTCCTCGCCCCCGCCAGCCTCCTTGGCAGCCTTCTGCTCGGCCGTGGGTTCGGTGGCCGCCTTCTCCAGCTGTTTCTTGTTCTTTTTCAGCGTCTTCTTCAGCTCTTCCCCACTGGTGAACTCTTCGCTCTCAAGGAGGGCCACGACAACAAATGAACTCGGTCCAGTGGCCCAGTCCATGATGTGCTTCTTGATGACAGGGTAGAGAATGTTGGAAAAGCCCAGCGGCGGGTCAACCAGCTTCACCTTGCCGGTAGCCCGGTCGAAACGGCCACCTTGTATGAGAGACTTGAGCATACGGCCGCCGAACGGCGTGTTGGCAATGTGTGGCCTGGAGGCGATCTCGTCCTCTGCCGGCTCTTGCGTCGGGTCGCCGCTAACGGACTGGGCGAGGGCCTCGAGCGCCTTTTGCTTGTCTCCGATGCCAGAGAGGAGGACTTCGGCAACGAATTGACAGCCGAAAGCCGTGGCTGTGAAATCAGAAGGCGCGGCCGCGATTGCTGCAATCAGGGACGGAGAGAGCGCTGCCGCAAGCTCCTTGCGTCGAACGTCGGCTTCCTTCTTGCTCGTCGTTTTGCGGATCTCGTGGACCTCCTTCAGCACCTCCAGGTCGTAAGCGTGGCTTGCTGGGAACAGCGACTTGGCCAATCCTTCAAAGAGGTATAAGAGGGTAATTCGGGCATTCGCGTTGTTGGCGGCCGCAACAACGTTCTGTGCAATCTCCTCCTCCTTCTCACCCACCAGCTCGGGGAAGATGGCTTTCGAGGTCAGCTTCGTGTCATCGATGACATCGTAGGCTGTCAAGAGCACGATGTGGCCGTATTGATCTCCAGACATGAGCGTAAAGGTGTCCTTGTATGCTTTCAGCAGCACCTTTCGGTCCTTGGCTGTACCATATGCCAGGAGCAGACAGACGAGCTTCGCACCCGAGCGCGTGAATGCCAGGTTCTTGAGCAGATCGCCAGTCTCGTCGCCCTTTATCAACTCCATAAACTCGGTGAATTCCTCGGATCCCGGCTGCGTATTTGTGTAGTACTGGAGCATTGCGTCGTGCAGCATGGTGAAGCCAGTCATGCGTTTCTGGACAAGCGAGTTGATGAGGTCCAGCAGACTCTTCATGATCGGTCCTCGCTTGTTCGGGTCGGCTTCAAGGATCTCTTTCAAATCCGCAGTCACCTTGACATCCTTGGTCAGCTCCTTGATGGTAAACTCAGGCCCGTACCATTCTCGCAGCAGGAGGGCCTTTTGCTCCTTGGTCGCGACCGTCCGGTAGATGTCGTCCAAGATCCACGAGGCCTCGGAGTGGTTGATGAGCTTCCGCACTTTGCCGTAGAAGTTGGGGATGATGATGTCGCGGATCTCGTCGTCGTTGTTGACGAGGAGCTTTCCGATGAGGAACTTGGCGTAGCGTCCCTCCGCAAGCTGGGCATAAGTTCCCTGGAGCTCTGTGGCAATCTGTTTTCGCTGCTCCGGTGTGGAGTACTTGATCGCGGTCTGGACGGCTCGGACCGCGTCGTGCTTGAGAACGAAGTCGCGGATGCGGCCTGTGATGATGCCGTAGAGTTCCGCCACCAGCTGCTGTCGCTCCTCCTTGGGCACATGGGACTTGAGGCGCAGGCGTTCCCAGATCTTCTTTGTCCGCTGGACTTCATCGGCTAACGGCTTGGCAGCTTTTCTCTCCAGGGCGAGTTGCTTCTGCTTCGCATGCGACTCCCGAGAGGTTTGCTCTGCTGGCTAGTGAGCATCGAGCCAGAGGCAGACACAAGGAGGGAACAATATCCTTACCTGATCCTGATGTCTTTCCATTGGAGTTTCCTTCCAACCGAGGCTTCTTGTTCTTGAAGTCGCCCTTGTCCTTTCCGTCAGAAGAAACTTTTCTTTTGCTGTTGAATGTAGAGTCTTTGGTAGCCATCTTGATTGAATGGATTGCCGCTTCAAAGCAAGACAATTGGAACTCGTTCTTTGGAGACAGCCAAGTAGACTCGAAATCTGGATATCAGATAGACTATCAACGGGTCGTCGAATAATTTTTTTTTAGGAATACTGCCGGGCGGTGACCATTGAGCGCACCGAAATTGTCTTATCTTATCTCTAAGCGCCCCTTTTGGGGAACATCTGGGATCCACTACGCCTTTCCTCTATTGCGAGCTCGAAGTGTTGGAAGGTACACGTTTATAATCAGCATATCATGCCACTGCGAATCAACCACGGATAGCCATTTATCCATCTTATAATGCAGAATGTTAATTCCTTGACCTGCATCAGTAATTGAAAGGCGTGTATCTATTGTATCCTTTTAATACGATTCACCTCGGGTTCCTGCACATCGAAACACCTACTCAAGTCCCCAGACATATATGCATCCTACAATGAAGAAAATACAAGAGAATTAGACATCAGACGAAGACAAGTAAAATGTACACAGCTCATACCCGTTGAGTTCTTCAAAAAGTTGGTCCCTCCGTCTTGAACAGCCAGTCGCTGTTCGCATCAATCATGAAATTGGTAATGTTGAACTCGTTTGGCTGGTATTGAGGGTGGTCGATGTTCGCGTTTGCCGCGGTAAGGTCAGGATTGGAAATGAGCCCCTCGGTGGCTCCAGAGAGGTTCTCCCCGCCAAAGGGCAATCGCGGGACATTGAAGAAGTTGAAGACATCCAGATACTCCAACTCGTTTGGCGCCGGCGTCCTCGCGGGCGTCACGCCTCCCAATTGGCCGTGGCTCTGGGGCCCATTGCGTGGCTGTCGCGATATCAAAAAGTCCAGGTCAAAGGCTGTTCGCCGCATGTCGGCCAGGATCTTGACCGAGCTGGGCGTGACTCCGCTGCCTTGTCGTTCGCTGTCCCGATGCTCGTCCAGTACCCGCTGCAACAGCCCAGAGTATCCGGCGGCCACTGGCCAGTATCGCCCCATCTCGCGCAATATGTCGACGAAGAAGGAAATCTGAGGCGAGAGCTTGTGCTCGACGGTCGAGCCATGGACCAGAAGCACTCGCGCGGCCACCCATATAGTGAATGCAAACGGCGGTCCCAGCTTGGGCAGGAAGCCATTGTTGACAACGAAATCACCCAAGGCAGAAATGTTCTCGACGGCGCTGTGACATCTCTGAGCCGCACTGAATGACGGCGTGAAGATGGCTGATCGCGTCGTTGGATAGGCAGCCGATGAATGCAGTCGAATAACGGCCGTGTGATAGGTCGCATGGAGCATGATCCAGTTGCAGTTGAGATTTCTACTGCCTGGCTGAAAGACCTTGTTCATGTTCCCAAACTCCCCAGGGAGGGCAAAATTCCAAGAGGTCAGCTCCTTGTCGAGCTCCTTGTAGCGAAGCTGCCACTTTTCGACGTCGGTAAGCCTGCCGATGTCGACCGGCTGTTTCAAGAACTTGTGGATCTTGGAGAGGATTCCGAGGATCTCGATGTAGTATGCAAAGGCGCCCAGATTCTCAGGTCTCCCATGTGAATGCTGGTGACTTTCATCGTCACGTTGATCGCTCGTGGAGAACCATCGCGTTTCCACCTTTTGGTTCTCCATCCACAGGTCGTCACGGCAGGGCAGCATTCGGTCAATCTCGGTATCGGCCAACGCAAACTCAAAGGCGGTAGCAATGGTTGCGTATCTGTCGAGGAGATAAATCATCCAGAATAGCCTCCTGCGGGACTCTTCCTCTATGAAGTCTTTGGGCTCGGGCAGAATCATAGCACGGAGCGTGTATATCGATGTATAGTGAGGAGCCACGCTGAATGAATTTGTCTCGACGGCCAATCCCAGCTGCACCACCGATCTTGTGATGAGGGCCATGATGTTCCATCCGGGAGGCCCATTGCTACTGCCGCATATGTCCAGGGCGAGGATGAGCAATGCCAGAAGCGACTTGACAGACGAGTTTTCCATGCCGTACAGCAAGACCTTTTGTTTTGACACTCGGTGGTAGTGCTGCCGCCGCTCTTCGGTAAGCCTTGGATCGCTGGAGAATCGCATGGTGACTGCGACTATGGCATGGAGCAGCACCCTATCGGCCTCTTGGAGGTCGGAGATTCCAAAGAGGTTATCCAGAGTCGTCCTTCGGTGAAGTATGGGACACCACGTGTTGATGTGCTTGAAGTACAAGTCCACCAGGTTGAACACCAGATTGTAAGGCGGCAGGTCATCAGCCTCGTTAGAAGGCAGCGCTGCGCCCGGCGCCGGCGTAACCGTGGGCAACCCGACGCCTTGTTGAACCGAAACGTCGGAAATGGAGCCACCGGGTAAAGGCGTCCGAGTCTGATATTCGTTGAGGGCTTGCTCGGCAGACGCAGGTCCAGAGGGACCATTGTTTGGTTGAGAATTGTAGAACATGTTGCTATTCATGTTGGACGCTTGGTACAGCTTCGACGAGCCCAAGGTATTGCTGGTCTCGCTTTGGGTATCATGATCGCTGGCAAGATTCTGGCGTCCAGTCTGCGCACTGGATTCGGGATTCTCGGAGCGGAGAGAGGGCAACGGTGATGTCTGGAGCAGTTCGGAATGCTTTCGCAGGATCTCTTCCATCTTGTCCAGCCTCATTTCCATCTCTCGACTTCGATTCTCCAGAAACCTCCCAAAGCCAGCCCGCAGCCCCGGAGGTTTTCGCTCCTTGTACTCGCAATTTTGGCCATGGCGCTTGCACCAGCCACACGATGGTTGACCTCGATCACATTTCACCTAAGACGTGGTGAGGAAGAGAAATGGCGTTGAAACAAGGGAAGAATTTTCGGTAACGTGAGGTAGGAAGGCAAGTGAATGAACGGTATTGCTGAGGACATACCTTGCGCTGTTTGCATAGCTCGCAGCTGTCAAGCAAGTCGTTAGCAACAGTCTCACCAGACTCACGGGATTCGTGATTCATGATTCATGATCCATGTTCCCATGGCAGGGCTCGCTTTTGTTTTCACGGCAGACGTACGAGACGGAGATGGGCCGCTTGCGCTTGGCTGTCTGCGAGGCTTGCTCCGCGTCATTGTCGCAGCTCTGGTCGTCGCTGTCGGGGTCGGGCTGGCGCTCACGGACAGAGGTCGAGGACGGCGGCGACGGGCGTTTGTTATCCTCGCTGCCGCTGCGCATGGCGCCTCGCAAGGTCAAGGTGAGCCCAGTTTCGCGCGACGAAAGGCTCGTTCGGTGGATTGACGATCCGACGCCGACGGCCCCAGGCAATTGGATGGGGGCGGGCAGCGAGCGGGGCGACGGCCAGCGGTGAGCGGCGAGCAACGAGGAGCGCTGGATGGATGCGCACGTGTGGTTTCGGGATAAAGGCCAGCGGGAGGACGTTGGGCGGCCGGGTCAATGATATTAGAGGCCGACGATGCGGAGCTGGTGTTTGTCCTGGCTCGAGAGAGACGGAGCCGCGGTCAGAGGCTTGGCCAGACTGACGCTCATTGGCGACGACGAGAGCCGGACGGTTGACCTGCGGTGCCGCGGAACCCACAGTGTGGAGCTGCCGCTGTGAGATTGAGCTGGGGGAGGGGAAATGGAGAGGAGGAGGGAGAAGAGTGAGGGGCTTGGAGGAGGGAAAATGGCAGGGTAATTCGTGGTGCTACCAAGTACCGGTATTTGATGTCTGTGCATGCTACGACATCGGAGGCTATAGGCTCTAGTACTTGGCTTCTACAAGTATATCAGAGGCTCTGAGCTCTGGATTAGCAAAACATAATAGGTAATATTAAAAGGGAAATCTATCTTTGAATCTACCTCTACGTTGTTATTCTTCTCTGCCGCTGGGAAGACTCAGTCAACCGTTGAGTCCCTTGGACAGACTGCAGCAGATGGACCACACAGGATAGGTACCTTATGTATGGATTCAGCAGTAGATAGCGGCCCCAAGCTTTCATTAGGTAAAATAAACGAGAGGACACTGCTTGTTCCGCGTCCAGGTACTCGATGGCCTCTCTAGAGTTTACCTGCATACCTAGACTGTGAATGGCAGAGACCTCAATCACGTTGCTTGATATCCATCGTCTACCATGTATCTCGGGTAGGTGTCCTAGGTAGCTGTGATTAACAGATGCTACAACTGTCAACACCCAATATGTTCACGACTCAGGTACCTGGTTTTATTCCTCGCTCTATTGATCAAACTAATTATACTTGGACTGCTCTGTAGCTTTGCGCTCTTCCCATCGCCACTTCTCACCCAAGGCGGCCCTCGGGTCATCTCAGCCCGATTCTCGTCAACACCACCGGCACCCCACACGTCGATTTGCACGCCTGTCACCCGCATCTCCATATCCGGTGGTCGTTGGCAAACCCATTTCTGCACACCAAATCCTCTATATTTCCAGCCTTCTCCTGTTGTTGCAGCTGCACGCTGGTCCTCCCTCTGCCAACTCCAACAAACTAACCAAGCATCATGCATACCACGAGTAGCTCGGTCCGGCAATTCCCCACGATCAAGGCCGTGAGGTCCTACGTCATTGGCGGCGTGGGCTCTGGTATGTTGAGACAACAGCTCGAAGCTGTGGCTTGTCCTCATTGTCGGCATCAGACCTCACTTATATGTGCTAACGACGTGATGCGAAATAGGCGGTGATTATCACAACGTCAAAGGAGGTCACTGGTATGTGGGCACTTATGCATACTACCTACTTCTTAGTAGTATGGCGGTTCTGAGCGATGAGGGCTGACACTCTTTTCTCCCTCCTTCACAGGCTCATCGACAGTGACATCTCTACGCCATGCTCGCAATGGTCGCAGTATCGCAAATCGCGTACCAGCTGGGGCATCAACGTCCTCGGTTCCTTTCTGGTGGAAATAGAGGCGTCTGACGGGACTGTCGGCTTTGCAACTGGCTTTGGAGGTGAGCATCTATTGCATTTAGCGATCTGAATCTCATCAGTCTTCAACGAACATGCCATTATTCAACTCCCGGTACTGATCCGTTCCTTTCTGCTCACAAGGCCCTCCTGCATGCTGGCTGGTTCACCAGCATTTTGAGCGGTTCTTGGTTGGGGCTGATCCGCGGAACACAAACCTGCTCTTTGAGCAGATGTACCGCGCTTCCATGTTTTACGGCCGCAAGGGGCTTCCCATCGCCGTCATCTCTGTCATTGACCTGGCCATCTGGGACCTGCTGGGCAAGGTCCGGAACGAGCCTGTCTATAAACTCATTGGCGGAGCCACCAAGGAGCGCCTCAACTTTTACTGTACCGGGCCGGAGCCAACAGCAGCCAGGGAAATGGGCTTCTGGGGTGCCAAGGTGCCGCTTCCTTTCTGCCCAGAGGAAGGCCACGAGGGACTCCGGAAGAATGTGGAGTTTTTGCGGAAGCATCGCGAGTCTGTCGGGCCCGACTTCCCCATCATGGTCGACTGCTACATGAGCCTCAACGTCTCGTATACGATTGAGCTGGTCAAGGCGTGCGCCGAGTTCAACATCAACTGGTGGGAAGAGTGCTTGTCTCCCGACGACACGGATGGCTTCGAGCAGATCAAGCGCGCGCACCCCACGGTCAAGTTCACGACGGGCGAGCACGAGTACTCCCGCTTTGGGTTCCGCAAGCTCATTGAAGGCCGCAACCTCGACATCATCCAGCCCGACGTCATGTGGCTGGGCGGCATGACGGAGCTGCTCAAGGTCTCGGCCATGGCGGCTGCGTACGACATCCCCGTCGTTCCGCACGCCAGCGGTCCGTACAGCTACCACTTTGTCATTTCGCAGCCCAACACGCCGTTCCAGGAGTACCTCGCCAACTCTCCCGACGGCAAGAGTGTGCTGCCCGTCTTTGGCGACCTGTTCATTGACGAGCCCATCCCGACCAAGGGTTTTCTACTGGCGAGTGATCTGGATAAGCCTGGATTTGGCTTGACCATCAACAACGCTGCCCGCTCCAAGCTCATCCCCTCAAACTACCTCCTCAGCCCCCCTCCTGTACAGCAGCCCGCGCCGCCGTCTCAAAATGGCGATGACAAACCAGCCAACGGCGTGTCGGCGTAGAGAGCATTGTGTGAATTCACTCAGAGTTGCTTATGCGAGTCGCAATAACGGCGCCGAAGAGGGTGGTCCGATATAGACGCTCCCGAGTCGGAGTCATAAAGATGGCATTGTCAGCCGATACTTGGGAGAGAGTTTAATAATCAAGGAAAAGAAAGTACTCTCTATACATAGCACAATCTTCAATGCAACGTTGAGTTCACTAGGTAACATCGACATGTAATACCAATAGCACAGCTGTTGTCATGTTCGTGTTTCATATGCAACTGGTCGAGAACCAGGGCTCACCCAGCCCTTGCATCTTTCGTGATGGAGGCGTTTTGTGACAAATCCGCCATGTGTGCCCGTAGGTAAGCAAAGATGCGGATACACGACTCCATAAAACTGCCTTGTGCTAAAACCTGGGGAAGACTTGGGGGGTTAAAGGGGTCGCAGAGGCATCGTGACCCCACCGGCTCGCGAGTGCCCTGCACGCGGGTTGTTGTTGCGTCGACTCCCCCAAGACCCAGATCCAGATCTATGGGGACGGTTGAGCAATATTTTACGGTGGCTCGGGACGAGAGGGGGGTTACAGTATGACTCGCCGTTGCGAATTCCAGACTGCAGAGGGGCTCACCGTATTGTGGGGTCGATCAGAAACGGTGGGATGGGGCTTGCTCGCCCTAGAAGCCCCCGAGGGCTCGGATGGAGTTCTGCCGCAGGTAACGGGCCTCGTCAACGTGGAGCCGCATTTATAGAGTCGTTGAGATGGCGATAGCCTCACAACGGGCTTCATTGATTCTACAAGAGAAGACTGTTCTGCAAAACGAAAGGAGGACAGTACCTAAGGAACGGTTATTTCTGCGCCGCGCTTACTTGGACCTGGCAGTTTCTCTGGTGCCCCTCAACACCTTGTTCCCCGCATGGTGAACGACAGCGAGAGATCGACGACGAGACGGTTTCACTATTATCTACGCTCAGCATTGATGATTGATTCTTGAGGGCCTCTGGATTGAATCGATCAATACACGGACACGTTGCTATCACGCAGACTCTACAACCATACAGTACGGAGCAGTAACATTTTGCACTTCTGTTTCCGATCAAAACCTCGGCTAAGACGCCGCCACAGCTGTCATGCCGCTCAAGGGGCTTCTGGCGGGCAAGACCGCCATCATCACAGGTGGAACAACTGGCATCGGACGGGCCATCTGCCTCGGCTATCTGCGCCAGGGATGCAGCGTCGTGGTCAACCACCTCGGCCTGGACAAGGACCAGGCGCACCTGGATTCGCTCATTGCCGAAGCCAACGCCATCTTGGCCGAGGATCCTGCTGCCGGCCGCCTCGCTCACGAGGCCGGCGACGTGCGGGAGGTTGAGACCGCGGCCAAGCTGGTGGCCAGGGCCGTCGAGCACTCGGGCCCGGCGCGGCGCCTCGACATCTGCGTGTCCAACGCCGGCGTGTGCACCTTTGCCGACTTCCTGACGCTGTCGCCGGATCTGCTGGAGAAGACGTTCCGGACAAACGTGGACGGCGCCTTCTACGTGACGCAGGCGGCCGCCCGCCAGATGGCGCTGCACCAGAGCCCGACGGGGGGCAGCATCATCGGCATGTCGTCCATCTCGGCGCTGGTGGGCGGCGGCCTGCAGACGCACTGGGCAAGTACGGCATCCGCTGCAACGCGCTGCTGCCGGGCACCATCCGGACGCAGCTCAACGAGGAGGACCTGGCCGACGACGCCAAGCGGAGCTACATGGAGGGCCGGATCCCGTTGGGGAGGACGGGCGAGCCTGGGGATCTGGCGGGCCCGGCCATCTTCTTGGCCTGCGAGGAGCTGAGCGGCTATGTGACGGGCGCCCAGCTGCTGGTGGACGGCGGGCTGTTTGTCAACTTGCAGTAATAGTAGAATGAGGTGTTGCGTCTCCTTTTGTTTCCTTCTTAGAGCGGTGTTGTCTTTTTTCGAAGCGAGTTGATGATAATACCTATATCATCCCGCATGTCTATTACTCCAGCATGTGTTTGAAAGTTCAAGTCCAGGACCATAGGCTTGTATGTGTCACTGGCAGTCGTCATGATGGGCTCGAAGCGCATCTGCGTGTTTACTTGGCAGCGGCTGATTTGACTCACGTAAAACAACGGCGGCGGCGGCGGTACTTTTGCGTTTTTGCATCAGCGCGGCCTGGAGTTCGGATGAAAAGGTCCTTGGCCAAGGAATAAAGCGCGCGCAGGAATATGTAAAAAGACACAACATGCAGCCGTATGTCATTATGGAGCTCGCCTGGTGTTGTTCGCGGCCATAAACAGCTTCTCTTGCCGTCTCTCCCCCCGGGTCCTCCCCTGAAAACTGTGACAGCCACCGTAACGAATAGGGCTTGGCGTTTACATAACAACAAAAAAAGAGGCAGATGCAGCTGCAACCGGGCCTTTGCTCATCAACGTGTGAAAATTACTGCTCCGCCCTTTTCTTTTTGATGGAGAGACATGAGAGATACATAGAGATTCCCCCTTGTCCGATGGTTTCCGGGGAGGATCCGCTGCCCCGTCCCGGGTCCGGGGTTGACCCTCTCGGGTGGGCCGGGCTTGACGTCACAGTGGAACCGGCCAGCCTTGGATGCTGTTCCTCCTCGTCTTTTCTTCCCTTTTGACATGTGCCAGGTATCTTTTGGGTTGCTTCTTCCAGGTCGTTTCTCACAATCGCAAATCAGGCCGAACTTAAAAGCGGTCTACCAACATTGCACGTACACAGGAATTCCCATGGCGATCCCCTCTCGGGATCCGAGCAAGGGAGATGATTCCGGTGTGGCACAGTCTTGCAACCTGCCAGGGTACACGAAAGGGTAGGGCCAAAGAGGGCGACCAACATCTCGCCATCCTGTTCCTAGATGTCGCTCAGATCTGCATCATCTCGGTGATGTGTAGCTTCTCACGGTGCGGAAAACAGCTGATCATCTTTGCTTGTAATCCCGTCCGCTTCCCATTCTCGAAAACTCTGTCCCCCCTTCTTCCCGCCTCAAGCCAATAGGGCGGCCTTCCCACCCACCAACATCCGGTTTACACGAGCCCAGGGGCCGGGGCGGCTTCTCAGATTGAGAGATCTTCATATACCGCACCCTCCATCTCAGAGGGCTTCCGGCCAGCTGTCAACGACGCCGTTATCAGCTCGTCCATTATCATTCGCTCATTCGCTTGTTTTGTGAAGAAAAAAATGCCGCTGACCGGTGCACCCAAGGGGGATATCCACTGCTAATGTATGTATGTACAAAGCAAGGCAGAGGCGCGATTGGAGGAAGGGGGCTTCTTGGCAAGCTTTCGGTTCTCCTGGTTCTCTGGCGTTTGCCACTATGAGCGCCGGCTCGCATGTCGGTTTCGATGTGCAGGGCAAAGATCCGCGACTGACATCGGCTTCGGCCATTTCTATTCATCGGGGAGATAAGGGCATCAGCAAGGACACACTGCTACTGTGTTGTCTTCCATAATAGCGACTTGTATATCTCCTCGACGGGCTCAGCAATGGGATACATGTGCCTTGTGGCCATGTACATACATGGTGCAGTCGTCACCTTTGTGAGCCGAGTATGACGTCGCCATGTAAGAGCCACCTGAAAGCTACATGTGCCTACATGTCCCTACATGCATGATGCAGTTCTCTTTCTGCCAATGGCGATGCAGGCAAGCAGGATGCGCCACCCGCCATCGCGGCGAGAGGGCTTTCTATATGCTGGGTAAGGTAGCTTTCACCACCTTATCACAGTGAATAAGCAGATAGACAGTTACCTGAGCTTTCACATATCACAAGGAAAAACTGTCAAGGAAACTCTCAGCCTCCTCAGCCTGGCTCTGACCTACGTAGTGGCTTACCGGCCCTTCTCCACAACACCGTCACTCCTTTGCCCATATCTCAGCCCGCGGGTTTCACGGAGGTGGAACCTGGCTGTGGATAAAAAACAACTGGAGCACTTGTCAACATGCTGTTTGTCAAAGTTCAGAGTTCGCCAACGCAAAAAACCTGGAGAAACAGCAAGGGAAATGACTCGAATTGCTCCCAGCATGGCCCGAGTGGAACCCGCGTGGAGAAGGCTGATGCTCAGCCAAAGTGTTGGATGCACTCGGGGGGGTGTATGATCGAAGCTGGGCTCGAGACGGCGAGAATCTATAAAGACCTTGATTTCCTCCACCGTTCTTGACGGTAGAATCATTGCATCTACAGGGAGCTGGTACTCACTTACATATCATCATCTTGACATCTTCCCCCCCGGTCTCTTACATCCTTGTGAGAGAGCAGTTGACAACCAAAAAATCACCAAAGACCATAATAGGAGATATAACAAAAATATCCCGTCACCATGGCCACTCTCAGCAAGGAGCAGCAGACCGAGTTCTACCAGCATGTTGCACAGGTCAAGAAAGACCTCGACGTGAGGGTAGCCGAGACAGACTCGTTGCCTAGCTCTCCTGAGCTGGCATCATCGGGCAGCTCAAGAGACAGCGTCTCCAGCATCCCAACCCCCATCTCACCCCTCGACTCTGAGGTCATTGCCGACTCCTTTGTCTTTGCATTTGATATCGACGGCGTCCTTGTCCGAGGCGGCCGCCCCATCCCAGAGGCCATCGAGGCCATGAAGGTCCTTGATGGCGAGAACGAATATGGAATGAAAATGTAAGTGTATATCAATATAATAATGGTTTCGCTCTTTGTGTCGTCTAGTGAAACATCCATCTAACGTTTACTTTCCTTAGCCCTCACATCTTCCTTACCAACGGCGGCGGCAAGACCGAGGAAGAGCGCTGCCAAGATCTATCTCGCCAGCTCCAGCGCGAGATCAAGCCCGGGCAGTTCATCTGCGGCCACACGCCCATGAGGGAAATGGCCAACAAGTACAACACAGTCCTGGTGATTGGCGGCGAGGGCGAGAAGTGCCGTCTCGTCGCCGAGGGCTACGGCTTCAAAGACGTCGTGACGCCCGGAGACATCATCAAGCACAACGCGGCCACCACGCCGTTCCGCAAGCTGACGCCCGAAGAGCTGGCCAACTCGCGCGAGCGCAACTTTGACGACGTCGTCATCGACGCCGTCTTCGTGTTTGCCGACTCCCGGGACTGGGCCGGCGACATCCAGATCATGCTCGACGTGGCCATGTCCCAGCAAGGCCGGCTGGGGACCCGCAGCGAGACCTTTGACGAGGGCCCCCCCTTTTACTTCTCCCACAACGACGTCGTCTGGTCTGCTGCCCACGAGCACGTGCGCCTCGGCATGGGGGCTCTCCGGCGCATGTTCGAAATCACCTTTCGCGATCTGACGGATGGCAAGGGCAAGCTCCACACGCACGCCTTTGGCAAGCCCCAGGTCTCGACCTTTGAGTTCGCCGAGCGGCTGATGCAGTCGTGGCGGAGCACCGAGCACGGCATCTCCGGGCCGCCGCAGACGGTGTACTTTGTCGGCGACACGCCCGAGAGCGACATCCAGGGCACCAACGCCATCAACCAGGTCGCCGACAACGACTGGTACAGCATCCTGGTCAAGACGGGCGTATACCAGGACGGCACGGAGCCGGCACACAAGCCGCGCGTGACCGTCAACACCGTGCTCGATGCTGTGCACCACGGCATCCAGCGCGAGATGCGCAAGAAGGTGGTGTCGTCGCTCAAGCGCAATGTTCTGGGTCAGTCGGAGTGCGCTGGTACGGAGACCAACCCGGCTATCGTGGATGATGACATGCTCGTTTCTGTATGAAGCGTTTTGATTGCCTGCTGGTACTGGATATTTTTGCGAAAGGGCATTGTGTGATGGAGTACCTGGAGTTTTTTTTTGATGCACTCAGACGGAGCATGAGTGATTTTCTTTTCCCTTCTCTTCTCTTTTTCATCTTTTCCCTTCTTTCAAGACACTTTCGTTGTCATTGGCAGAAGCTGATGTCCCCTTTTCATATACCCCAAGCGATCTATCGCGCTGATATTAGATTCTCTTACTACATCAATCAGGATGTTAGACACTTGCCTAGATAGGTTGTCTTTGATTATATCAACTTACTCTGGCACCGTCATGCTCAACCGTGAATATGAATCATTCAAGGAAGACAAATCTCCCCCACTGCGATGCTGCAACCCAACCAGAACGGTCCACAGCCTCCTGTCTATCAGATCGTCTCTCAAAGGCCTCTTCGAGGGTGATTCTCATAGAATACTCTGCGACGTGTTCGCGTTCCACGTGAAGCCAACCTTTCCACGCAGCAACCAGATCGCCCGCCCCCATTCCGCCGAGCACAATCGTGCCCCAGAACTCACGAGAGAGGGACGCTGCAGAAGCCCTGTCGTAGATCATGAAGTGCTCGGCATCCGAGATGAAAGATCGGATAACCTCGAGGTCAGTGCCGGAGCTTTCGTCGCAGGGCGACTGCTGGACGTAGACGTGCTGCAAATCATTGTCGGCGCATGTGAGGCGAGTGGCGTCGAAGCGGCCCTCAAGGTCGAGGACGAAGAGCGCCCTGGAATGGGGCGGCGAGACGAGCGTCGATATCACCTTGTATACCAGCGGAAGGCTGCGGCCAGAGAGGGCGATTGTGGGCGCTTGGGTGGCTCGAAACTGTCGGGCGGCGAGCTGGTCGAGTTGATCCAGGTGCGTGAGCTTGACTCGCCCAGTGCCGGTGCCGCTTGCTGGAGTCTTTTCGAGAGCCAGTGATGCGCGAAAGCTGTCGAGGATCTGGTGCCATATTATCCGGGATTAGTGTTTGCTTCTCAGGTGAAAAGTCGCAAGCTATGTGTGTAGATGAAGGAAGCACGTTAAAAGGGGGGGTGTTGTTGTCCAAGATGATCGTTGATGGAAGTCTGATTTCGCGGCCCTTCTCTTCTTCCCCTTCAATGATTGAGTATGAGGTTTGAACGCCCTTTGTTCATCGATATGAAGAGACCCCTTAGACTTCAGAGGAAGCTACAGCATTTTCTGTCGCAGTTTTTGCAACTTGAAGCTGAAGCCGTCGCCAAACGAGGCCCCCCGGCATTTCGTGACCCAAGCCATACAAGCCTCAGCGCCAGCGACGGCAAAACAAAAACTTACCTCATCCAAGCTGGCCTCCTCAACCGCCTTCAGCAACTGTCCGCCCATCGCCGCCTCCATCTTTTCCGCCCCAAAACAGATTTCAAGCTTCGCCCTCGCCAAATTCAAAGAAGAAGAAGAACAAAAGAAGAATGACGCCTCCCTGCCGCTCGTTCCCCGCCTCGGAGCTGCCCCTTCGGATCCAGCAGGACGCCTCGGGCCGGCGCCGGAAGCTCGACGACGCGGGCTCCGTGTCGCGCAGGATCGACCTCTCGGCGTGCGAGCTCTTCCAGATGCTGCAGTACAAATGCGAGGTCCAGCGGCCGCTGACGCGCGAGAGCCCGGTGCGGTGCTTTGCTGTTGACCGGCTGTTTCGAAGGTTGGTGGTAGTGAGAATTTGAGGAGCACACCCCGCCGAGGAACGGGCTTCACAGTGGCTTTTTTTCTTCATCTAAAGCTGTTACCCTTTCTTCTCGGTTGGAACCCATTGAAGTCAGCTCAACTGACGATTTGATGATTTCAGGTGTAAGGACAAAAAGGGCGTGTTTACCGTAGAGACGACCGCCTGGGAAGGGGAGAGAGCCAGAGCGGACAGCAGCAGCAGCAGCAGTGAGGGCAGCGGGACGAAAGAGCCGCCGAAGCCGCACCAGTGGTCGTCGAGCTGGCACGATGCCGACGAGGCAGCGCCGTGATGGTCCGGCGCATTGCAAGTTGAGCAAGATTGCAGGACAAAAGCACTCTACTAATATTTCTACTACGATCTCTGGAGCGTCTAATTACATACCTACTCTACGACACTTAGATGAGGGTATGCGCTGGACATGACATGTCGGAGCGCTGCCGTTTTGGCTTTCGGAAGTCCCGTCTCACCTGCTCACTACGACTCCTCGTGCCAGAGTCGCCGGGCTTCAGTGAGCCGAGCCAAGTCTCGCTGCACTGGTAGATGCGCGCGCACATCACCGTCGCAGGGCTCCCAAGGCTATATGTACTTGGAAGCATACCTTACGTCTCGACTACACATGGACCATGTGGACTGGCTTCACTCGAGACGAGCTTCAAGCACACAGAAAAGGGCCCTGGCTCCTCAACACGGCTCCTTTCACTAGGAGAAGAGGATCCCGCATGAACAAGGAATGCCGTATGTCAAGCGAAATAGTAATACAGTCGAATTGCCCCGAGACTCATTAGTCTAAGCAGAGGTTCGCCTAGCTGCCACTCTTTCTTCCCGTGACATCCGATGCTTCCACCCGGCAGCCATGCTCCTGCAGCCATGGACAGACTATTGGTCCCGCCAATCCAGCTTCTATTTGACCAGCAGTTGCTCATATCGCATTCTCTCCCCGTCTGCCCGTCTAGACAAGATGAATCCCCCCCTTTACTGTGCCTGTTTCGCGGCGGCTCGCTCGGCCTCCTTCTTGGCGTAGTAGGCGTCTCGGCCGTTGGTTCGGGGCATGTGGTAGCCGTACCTGTATCGTTGTCAGACGGGTATGTTCTTCGCGAATCAGGGTTATGGTTTATCGTTTATCGAGTCCGTACCAGTACCAGTTGGCCATGACGAAGCCAGCTCCTGTTGCGATGTAAGCCAAGGGGAACAAGGAAGACGCAATTCCAGTTTTGCAGCTGAGCCAAAGCTTCGCGGACAACTAGAGAAGGGTTCAGTATTTACCAAGACCGACGCCGAGGTCGAGGATAAGCTGTCGCCGCAGCATCTGCAAAACCCATGTTAGCTGCCGTCCGGAACAAAAAGCTTCATGGCGGGACCGGCCGAGAAGAGCTGCCGTGCGATTTCCGCGCCCATTGGTCGAGCCTCAGACGTACTCCAGTGATTGGTGCGATAGCCATTGTGAGTGAGGAGCTTTCCAAGCTGTTTGCGAAGCCGCGAGATGCGTTGTTTGGCTGTCTAATGGGGGTTTGGAGTAGCGAAAATGGAGATTCTTGGTATGGATCGAGCAATGGCATGGTCTGATGTTAATCCCGCTAGGCGGTGTCACGTGATGGCACGATGATGGCTGTTCGGCGGATTCTCGGCTGTGCGAAAAAGAAGCGTTTCGTGAGAATTGGGCTACTTTTTTGTTAGTCGAAGCGGGAAAGATTGAATCTGGGTCGCATCTTCAGAGTTCCTCTTCAATGGGCTGTAGAACAGCGAGTTGAGGTTAAGCCAGCTTGCTACTGCATCGTCGCACCAATGAGTCTACGGCTGGCCACTCGGCGGCTGGCGCTGTCAGGTAAGTGATTTGTCTTTTGCCTACTAGGTTACCTGGAAGGGAAAACTCGATCGCCTTACATCCATGTTCGCTGGCTGACTGGGATTTACCAATTGTTGCACGCAGGCCCATCCTCCCCAGCCTCATCGTTGGCGCCGGCGCAATGCGTCTCGAATCGAAGCCCCTGCGCGGTCGCTCAGCGCCGTCACAAGTGGTCCATCAACGTCTTCAAAGGATGGGGCAACAATAGCTCCAAGGACTCTGGCGACAAGGGCCAAGTCCCAGTCGCCTCCGAACTCGACGACCCCAAGAAGCGACAACAGTTCCTGCAGAGGAATATGCGGGGAGGAGTCGAGGACAACATCTTCCAGGAGGAGATCGAGGCCGCAAAGCCGGCGCCCGACTCGCCCGCTGCCCAGCAGCCAACCGAGGAGCGGACCAAGGAGAGCTTGGCCATGGTGGTCGACCCAGATGTCCGGGCTCGGATCCGGTGGCAGCGGAAAAAGGTCATTCAGCTGGTGCGCCGGAACGGGGAGCTGACCAAGGAGGAGAAGATCAAGATGACGGAGCGAGAGCTCATTCACAAGAGCGACTTCTTCCCCACCAGCGTCAAGAAGCTGGTCATGCTGGCCCGGCAGGTCGCCGGCAAGCCCGTCGACGAGGCCATCCAGCAGATGAAGTGGTCCAAGAAGAAGTTCGCCGCCGAGGTCAAGTACCACCTGGAGGAGGCGCGGGACTTGGCCATCGTCCAGCGCGGCATGGGCCTCGGCAAGGTCAACGGGGAGGTTCTCGACAAGCCTCGAAAAGTACAGGACAAGGACGGCAAATGGTTGGAGATTGCAGACCCGACTCGCCTCTATGTTGCGCAGTCGTGGGTCGGGCGAGGGCCCTGGCGTGGAAAGGAGATCGACTACAAGGGCCGAGGGAGAATGGGCGTCATCCAGCATCCAAGCACCAGTAAGACATACTTCCAACCCCTCTTACCCTTCTTCCGAGGGGTCGTCGCAATTATCCGTGGCACCCCTCATTTCCCCCCCTTCACTCTTTGATCAGAGTTGCTGACCCGCGCCCCCGCCGCGCGTGTGTTATCGTAGGCTTCACAGTCATCCTCAAAGAGGAGAAAACCAGAATCCGAGAGTACGAAGAGCTGAAAGCCAAGGAGGCACAAAAGGGCCCCTGGGTCCATCTACCAAACCGCAAGGTGCATGGCCAGAGGCCCTATTACTCGTGGTAGAGACAAGGAGACGTTGGGGTTTGGGTGAAAAGTTGGGAGCAGACCAGATTTTTGAAACTTGACCCAGCAATTAGAGCCGGCATGACAATGAGCATGTACCTGTATCAATATAGTATGTACAATGAAAAGAAACAGCACACTCGGGCAACTGGATAGACTCTTATCAGCTTTGGCTCCCTGCGTCATGTAACTCGAGGCCCCCTTTCACAGTATCCGTTGTTGGCGAGACCGAAGGAGAACACACCTCCGGCCCTGGCTTGGGATGGCCCGTCATCCAGCTCTCTGTTGTGCCAAACGTCGAATACTACATCATATTAGAGGCTTACTCTCGAGAATGAAAGGCATCGCCTTGAACCCCTCTCAGTTCCGGATCGTCGACATAACCCATGCAACGGAAACACATGGAAATCGGATCAAAGTTCAGTCCTCAATTGTGAGCTAATCCCACTACCAGAGCAAAGATCGCTAGTTCGCCTGAGGACTATCAAGGACACGATATGCAGATTACACCATGGCTCTTGGCTGCTGCCGAGGTACCATGTCTTCGTAGCGGTTGGACACCATTTCGATGTCATTGGAATACTTTTCGAACGCGCCCTGGCCGTGCCCTGAACTGGGAGGAGGTTGAGAAATGTCGAAGGAGTCGTGGGTCCGGCTGCGGTTCTTCAAGAACCAGAACGCGGCAGCCAACCCGATCCCAACAACGGCAACTGCGACTCCCAGGCCGATTCCAATAGCCGCACCTTGAGACAAGCCACCACCAGCCGCAGGAGCAGCTTCGGACGTTTCACTAGCAGTCGGAGTAGAAGTGGTAGAGACGACAGAGGTGGATGAGTCTGCTGACGTGGTGGTAGCAGGCGGCGATGTTTCGGAAGACTAGGTCACTCAGCGTTAGCGATCATGCAGCTCCATGGTCATGGGACGTGAGAAGGCGTACCACGGCGCTCGTAGTGCCCGAGGGGGAAGCGGTTGTAGTCGACGGAGCCGAGGTCTGAGCGGGAGCGGTAGCCGGCGCTGTGGTGGTAACCTGTTCGGTCGTAGACGGTGGCGCCGTGGTCGGCGGGGAGGTCTGGACAGCCGTTTCCGGAACCGAAGTGGTCGAGGCCGGGGGCTCAGTTGGAACCGGTGTCGTCTCGCCTGCCGGAGCGCTTGTCTCTGCGGCTGCTGGCGCTGTCGAAGCAGCCGGCGCTCCAGTCGGCGTAAAAGCCAATTGTTGTCCTATCAGCAGATGAGTACACGAGATGCTTCGACCGTATGATGAGGCCCTAATTTACCCTGACAAAAGGATCCCGCTAGATAGGCCTGGATCTGGACATCCGTAGCACCACATCCAGTCTGGCCGCAGTCTCGAACGCCAAATCCGAAGTTGGCGTTGGAACACAGACAGGCAGCGTCATCCGCATTAACGCAGCCATACTGGGCAAACTGGCCTCTGACTTGGTTCGCACATGTAGGCTGCCGCAGCGTCAGAGAATGCTCAACGTCGTCAACATCTGGATTGACCTACCACACAAGCCGGTGTATCCTGGGCGGCAACACCGTCCACGTAGATCAGACTCAGTGCGCCAAGCACCGCCGGAAGAAGGTACCGCATGTTGAAAAGATAAGGTAATTCCCAGTTGCTGTTCTCGCCCGCTTGAATTGCTCCGGAAAAAAAGAAAAGGAAAAAGAAAAAGAAACACAGAAGAGAAAAAAAGAAGAAGTGTCGAAACTGGAAATCAGGCCGCTGGAACGAAGTGGGCGAGCAGAAAGACCGGTTGGAGCCGCCGAGTTTTTCCTCTATCTCTCCTTCTCAAATCGCTCTCTTTCTATTGTATTGTATTGAACGGCAACGCCACGAAGCTCCGGTGCAAGAAGGTTGAAACGACGGGCAATTAGGAAGTAGGAAGGCTAAGATAGGCGTCGACGACCGAGCGTTACCAGCACACACGGTCAGACAGCTATCGGAAACGGACTCGCGAAAGGCTGTGCAGTCTGCGAGCAAAAAGAATGACGCCGAAGGAGTGGAATGCAGATCTCGCAAGGAAAGGGAGAACGAATCAGTGAGAATGGCCGAGGTCTGCGGATGGAATGGCCATAGAAGGGGGCTTGAAAAGGGAGAAGCGACGAGTTGTCGAAGGAGCGTAAGAAGTGGAAGAAGTCTCGCTTAGAGTCGTAAGGAGCGTGGGTGGTCTGTATCTGTAAGAGGCAGACCTCGTAAGAAAAGAGTGAATCTAGAGAGAGAGAGAGAGAGAGAGACAAGAAGAAGAGGAGGAGAACGAGAGGCCGAATCGCAGTCGCTTGCGGAAAGACACGATGGAGGACGAGTAAAGGCTCAAGCTTCACGTCCCTGGAAGGAATGGAACGCTGTGCATCCAACTCCCAGGTACCTTAATGATCTACGGAGCCCCGATCATTAATGATAGGGATGCAATCCCGGTCCTGGGCCCACTGCAAGCTCCCGGCCAGCGCTAATAACGCGCTCCAACGCCCTGGCTTCCAGCTCCGTAGCCGCTGAGGGACCTGCTGCATTCTGCAAAGTACCGGATACATGTAGGGGGGACCATCTGAAACATGGAATCATGGGTGGTTTTTCATGTACTAAGGCATTGAGGCTGTAACGGGGGCAGAAAAGGAATAGTGCGGCAGTGGTGAAATAGTACTAGTATCCCCGGCGGCAGTGATGTCTGGGTATAGCTTAGTATTACGAAGGGGAGACACATAATAGTCTGAGTAGAGACTCTTCAATGTAGTATTTGATGCGATGTCATTGCATTGGGGGCGAATACCTTATCTCGTTGTGAAGATCGATTGGGTGTTCTTTCGTACATCTCAGCCCAGGGCTGCTGCTGCCTGAGGTCATTCCTTAGCTCCTAAGCTGGGATGGGTACAACTACAGGCAGCTCGGCATTACATCAGGCGGTCGGTAGGCTAACCTGAAGGTACTGTACTGTAGCAGTCTGCATAGTACCTCGACCTCTTATTGGTAGGACAAACGGCAACCACCAGCATTTTGCATCTTGCAGATCCCATCAGCCAGACCAGCCCATCCCATCTCACCGTCAACACCCGACGGCTGCCCTTTTCGCGCTCCTCACACTCCAATCTCGCCTTCCCCTTCCGTTGGCCTGGACCGCATTTCTTGCTCTATGCCGCGGGCCCTGTGATGCCGCACCGGAAAGGCCGAAGACGACGACGACCATGGCCAATCCTGTAGGCGAGGACAGTTGGCTGGCCTACCTCGACGAAACCACGCGCACCGCCTCCGATCTCGAGCAGCGCGTCAATGCCGTCGAACTCTTCAAGCGCGCCGCCGGCGCCGAGCCCGGCAGCCTGCGGATATGGCTTGCCTACTGCAACTACTTCTGGTCTCTCTGGGCCGACAGCCAGTCCGATGCCGCCGGCTGGTCCGAGGAGGAGCAGATGATGGGCCGCGAGCTCTTCTCCTTCGGCTCCGCGTTGGACCTGTGGCAGCAGGGCTACGAGGCCATCAAGTACCGCATCAGCGACAGCCATGTCCTCTGGAACCGCTGGATATCGCTCGAGATGGAGCTGCTGGAGAAGACCAAGACTCCAGAAGGTGTTAAGCGCATCACGCATCTCTTCCGCGATCGGCTCGTCACGCCTCATCTCACCTGGGACGACACGTCGCAAATGTACTCGAGCTTCCTGTCGGAATACAATCGCGCCGCATGGGAGGAATCGATGAAGGACATCACTGCGCTATCCCAGGAAGCAAAGCGCCTCATGGCGGAGCGAGATCCCTTCGAGCTCAAGCTGCAACAGGCAGCTCGCGCAGACGATGTGGAGGCCCAAAAGACCATTATGGCCGAATACCTCGAGTGGGAGACATCACATGTCCACGGCGGCCAGGCCATGGCTGACATCAATTTCAATCTCTGCTGTGGACTCTATGCCAGAGCCTTGACCGGCGTATTCGCATCCGACGAGTCGGTTTGGCACCAGCACATAGTCTTTCTCTCGTCCTCCTACGCCGACACCAAAGCCCCTGAATATCTACTCAATGCCCTTCGCAGGGCCGTCCAGCATTGCCCCTGGTCCGGTCGCTTATGGAATAGGTTAATTCTATGCGCGGAAGAGGCGAAATTGGACTTCTCTGAAGTGGAGTCAATCAAGCACGCCGCGACGAGCGAAAACCAGCTGTACAAGCACGGCATGGAGAGCATGATTGAGATGTATGTGGCGTGGTGTGGCTTTCTGAAACGAACCGCCATGGATGCGAACGCTGGAGATGAGGCTGTCGATGTGGCTGATGTAGGGCTGAGCGCGGCTCTCGAGGACGTCGAGGTCGTCGGCAAAAGGCTTTACGGCAAAGACTTCCAAGGCGACCCCAAGTTTCGACTGGAGCGCATCTATATCCAGTATCTGACGGAAAAGAAGGGAGCCATCGACGAGGCGAGAAAGCAGTGGAACAAGCTCGCCAAGGCCCAGATTCACGCTGACAGCCACGACTTCTGGTTCCGCTACTATATGTGGGAGATGCTCATCTTCTCTTCCACCAACACGGGCAGCAGCCCCGTGCCCTCTTCTGGCGGCGTCAGCTTCCGGATACCCACGCTCGCCACCGCAGTCCTTCAGCGCGCTGTCAACCGGCGGACGATCGACTGGCCCGAGAAGGTGCTGGAGGTCTACATGCAGCATTGCAACGACTACGAACTGTCGCATTCCGTGCGCAGAGCGGCAGATGTCGTGCATAAAGCCGAAAGGGCCATTGCGAAGCGACGTGCTCTCGAGCAAGAGGAGAAGGCCGCCGCGTATGCTGCCTATTATGGCGCGCAGACGACCGATGGTGACGAGCCGATGTCCGGGGTGGTGTCCCCAGGCCACTCGAAAAGGAAACGAGAGGACCCGGCAGATGCTCAGGAGCCTATCAATACCAACAATAAACGCCAAAAGAGCGAGCATGAAGCGCGAGAGGCGTCGTCTAGCCTTCGGAGAGACAGAGAAAACACCTCGGTGCTTGTTACGAACCTCCCCGCCGAGGTCACCCAGACAAAGCTCCGCCAGTACTTCAAGGATTATGGTCACATTAACAACATCACAGCGCTTGTTCGGGAAGAAGATGGTCAATCGTCAACGGCAATGATTGAGTTCAGTACTCCAGAAGAGGCTCAATCCGCACTACTCAGAGACGGCAAGTTCTTTGGGCAATCTCAGCTCAGTGTGCGATCTGCGCATGACTTGACCATCTATGTCACCAACTATCCACCTGCGGCTGATGAAAAGTTCATCCGTCAGCTGTTCCAGGACTGTGGAGAAATTCTGAGTATTCGATGGCCGAGCCTCAAGGTAAACTCGCACCGCCGGTTCTGCTACGTCTCGTTCCGTGATGGTGATGCGTCCGCTAGAGCAGTGGCCAAGGACGGCACCCTTCTCGAGGGGAAGTATAAGCTCGTGGCCAAGTACTCAGACCCCAGTCGCAAGAAAAGCCGCGAGGGTGCCGTTGCCGAGGGCCGAGAAGTCCATGTTTCGGGTCTTAGCCCCTCGGTAACTGAAGACGAGATCCGCGACATCTTCTCCAAGTACGGAACGATACAGAGAATCAACGTGCCCCGAAACATCAATGGCAAGGGCCGGGGATTCGCCTTCGTCGTCTTTGAAACCAAGGATGAAGCTGAAAAAGCTGCGTCAGATCTAAACAAGACCAAGTTCCAGAACCAAATCATCCAGGTCGAGGTTTCAAAGCCCTCCATTGTGAAACCCACGGCTCATGCCGTAGCCCACGATCGCGCGTCTCCGGCATATCAAGCGACCGACGACGCTGACGGCGACAAGGCGTCAAAGCCCTCGGCTGCTGATATTGCCGCGCGCACCATCGCCCTCATGGGTCTGCCCGACACTGTCAACGACGCCCGGGTGCGGGCGCTTGTTGAGCCGTTCGGCCCCATTGTCAAGCTCGTTTTGCAGCCTGGCCATGGCGGTGCAAAGATTGAGTTTGCCGACTCCTCTGTGGCGGGCCGGGCAAGCCTGCAGTTGGACAATGTCGAGTTTGAAGGCCACAAATTGCGCGTCGGGTCCGTCGACGAGCTCCGTCACGCAAAAGCTGGCAGAGTCCCAGATCGCATCGTCCCGCGCAAGCAAGACCCAGCGAGTAAGGGCAAGGACAAGCCGTCCGAGAGTAGCACAGCCAAGGGTTTCACGCCCACGTCGGTCAATGTGAGGCGGCCGACGCTGGGAAGACCGGGTCCAAAGCGCGGACTGGGCTTTGTTGCCCCGAAGGCGTCATCTGTGGCGAATGCCAAAACTGGACAAGGACAAGGGGAAGGAGGACAAGACGGAAAGCCAGCCCCCAAGAGCAATGCAGACTTCAAAGAGATGTTCCTAAGAGGCTCGAAGCCGGAGAGTAAACCCGACGAGGCTGATTAGGAAGGCCGTGAGAGTCATACAATTTTCCTCGGATTGTTTTCGCTATTCTATCTATAGCTCGTCTCCAAATATACCTTTTGATGTACGGACATATAATACATGTATGCGCAAGTAGTTGTCGTGTGTCTACTTGATGGACAAAATCAAGTCTTATCAGATTCCAGTTTCGAAATTTGCCTTGGTTTTCTGTCCTGAGATTCCCATTTCGCCCTCCAGACGGCGGACATGCCTATCCCAAATGCCTCCCAGGTGTATTTACCCTTTGTATATCCATGATCCGTGGCCGGTCTCTGAAGGACAGGCGAAACAAAAGAAGAAGAAGAAACATCCCCCCTCTGTTCAAGCCAAAACATTTACAGGCTGATAGTGTTGACGGTCCTGTCTTGGTTAAAGTCCTGCGAAAACAAACGCTGCCAGACATCGAACCACTTCTCCTGCTGTGCAGTGAGCAGTTTGCCAGGCTGCTTGAAGCTTCGAGTGAGCAATTCGCGCAGCCGTGTGCGCAAGACTTTGATGACGAGCATCGTCTTCCAATCCGGGACGGCGAAGCGACCCCGATTACCATCCAGCACTATCACGCCAGAGTATAGCTAGATACGGAACCCATGTTAGATATACCGGATACCAAGTATTGTATTCAGAAGGCCATCGAAAGCGACTTACATCACAGCGTACGTCACCACAGAGCAGTGCTATGGCGAAAGGTTCTGTCACGGTGGTTTCATGTGCACGATAAACCCTACATTGAGAATTAGAAGATATCCTTCGACAAAGGGATGGGGGGGATGGAGCCAGAGAGCGACTCACGACTTGGTTTGCATGATCGTATAGTACGACAACCATCGCGCATCGAACAGCGTACGGTTGACAGAGGTTGGATGAAGGCTGATGGACTGGTTGTTACCAATGTTGCGGAGGCCCTTGGACCCTGGCACATCCCTCACAAGCAGCTTGGGATAAAAGCTCCATGCAATGACGGAAGTCGAAACGATGTCGTTGTCACTGTTGAGGTTCACCCGCTGGGGCACGTCGACGAACTGTTGTCGACGGCCGCGGCCGCCGGCGGAAAACCGAAGTCTTAGAAGCGCTCGCCGCTCCTCCTCCGTCAAGGACAAGAACCCGGAGTCCGCCAGAGATGTCAGCAGCTGTCCTTTCAGATCTTCAATGTTGGTAAGAGTCTGCTGGTTAAGGTAATTCTTCCGGCAGAATTGGAACTCTTTTCCGAAGCCCCCATTTGCCTGGCATACCCGCTTCCACGCAAGATACGCATTGTAGGTCGTGAGTAAATCCGAGTCCGCACGACGGAAGGCTGCTCTCGCGTTGTTTGCTTGCGTTTGCTGTCCAAAGGGGGCAGAAAAGGGGGACTTGGATGACAAAATGGCCGCAACGGTGATGGCCATGTCCAGGCATTTGAACACCGTCCCCAAGAGGATGAGCTTTCCCAGGAAGACGTCCAAGGGTAACCTCGCCAGTTGATATCCAAGGGGCGTAAGGTCTTCGGTGCCAGTCAAGGCGCGCACATCCACGAGTGCGTCCACGGCGCGGCGTATATTCTTGGCCGAAGGGGGATCCAAAGCATCGCTCAGCGTCTCTTCGATGCCGCCGAGTTTGCAAATCTTGACTCGAATGGCCAGGTCCTGCAAGGAGAGACGCAGCATCTCCGGAATTTGCTGGTCGCTCATCAGCGTATCGTGCCGATACCGGGAGAACATGTGGAAGCACAGCCCATTCTGCACACGGCCCGCACGCCCCCTGCGTTGCTTCGCATTCGCCCTCGAAATAAAAGTATCAATCAGCCGGGAAAGCTGCTTTTTCTCATCGAATCGCATCTCGCGGTGCTTGCCAGTGTCGATGACGCAAGTAACGTCTGGAATGGTGATTCCAGTCTCCGCGATATTCGTCGCTAGCACAATCTTCCTCATCCCCTGAGGGGGTATAAGGAAAGCGGCCTCCTGGTCCTCCATGGCAATTGTGGAGTGCAGAGGGTAGACAAGCCAGCCAGCCGAAAACCGAGGGTCCCCCAGTAGCATGTCATTCAGCGATCTGATATCTGCGATTCCGGGTAGGAAGACCAGGATTGCGTTGCTGTATTGCTGTAGCGATTCATCCACCGCAATTCGAGCAATTAGTTCAACAATGAGATCAAGATCGATTTGATATTCGTTCATTTGAGCGAGCACAGCCTTGGTTCTGTTTGAGTAGCCGGCAAGGCTCTGGGCCATCTCGGCTTTGAGTCCGTCCACTTCCGTCTCGAGCGTGTCATCGTCGAGGTCGATAATCCGGTCAGACTCTGAATTGCTTGGCACATAGCCAGTGAGCTCAACAGCATCCTCGAGGTAGCGGACCATGACTGGGAACGTTCTGCCGGGAACGTTCAGCACTGGCGCACCACCCAGGTACGCCGAAAACCGCTCCGCGTCAACAGTAGCAGACATCAAGATGACCTTCAAGTCTTTGCGGCGTTTCAGGAGGCGTTTGAGGACGATGAGGAGGAAGTCACTATCAATGGAGCGTTCATGAACCTCGTCGAGTACGAGATGTGTGACCTCGTGAAGATCATTGGAGCCTTCAAGCATTCTCATAACAATACCCGTCGTAGCATACACAAGCCGCGTTTCTTTGGACGTGTTTGACTCAAGGCGGATGGAATAGCCGACGAGGGACCTGGAGGTTCCCAGATCGCCCTTTTCATCACCCAACTCTTCACTTACTCGACGAGCTAGAGATATGGCAGAAATGCGGCGAGGCTCCGTGCAATAGATCTTGCACTGCCTGCCTTGCGACAGTTCGTGTTCCAGCAGAAAGGCTGGTACTTGTGTGCTTTTGCCACTATAGCATTGTTAGTTGAGGACAACGTTTATCCAGGAGCGGAATTCTCAACTTACCAGCCGGTCTCTCCGCAGATAATAATCACTTGATTCTGTTCTACAGCATCCAGAACGTGGCCTTTGAATTTCCACATCGGAAGCTGTTCTCGATATTGCTGGAATCCGCGTCAACGAACCACACTTATGAGAAGAAATCGGGCATAGGGGTTATTGCATACCAACATAGCTTCATACTTCTTCCTGCTCGACCTTGACGCCCACAGCTTCTTCAGGTTGTCATCGCTTTCAACGTTCCTTGATCGCTCGGTATGCCCCGACTCGGTAGATTCTGGCGAGCTCTTGGCGTTGTTGCGACCCCTGAACGCGCCTTGTAGGACAACACCGTCTTCCAACTCCTGGTCCTGCCTTTGGCGGACAAGGGCCTTGATCTCTTTCACAACCAGTCGATCCTGCGCATCGAAATGCTCCTTCTTGGCTTCGGCCATCTCAGACCAGAAATCTCGCCAGACGGTTGGAAGCCTGAGATTGACCTTTTCTTCCTTGGGATTACCACTGAATATGTGAAACAGCGCTGCCGTGGCGATGTAAGCCTCCGATTGCTTCACATCGGGGGTAGCAACCTTGGTCATAGTAAATTGGAAGCGGGTGGACTCAATCGAGGCTTCGACATCCGCATTTGCCACGATCTGAGCAGCGTCCTGTGGCTTTGACCACCCAATGACCACCGAGTGGCGGTTAGCAAACGTGGCCTCGGACACAACAGTATAGCTGATGTTGACAGAAGGGTCTCTGGTCATTGTTAGTAGTGTGCTCGCGTATCAGGGACTTGGGGTATAGTGTCCCGACTTGCCTCGAACGGCAGGCTTCTTCTAGGATGCGTTTGGGACTGACGCCCGTCCATTTAGCAAACTCTCGAATAACGAGCCGTGCTCCGTCGGAAGAGGTTACTACGGTCTGGAGCTTGCCAGTGGTCGGGTCAACCTCGCTCTGTGGAAGTGACTCGAACAAGCCCGCGATATCGTCGTCCTCGTCGTTCTCAGCTAGGATTTCCTGTGCCATCTTCTCAGCCATAGCGGTGATGTCGTCGTCCGCTTCCGGCAGGGGCGTGGTATCTTCAGGCTGAGACTGGCTGCTTGAGTCCGCGGCGGCCGTCTTCCTGGCCAAAGCGAGTTGTTTTTCCAAGTCGGCCTTCTCCTTTTTCCACTGTTGCTCTGCCAAGAACTTGTCGAACAGAACATCGGACTCTATTGTCTTCAATTTGGCTTCAAGATAAGCCATTGATACCGCATCCGTCTCATCTTCCTTTTGTTGCTTAGCAGATCTTGACCGCGCCGTTGTCTTCTTCAGGTGGCTCAATTCGAGTAACTTGGCCTTCGTGGCGACGTATTCTGGTATCAAGTCATCCGGTTCGATATCGCCGTCGAATGTCGCATTTGGAACCGATCGGGTTTTGCTCGATCGTTGATTCGGCGCGTTGCTCTTCTCGTTTCGGGTGGCTTGACTCTGACTCAACTTGGGAGTGCTCGTGCGAGAAGGCGGGGTGGATGTGTTATCAGCAGCATCTAGATTGTGAAATCAGAGAATGGTCATGATCGAATACTACGGAGAAGCTGACCTTTGGGAGCGGCCTTGGACTTGTTTCCGTATGGAGGTAGCTCGTCCAGCGGAGATTCACGAGCAAGCCACTCGAGGGCTTCCTCTAGGCCCCAGATATAATCTCGAGCAGCCGGCGAGATATTCGGTGCGATATCCAAGATATGTCGAATAGCCTTATCGACGATGTTCGCAGAGAAGCCGGCGCCGGTGAGTGTCTGCTGTAGCGTCCAGATGCGGGATACCAGATCTTCTTCAGACGGCATCTTTCCAGGCCCAGCGTTCTCGGATGACAGGCTAGACGCATAGAATCGGCTCTCGGCCTTGATATGGTCTAGGATATGATCCATCAATTCCCGCGGCAGCCATTTTTGGGTATTTAGGTTCTCAGCTTGGCTCCGAAGCAGGCGTCGGTCGGTTTCCAGCCGCAAGCACTGGCGCTGCGCATCTCGCTTGACCTTCTGGGAGTACTTGTCAACGAATAGCTGCAGCTCGGATTCCTCGAGCTGCCGTTCAAACTCCTCGGGGCTCAATTCAACTTTCTTGGCCGCCGTCTGCTCGCCACTCTGCTCGGCCGGCTTCGACTGCGACGAGGGGCCATCTGATGCCGCTGGAGGGGCAGTCTTGGGAGTGTTGACGCCCGAGGAAGACTGAGACCCTGTGGGCTCTGCCACTTCCAGACGAGGTTTGGATGCAACGGAGGTCGTGGCAAAGCCTCGTGCCGGGTTGGCTGCTGGCTTCTTCTTCTTCTTTGCGCCCGCCATGGCGATGCCTGGATAAGTGACGATGGAGAGCGACTGATATCGAGTACTATCAACAAGGTGGGCAGTTGAAAGACAAGGGCATAGATAGAAAGTGCAGGATAAGGCTGATAAAGCGGCAAACACTAGCGCAGCAAGTGTTATGATGCTGCGTTTGCGTTATTCCAGCTACCCGATAACAAAACACACGTTTTAGACGGGGACTTGCAGTAGTATCAGCATATTATGTAAACATTCTTCTTGGTTCAAAGGAAATTTATATTTTTCCTAAAGAGTTTATAATAGGATAGAAATATTATAGATATTAGTAGATACCTTGATATAAAGGTATAATATGTGTAGTATAGATATTAGTAGATACCTTGATATAAAGGTATAATATGTGTAGTAGTAGTATAGTTCCTATACCTGTGTTATGTTTCATCCTCTTTCATTACCTCATCAACATAAGTAGGTTATCTTTCTAAAGATATCTGAAATACTACGAATAAGAACAACCAAGTCTTCCATGCTCTGCTTTGACGTAGGCAGTCTCGTCCGAGCTACGAATAACAGATAATATCACACACGTATCATGAAGCAACCCGAAGGAGTAAGCATGTGATTGTGCAGGTACTACCGTCAACTGGACGGCTGTTAGGTCCGGCTCGAGTATTCGGTACCTGGCACGCATCCACGGATACGGCCTACAACGCCTGATGTCCGGTTAAAGATGCAGGTCCATGTACTCTGTAGCCATCAAGCAGCACCTGAGCGCTGTGCTCACCTCCAGCCACCGCATATTCGCTCGACCAGGCTGAACCCCGGCCCTCTGCACGACAAATTCCTCCCCCGGCATCATCACCAAAAACAACCCGCGCCGAGCTCGCTTCAACGGCCCCTCAGCTCCAGCTCCAGCTGTCATAAAACGGCTTTTTTTCCTATCCTTGCCTGCATGGCGCACTACACTAGATTGTGTAGGCTAGCGCATCCGGCCCAGACGCTGATACCTGCGCCTCCTTTGTCGACGTCCCGGTATATTCGCACCAGCTGGGCCATTTTGGCCATATGGCGCCCCTGTGAGATATCAGCTAGCTGACCGCAAGCTGAACTTGTCTTGCAAATGTCTACCGAACATCCTCTGGCATCGTCTTATTTCAAACAGCGGCGGCAAGACTCTAGATCGTATCGTCTCTATATTAAAGCTTCGTTCGGCTGCCTAGCCCATGCATTCTTCTGCCTTGACTGCCCAACTCCGAGAGGCAAGTTAGGATTCGAGTGAAAATCCCAGGCGACTCGGTTCCCTCCGTGGCATCACCCGCTTCACTGCCGGAGTCGTCCAGTTGGAGAAAATGTTCGCCTTCGATCCGTCGGTGCTGCCCCAGCTTACAACCCGCAAGGCTCTGATAGTGGTTGACCTTCAAAACGACTTCGTCGATGCCGTTGACGCCGGGCTACCAGTTACGCAACCCGATGGATTCGTTGACCGCATAGTCGAGGTCGCAACTGCTTTTCGTTCGGTGGGCGATGTTATCTGGGTTCAGTCTCAGTTCGACAAGGCCCGCGGGATCGACAGCGATCAGATCATACTGTCCGACAACACGCCGACTTCCCAAAGCAAGGGCAAAAACGTCGCCACCGAGGGAACTTCCGATGACTCATTGGATGCTGAGGCTTTCCTAAGCCATGAGGAGCCATCTTGCGTGAAGCCTTCCCACCCGGGGTGCGACATGCCCCAGGTTGTTGCGGAGGCGGTCCGCAAGAGCGATATCAAATTGACCAAGTCTCACTACTCTGCGTTTAACGGGACCCATTTGTTACGCTCTCTGCGTGGCAAGATGGTCATGGAAGTTTTCATCTGCGGCTCCCTGGCCAACATTGGCGTCTATGCGACCGCCATGGATGCTGCTGGCCATGGAATGGCCATCACCGTCATCAAGGATTGCTGCGGCTATCGTCACGAATCCAGGCGGATCGCAGCTATGAAGAGCTTAGTGGAGCTGACTGGCTGTGAGTTTCTGTCCTCTCAAGAGGTTCTGAGCACCTTGCCGTCGGTCGAGCCGGAGACCAAGCCGGAGACCAAGCCGTCACCTGAAGCGCCAAAACGGGTACCAGCGAAAGCAACAGGCGTCAGCACTGCTGAAGATATCACCCAATCGCTGCTGGAACTCAAGCTAGATTCCAGCCCATCTGACCCTGCCACTGTCGTAAAAGAAACAATATCGGAACCGGTGGCGAAGAAGGAATCCCAGGCTTCTGGGACGGAGAGACAGGCTGCTGGCACAGAATCCCAGCCCTCAGTCGCTGCATCTGCCGATGCTGACAGCGAATCTGAATCATCGCCTCAACAGACGCTCTGCGAAGGTGATGCCGATGTCATTCTGGATGCATTGCCAAGCGGCTTAGCAGAAGAAGCTTTTGAAAAGTTGGAAAAGGAGGTGCTTTGGCAGCGCATGTCGCACCAAGGCGGCGAGGTTCCTCGGCTGGTTGCTGTTCAGGGCGAGGTCAGCGAAGACGGTACCATGCCAGTCTATCGCCATCCCGCTGATGAATCCCCACCGTTGCTTCCCTTCTCTCCAACGGTCAAGGCCATCAAGGACGAGGTAGAGAAGCATCTCGGCCACCCCCTGAACCATGTTCTCATTCAGTTCTACCGTGACGGAAATGACTACATTTCCGAACACAGCGACAAGACACTGGACATTGTCAGGGGGTCATATATTGCCAACCTCAGCCTCGGAGCGGAAAGAACCATGACTTTAAGGACTAAGAAGCTGGATAAGGGTCTTTCCGGAGCGGCATCCGACGATGGAAAGCGAAAGATTCAACGGGCTAAGCTCCCGCACAACTCGCTGTTCCGCATGGGCTTGCAGACCAATATGAAGTGGCTCCATGCCATCCGACGCGACAGGCGTGCGGACCGTGACAGGTCGGCTGCGGAGCTGGCCTATTCCGGGCGCCGTATATCGCTCACATTCAGGCATATTGGCACGTTTCTGGATCGTGACGAGACCATTATCTGGGGCCAGGGAGCGACCGGCAAGACTCGTGACTCTGCACAGGCGATCAGAAACGGCCAGAGCTCCGATGCTGTGAACATGATACGAGCGTTTGGCATGGAGAATCATGCGTCCGATTTTGACTGGGACGCCCATTACGGCGGCGGCTTTGACGTGTTACACATTAGTAACTCGCCCAGGTTCTTTGCCTCCGCGGATCCCGTAGTCAACATGCGCATTGTGCTCATGCTGACTGACTTTGGTATCAAGTTCGCCAAGGGGAGCATGGCTTCTGGCACCGACGTTCAGAGCAGCAGTCGAGGCAACCCATCGGCGTTCTGGTCGCCGCCCATCAAGTTCGTTGACAACGACGCTGCCAGATCCGTCGTCCAAGGCGACATGGCCATCATGCTCTATCTGTACTCCCGCTACGGCCCGGGCCTCGGTACAGAGGCAGGCTCCGCTTCACCTGGTCCAGAAAAGCTTGCCGTGCTATACAGCCAGCTGCAGCAAGGGCTGAATCTCTTGCACATCTGGCGGCAAGCGAGAAGCGAAGGAGATGTCCCTGGCGGAGCATTGCCCGGGAAATTGAAGCAAGAGCTTGCCGTTTGGGAAGGCAACATTGCCGACGACGAGGGCAAAGGCAAACGCCCCGTGTTTCTCTGTGCGGACACTTTGACTCTGCCTGATTTTGCCACGTGGCCGGTTCTGCATTTCATCGTGGAAGAGTATGGCCTGGACGTAGCGTTCAAAGGCCTGGACAGATTACGAACCTATTATGAGACTGTTCGACAACTGGACAGTGTCGCTGCGGCTGTTGGAAATCAATGATTTCCTCCAGCGTTTAACACGAGAGGGCAGTGCTTCCATTCAACTATAGGAGCACATCGTCCTCTCGAGTACCCCCAGTAGTTGCTTAGAAGCACTCACTTTTGCCTTTTCACTCCCGTTGAGTGGGCGAACTTGCCAAATTTAGCTTCATCATGATACGTTAGCCTTGCTTTTGCTATTCCTTTCGCGCCCCCTCTTTAAGAATTACTGCCCTCACTGCCTCCCCGTTATAGATTCCCCTTTTGTATCTTCACAGAGCGATCATTTAACGCATGGTAAAAGAAATATGAATGTCACGTAGTAACTGGTCAGCATATACCCTGTATACCCCTATTGGGAGACGCAACTCTCCGATGTAAGCACTCGTGACACAATGCAATGTAGTTTTAAGAGAGGAATTTATTATTCGGCATTACATATCTACTGAGTTGAGTCCCAAGGGAGAGGATAAGTGCCTACCCAGTCCGCAACTTCGCTCCTCAGCTGCACAATCTCCGGATCCCTATCCCCGTTGCCAAGGTGGTCTACGAACAGCTTGAGCTTGCCAGGCAACTTTTCGCCTCGCTCCTCTGCTGCGGCCCTGACTGTCTTGTTGATGCGGGTCGCAATGGTGACGGCTCGGTCGACAACATCAGCCACTCGTACGAAATCATCCTCGTGGAACCCGCGAGTCGTCATGGCGGGCGTGCCCATGCGAAGACCGCCAGGCACCAGAGCGGATCGATCGCCCGGCACGGTGTTCTTGTTCGCGGCGACGCCGACAAGCTCCAACACGCGCTCTACTCTGCTGCCGTCAATGCCGTGGGGCTTGAGGTCAACAAGCACCAGGTGGTTATCGGTGCCGCCACTGACAAGGCTATATCCTAGGCCGCCTTTGCCCTTCTCCTCGCCGAGGCGTTTGGCAAAGGCCTTGGCATTTGCAAGCACTTGAGATTGGTAAGCTTGAAACTCGGGTGTCTGTGTTTGCTTCAGCGCCACGGCAAGAGCCGTGATGGTGTGGTTGTGGGGACCGCCCTGATGGCCGGGAAACACGGAGTTGTTGATTGGGCCTTCGAGGTTGTACATTTCATCCTCTTTGGTCTTGGGGTTCTGCCTGCGCACGCCCTTGCGGAAGAAGATCAACGCTCCGCGAGGACCGCGGAGACTCTTGTGGCTGGTAGTCGTGACGATGTCTGCGAAGGGGAAGGGGCCAGGCAGCACTTTGGCGGCAACGAGGCCAGAGATATGCGCCATGTCTGCTACCATGTAAGCGTTCACCTTGTCGCAAATCTCCCGGATGCGCTTGTAATCAATCAGGCGGCTGTAGGCGCTCGTTCCGGCGACAATGATCTTGGGCCGGTAGATGGAGGCCATTTTCTCGAGGTTATCGTAATCGATATAGCCGGTGCGCTCATCCAGCTGATAAGGCAGGGTCTCAAAGTACTTGGACACGGCGGAAATCTTCTTGGTCGGCGTCTGATAGCCATGAGACAAATGCCCACCGTGAGGGAGGTCAAGGCCCATCAGTCGGTCATGGGTATCCATAAGCGCCGAGTACACATAGAGGTTGGCCGGAGCGCCAGAAAGAGCTGGAGACGGGTCACCGTTAGAAGAGAGCTGCTTGAACGATGAGGCCCTGGGTCGCCATGTTGAACCTACCTTGAACATTGACGCCCCATGACTTGGGATCGAGGCCAAATGCTTCTAGTGCTCGCTGCTGGCAAAGTCTCTCAGACTGATCGATGAACTCGTTACCACCGTAATACCGTGCGCCAGGGTAACCCTCGGAGTACTTGTCTGCAGACATCGTTCGTCAGCTACCTGATTCATGTTCAAGACTCTTTCGGCGTGGCCCCTCCAGCTGCGGGAGGCGCTTACTCTGCATGACACTCCCCAGAGCATCCAGCACAGCTTGAGAGGTGAAGTTCTCGGACGGAATGAGGTTGATGAAGTGCTTCTGTCGGTTTTTCTCCTGCTCCAAGGCTCAGCATGCGCCACAACAGCTGCGTGTGGTTTCAAGCGGGATTCAGACGGACTCGTTCGATAATGTCAAACACAGCCGGGTCGGCCTTTTGGAGATGCGCCGAAAGGAGCTGTCGGTTCCTCGTGTTAGCACCAAGAGCCTTGCCTGCCACTGCCAATTGAAGCGCCGCCGACCTGCTGTTGGCCATCCTGGGCGAGCGAGGCCTTTGTCCGTCGAGCACCGAGGCATGCCGTGGCCACAGACGGTCTCGCTGCCAGTCTCTTCAGGCCGCCGAGAGGAAGCGCCGTGCTTCGCAGATAAGAAGCTGCCATGGTTTGGCCTTGGGAGGTCAACGACTGCGTAAAGAGGGGAGAGAGAAGCGGAGGGAGGACGGGACGGGACAGGGCCGAGCAAGAGACTGTCGCCTGCGGAAGCCGTTGTTATAAGAGCTGGAAGATGCCGGCGATGCTTGCCGGTCACGCAGGTCCGATCAGCGCGGTTCAATAAAGCGGCGCCCGTGCCCTGGCCGTGGCTTTCCGTCCTGCCAAAGTCTCGTCCCATCACCCCACATACAGTAAGGTACGGCTTGTTAGTACGGGCACCGCCTGTTCCTGCAAGTACTAGAGGTACATATCAAGTAATACGGTACTTTGAATGCATTGCCTCTACGACACATGGCCATTAATCCAATCTCCTTCGTTTCGCCGCCTTGTCTACGATACAATGCACAAGGCAAGTAGGTAGTGCAAGGCATTATTACCTAGATTAGAGTACACAATGAAAGGAGATGCAGCCGTGAGGCAAGTATTCCTCATCGCCTACTAGGTACCTACTAATTGGCATGATACAACTTGCTGCCTGGATTCAACAACACAGAAACTCATTCACCCGCATCACGGAGCACCAAATACCGGCGATGCGTGTCGGCTTATCCTTTTCCCGCTCCCCCACAGACTCCCCGCTAAAGTACTCACGGTCAAAAGAGATCCATCACAGGTCCGATCGACCACAGCCAGCTCGAAAAACCTCACTTAGCAGCCCAGCTGCCAAACAATGCTCGTACCACTAGTAGTACTGTCCCATGAACTTGAAGATTGATGTATCATTACTCGTGCTTCTGCCTGTGTACTCTTTTCTCCGAATAATCTGCACCGTCCCCGGGGCACAATCATGAGACAAGCATGTCTATAGTGGTAGTCCCGCACCCTCAATCAAATCCCCTCGTATTATTATCCATAAAATCGTCGAGTCACAGCCATATCCCGACAGGCAAGAAATTCAACCACGCATTTTCAGCACAGACGAGCGAGCCGGCACCTCGAGCATTTACCATTCCATTTTTGTTTCAATGCTACATGCCACAAACCCACCGGTACGACTGTAAAAACCAGAAGGGCGTAGAAAAAAAACCCAACCCGTAGACTCCAAATGCAGCCCCTCAGACCGAGAATGTCCTTCAAACTGGTTTTACTCGTCGCCGACCATCAGAGCATTTCGCTTCGCCGCCACCCTCTCCAACTTGCGCTCACGAGCGGCCTTGGTCTTGGCACGCTTGGCGTCCATCTCGTCCTTCAGAGCCTTCTCACGCTGCTTCTCGGCCTTGGCACGGTGGATCTAAAAGAAGACAACACGTTAATACATCATGGAACTCTCGCAACGCCAGGCTTTTGCTGCCCTTCCAGAAATTGGATGGGATGAATGGATATCAACGTACGTGCTCGACCAGGGCGCGCTTGTGCTTGAATGTGTTACCCTTGCTCAGGTGGTAGAGCTCGTGGTAGAGGTGCTTGTCGATCTTGCCGCTGGCACGGTACTTGACCAGAAGGCGTCGGAGAACTCGGAGGCGGCGCATCCAGAGGACCTGGCTGGGCATACGAGCGTCGGCGGTACCCTTCCTCTTACCGAATCCACGGTGTCGGCCTTCTCTTCGGGCAAGGTTCAGCTCGCGGGCTCGGGATCGCGAGTGCATCGTCACCGGCTTTCGGATAATGAGGCCATCGGCGACGAGCTTTCGGATGGTCTGGCGCGAGTTGGCGTTTGAGATCTCGCTCTGCTCGCTGGGATCAAGCCAGATCTTGCGCTTGCCGCAGCCAATGACCGACGCGGCAAGGCGCTTCTGAGTTCGCAGGTTGACCCTACATCATGAGGAAGCAGATTTTTTGTCAGCATCACGTCTCTTGCTGGCTCAAGGCATCGGCTTCGCTGAGGGCTGTCGTTCTTCATCGTCCAATCCTTTCCATGAAGCGTCCGAGGAATGTGGGCTTACATCTTGAATGATTTCGATATGGATGGCCGGCCCTCGATGGCGATGAGGTTGGATGAAGTTTGGGGGGGGAGGGTTTACGAGTGCCAGAATTTCCAGCGGGCGGTAGCAGTTCTGCTGAAAGTTTGTGGGTTCACGTGCACTAGACCCGGAATTTTAGCACAACTTTCAGAGAGTGGGCTAAGCGAGGGCTCTGATGAGTAATGGCTTGGCATTTTACGCTGGTAGTATCACGTGACTCTTGGAACTCCGGATGTGGACCTCCGGGATTCTGCCCTAGAACGGCAATGCTCTCTCCGCGGCTCCGTACATGTGCTCCCCAACAAGCGCGAGCTATCAACGGACATCTACGGGCCGCCTCAATTCTACTTGGATATAGATAGTAGAGAAGGACGGTATTACTTCGTTGGTCTGCTCCGAATAAGCTGTTACCTGGTTATTGCCCCTAAGCAGCGTACGAATTGGACCTTCCCATGTTCAAGGAGATGCATATGCCCTCTGCTATACTTCTACCAAACCACCGTCATTCGAACGATGTTCTCTTAGAATACCACGATGCCCGTAAATGCTAGGACAAACGTCTTGGATATAGGTTACATGTAATCTTCATCTGTTTTACAAGATCCTTTGCTTTTTTTGACCCCAAATACCGCAATGCCTATCCACATGCTTCCGCTCATACAGCAGCCTCGCCTCCGTCAATTTCTACCTTTCCCACGCTCCATATCTCTCGCTCATCCTCCAGCTCATCGTTGGAGAGACCCAGGCTTCCTTGTCCTCCCTCTGCCTCTCTCCTCTCCCTGGCTTGAACGCCAAGTCTCATAGCAACTCGCTTGAAGTAGTCGCTCATACTCCTCTTCACGTTCGGAGGCAGGTCGTTGCCTGGGCCTGCCATATACTTATCGAATATCCGGCTCTCCTCGTCCGCAACGCTAAACAGCTCAATGAAGGCCGCCTCAGCAGAGAGTTTGACGGGTATCACCGGATCCCTAACGCTCGCGAAAATCGGTGGTGCTAGAAGGGATACGTGAGGTCGTACCAAATCGGCGTTTTTCCTGCTCAATGTCCGGATGATCACCAGGGCGAGACGTCGCGAGTCTGTAGCATTTCCAGGCTGAATGACGGCCGCCAGCGTGTCGAATATCTGCTTGATGTCATCGAATGATTTCGGCGGCGACGAAAGCAGCAGCTTGCCCGTAGCAAGGATGAAATTGTCCGCAATGTATGTCTGCGCGAGGTTTGTAAGCTTAGTGGCTTATGCAAGGGATCACTCATTACTGGAAAGCACACTTACCCTCTTATCCTTCATCCCCCCGCAGAGCAAGCCTGGCAATTCATCCATTATAGCGCTTGACTGCAAGATGCTTGGTGATTCAACCAAGACCGAGTTCAAAGCCAATGCGGATGATTGGCTGAACTGAGGTGTTATGACTCTGTTTCTGAGCAAGCTCATAGCAACGTCATCGGCAACGTTCTTAATCAAGGCGCCGAGAAGCTTTGCATTAGTGACCACCATGGCCTCGTCTCGCTCATCAGTATCCGCGTCAATCAGAGACAGCACAGCGGATCTGGAGGATTCTCCCATGTTTGCGCCAGCTCTGCTGACAACCTCATACAAGGCCTTGAACATTGCCGTCCTCACGCCCGGATCAGTGGTCTTTGCGCCCGTGACGAGCTCGGTGATCAAGGGGTCAATGCGGGGCGTGTAGTTGATCAGAGTTCCCAGAGCCTTTGCCGCTCTGGTCCTCAAAACCTCACTCGAAGGATCGGCCAACGACTTGGCAAAAGTACGTTGGAGCTGAGGCAAGAAAGGCTTCAGCGCTGTTGGCATCTTCTCTAGCAAGTTATTCAATGTGAGTAAGATGGCCGATTTGACCTCCGTAGCACGTTCTGACACGACACGGATGAGCGGTCCCGTGATTTGGGTAACAAATGGCTTCAGTGACGCCTCGCTAGTCCGGTCCACGATGTCCGAAATACCAAGCGCCGCTTGTACCCTTTGCTCAACGGTTCCGTTGATGAGGCCCTGCAGAAAGATTGGCAGGATGGCACTGATGCCCTTGGGAAGCTCGAAGCCGCGCAAGTTGGCACCCGCAACACCAACGCGCTGGAGTGTCTGCCGAGTCGATACAACAAGTGATTCCATTTCTTCCTTCTTGAGCCTTTTGGTGAATTCTGCAAGGGCGGCCCAGGCAGCTTTGACTACATCCAAGTCTCCGTCATCGAATGAGTTCAACAGCGATCGAATGATATCCTGGTTATATCGCGAGTAGTCAACACTCGCCACGGCGAAGAAATTTTTCAAGTGCACAGCCGTAGCAGCTCTCCGCCGATGATCGTCATGCTTGAGCAGGCCGAGAAGAACATTCATCACGGTATTGAGGCCGTCATACTCGTCGATTGACTGAATCACAGTGTCGAACGATGTTGCCAGCTCCTCCCGCAGACCCTCGTCGCTACAGTTGATCTCATTCTCCATCAACGATTGGATAATGTTAGGGAGGCGACGGTTCATAGCTGCGCCGGCAACCTTAGACAACGAAGCCAAGGCCTTTGCATCAAATGCCGAGATCGGTGGAGTTGTCAATGTCGGAATGAGATTAGGTAGAATGATATTGGACCGGGTGGCCTCAGTCAATAGCGTCAAAAGAGCCGACAGGGCATTCTCTGCTTCATTCTCGGATCGCAGGAGGTTGAGCAGGAAAGGAAGGACTTGGTCAACTGCCCGCTTGCCAAAGATTTGTTGAAGGGAGTCAAATGCTTCGGCGGCAGCCTCCCTAACCTCAGCATCTGAGTCAATGAGAGCGGTGCGGACGACCGAAATGAGTGTCTTGTCATGTTCCTCGAGTGATTCTGGGGACGCCGAGGAGATGAGCTCGCGTAGAGCAAGACAGATACCTTGCTTCGCATCCGTATCCGTGGACGTTTGCAGGCCATTCTCCAGAGTGGGCAGCAGAGTGGCGAGGACACCATCGCCAGCTTTCCTGATCAGCTCGCCGAGCGCATTACTGGCAATGACTTTGTGTTCCATGTTAGAGCTCCCGAGTCGCTGAATTAGGAGTTTGGTGAGAGTTGGCACCAGTTCCTTCAATGTCCTAGGACTGTGCACAAGAGCTTTCCACACTGAAATGGCAGCAGACCGGACCGCTCCAGCAGTGTCGCATCGACAGATGTAAAGAGTTGACAGGATCTTGTTTCGCTTCTCCTCTCCAAGCACTTCCTTCAAGGAAGCACTTGCTTCTTTGACATTTTCATCCTCCTCGTCCCCTGGTTCCGCGCCAGCTTTCACACCCGTGAGGTTGAAGAGAAGATCACCAACAAGCTCGACGGAGCTGAGACGAATCCTGTAGCTGTCGTCTGCCAGTCCTCGCTCCAGTTCAGGCAGAAGAAGGTCTACAGCACGAATTGCGAAATTCTTGACAAGTAATCGTCCAGCACGAAGAGCTGTTTCGCGAATAGATTCCACGTCATCCGCCAGACCCGCCAGAATAGGGGGAACGATCCGGCCCAGGTATGCCGAGAAACTATTACCGAAACAGACGGGGAGGAAAATGAATAGCGACATGAAGCCTTCGCGGACTGCTGGTTTGGATGACTCGACATTCTGAAGAATAGTTGGTAGAGTCTCCTCGAGTCTGCTCGTGCCCAGGCCGGCCAGGACCTCGCTCAAAGCTTGCGCGGATCCAAGGCGGTCGCCGGCGCCAGTATCGGACTTCAGAGTCTGCATCAACTCGGGAATCAAGTTCGGTAGTGCGTCCTCACCCAGCTTCTCGACCAGAGAGCCGAGAGCCCTGGATGCTGTCGCACGGGTCGTTGGTACCGGGTCAACGGCTGCAAGTTTCAGCCCGGAAACGAGGACCGGGAGGTGCATGACAATGTCCTTCTTCTCCGTCAAATGAGCCAGACTACCAATCACTTGTGCCGCCTTGCGTTTCGTGTTGGAGCGGTCGCCCAGGCCGCGCTGCAGAATGCGGGTGATCAAAGCCAGGGAGGGTGCATCAAGGTAATGCACGAACTGGACCTTGATCAAGGCATCCAACGCCTCATCAGTGTACTTCGTCGGGTCACTGAGAGCCTTCAAAATCACGTCGACCAAGCTCTTCACTTCAGGATTGTTAATGACATCGCCAAATCTCTTCAAGCTTCTGTTGGCGGCAGCCCTAACTTCCTTGTGGCTGTCATTCAGCACGGCAGTCAAAGGAGGAATGATGTCGGGAAGGCTGGTAGCGAGCTGGTTCGGATCGAGGTATGCCATTGCACCAAGCAGATCGCAAGCGCCTCGCTTGCTACGCCACTGCTGGTCCTCAAGCCCGTCCAAGAGCGTTGGCATGATCTTCTTGACACCATAAGAGCTCAGCTTACCGAAGCAAGCCTTCGCGGCCGCCAAGCAAGCATCTCTGACATCCGCGTTGGCATCTCCGAATCCGGTGAGAAGTAGTGGCACAATCTGAATGACATATGGTTCGAAAAGACGACCCAGCATAGTAGACAGAACCTCAAACGCCACAAGAGCAGCCTCTCTTTGGTGGGAGTCTTTCTTATTTTCCAAAGCTCCCCGGAGATCTGACATGATTCGGAACTCTTTGATAGTGGAGATGCCTCTACCAAGAATCAACCCTGCCAGACCGTACGCAGCTCCTCTTTGTGTCGCATACTTCTTGGAGTTCAAAAGCTCGTTCATCGTTTGCTGTATATATTCGGGCAGCTTTGACGGGTATGCCCTTATGAGCGGAGGCAGGCATTCGGCGATCGCGTACTGCACCATTTCGGATGGCGTATTCAAGGTTGCCAAGAGTCGCTCGATCACAACAGGGATCTTTTCGTCGCCCGGCTGGAGATGGCGAGCCAAAGCGCCATACATGATAACCACCGCCTCGTTGACACGATCGGCTTCGTCGCTGTTCTTGTCGGCCTGCTCCAAGGTCGTTTCGAACTTCTTCATCAGCTCGTCTATGATGCTACCTCCTTGGAATTCTATCACCCGAATGGCAGCATCGAGCGTTTCTGTTCGAACAGAAGCATTCTTGTCTGCCAGAGGTCCAGACTGGATCAGGAAATCGAGCAGGTGGCCAGCTTCGGAAGAGTTCAAGACATTGGCCAGTTCCTTGAAGGCGGTGGCAATGCCGTGCCTTGCTTCCCATGGGTCCGACAAGTCCATCTTCTTTGGCATCCCGAATTCGTCGAGAAGCTGGACCTTTGGTTTCGCCATCTCCAAGTAGATAGACTCGAGCGCTGGTATTACGGTCTGGAGGGTATCCTTGTGGACTTGCGCCGCCTTTGCAAGAGCACGAGCCGCAGCTCGGCGGAGTTGACCGTCTTTGCTTTTCAGGAACGGCACCATGAGCATAGGAAGCTCGGCAGTAATCTTAAACCCGCTCTCTTCCCATATCTCGGTACCCAGCTCTTGGTTTTCTTCTTCGTCGTCATGACACGCCAGCCAAATCTCGCTGCTCGAACCCAGTTCACTCATGTCAACGTCTGCACTGATAGATTGCAACACGGCAGTTCTGACATTGGCCTGCGGTACTATAGCCCCGCGAGCAAGGACCGTCATCTCCTCGGTACTGATGTTTGGGGCGATACAGCGGCAGATGTCGGAGAAGCAGTCCTTGATGAGTTTGTAGTGTTGGGCATGGCTTTGCATCGAATGGATCAGGACCGTGAGGAGCTCCGCACGCGGTATTGATTCCTCAGTAAAAGTAATACTGTGGAACGAGATGAATTCCACGGCCAAGACGATTTGGGTGTCGCGATCATCCTGAGTTGCACCAACGCCTCCTTCCCTCAGGATGTGGAAGAGGAGCGGGAAGATGTATATCAGTGACACAGCGTCAAACGGCCGCTGCTCGCCAGCGAATCGGAGCCGATATAGCACCCTTGTTGTCAGATCAGAGAGTTCTTCATCTCCATAGGTCCCTGGCGGAGAGAGATTTCGAAGCCTGAGCGTGGCAATACCAATTGAAGGTCGAACCGGGCCCAGCCTGGAGCTCACTTTGTCGGCGCAGGTGATGTAGACCTTGGACGCTGCGTCACCTATGATGAGGCTCGCACCAGCTTCCATAACGGCAAGGAGTGAAGTGATGGCAGAACCGAGCCAGAGTGCCGCATCAGTCGGCGGTCCCGTGGCCAAGGAGTCTATAATTCCGACGCCACGGAGAAGCTTGGCCTCGATCGCTTGGACTGACGCTCGGATTTGTGCCTCTTTCTTCAACTGAGCATTCACTTTGGACGTCTCTTCGGCAGTGAGTTTCCGTTGCGGGCCTTTCTTCTTTTCGAGCTGGTCTCTCAGCTCCTTCTCCCATTTGACGATATCATAATCTTTGACATTCTTGTTTATGGTCTCGTTCTGGCCCTTTTTGCTCAGCACATCCACGAAGCAGGTGCCCTCTTGGGTTCTGAAGATGGCGGCCTCGACTGGTCCGATTGCGCTCACGGGCTGCGGGTCAAGATCTTGCTTTATGAGGTCTGTAAGTCGGGGGATAATGGCTTCCGGAGCAACGAAAGCCAGCTCTGCCGCAGCACGATATGCAGCAGTCCGGATGACATCAACCTATGATTCTCGTCAGCGGCGATTGCGCCCTTTGGACTTTGGCAAATTCGGTCATACCTTTTGATGCACTGATGTCCGTTCGTTGATCTCATTGAGCAGTGTGTCAGCATATTTCGTGGCAAGCCTTCCGGGATCGACGCCCATTCGAAGACAGGAGTCTATCCAACTGGCTCGTGGTATCAGCTCTCCTCGGCAGATAATGAGTAAAGAACAAGCTTGGTGCTCCAATGTCTCTTCTGAGGCGTTGCCCCCAAGCGCTTCCAGTTCCTTGGAACTGATACATATCGCTTTCAGAGCCCTGGTCAGATCGCGCGTCTCGATAGCCAAATCTTTGTCCCCAACTTGAATAGTCTGCTTCAGGTGAGACCACAGACCATTGATGATGACATCGGCTATCATGCTAGGGTTCTGAGCATAGAGGGCGGAGAGGGATTTGGCGCTCTCTTGTCGCACATTTGAGGGTACGGTGGAGGCCGTGATGAGATGTATGATAGCCTCAGCCCATGCCAGAACTACCTCCTTAGGGGTGCTGCTCGCCAACTTGGTGGCAACAGAGGACAGGGCAAGACGGAACCAATGGCAGTCCCCCTCGCTTGCAATCTTGTTGAAGATTTTGGAGTTCAGGAGGAAGGATTGTGGCGAGGCTAACGCAAGAGTTGGCGGCGACAGCTTCAATAGATCGGATCCAACCTTTGAGTCAGCGAGCCATTGCTGCATTAGAGGGAACAGAGCAGTAAGGATGTAAGCCCCAACTATGATGCCGCTCTGGGCAGTCAGTATGGGGTTGGCAATGACTTCATTGAAGTTGTCGATGAATTTTGGAGTAACTGCTTCTGTAAACGAAGACAAGGCAGCGTTCGGGTCCAAGCCATCAATGACGCGGAAGATGGACCCTACACGAAGCAGCCAGGTTTTGCGAGTCGCCGCCTTCTTGTCCGCCAATCCTTTAAGCAGCACGCTGAGGACAGGCTGCGAGACTTCGCTGTTGCCCTGCAACAAGACATTGATCGCTCGGCAAAGCGTCAACGTCTCGGCGGCCAACGCTACTTCGTTTCCTTCCTTGCCAGCAACAGTTGCCAAGAAAGTGGACACCTTTTGGGCGTTTGGGCAAGTAAGGGGGATTGCTTGCAGCATTTCTGCATGGAGAACGCGTTGCTCAGCGGACGCCAGCTTACCCGCCTTCAGGGGACCCCCGATTTCCTCGATGGTGTTGTCGATTGCGTCCGGCTCGTGGCATCGTGCAATAATGGCACAGAAAGAAGCGAGAACGCCGTTTCGTATCAAGACATTGGTGGACTTGACGTTTGAAAGTAAAAGTTTCAGCAGCTTGCCAGTCAGCAAGCTTGAGAGGTCGAATTCGGCTGGCAAATCTTTCACTAAGCTTTGGAGAACACCGTCCAGGATTACTTCAGGAGTACGAAGCAAGCTCTTTTCTAGAGTTGGAACAACTTGAGTCTGGAACTCATCAAGAACCGCAAAGCTAGAGAAAAAATCGCCCAGTCCGGCTGCGATGTGACTCGGTAGTGCAGTCCGAGAGCCCAGAATCTCGCGATTGTAGAAGTCGTAGTACTGGGACTTTAGGGATTCCAGCGTAGGTCGCACCGCAGGCCGACGAGCAGCAACTCCAGCGATAACCCCCAAGATAACGGAGTACCTGGCAGTAGGCTTGCTGCGTGCCGACGTCAAGTTCTTCACGGCATCAGTTACATTCTGGGGTCCTGAGGTTGGGGAACTGAATAGTTTTCGAAACCCCCTTCGAGTAACTATGATGGCCGAGTGGGCCAGCGTGGGCCTCGAGGACGGCCGTACACACTTTTCCAGTGCATCTGCGTATGCCAGCAGGATATCATTACCAAACACTGCCCACGTAGGCTCGGACAGATGCTGCAGCAAAACGCTGCACCACTCGACCAAGACAAAGGCGCTGGATGTGGCAATTCCCTGCTTCGAAGCCTCCTGTTGTAGCGTTTGGACCAATAGCTGCAGCGTCGATGAGGGAGCATCCCTCGTGACGATTGATACTAGGCATTTCTGGGCGGCCAGCCTAGATTCGCGATCCTGGTAGGAGGCGTGGGTGTTGAAGAGGAGCTGCAGAACGTGGGAGGAGAGTTCGTCGTCGGATGCTATGTCAAATGGTTAGCCAGTCGCGAGTCTGTCGAGTCCGGAGCAAGGTGTAACGGTACGTTTCCGAGCCACTGCCTCGCCCAGAAGCTGCAGCTCAGCGATGCGCACAGCAGGAGAGGACGAGGCCAGAGCCTGGGCAGACCGAGTCAAATCGATGGCGCCCTCGGCAGCATTGCCGCTGGGGGCACGTTCAGACATATCGATTCACAGCCCTGGCAGGGAGTGGCGGACAGGTCATCGGGGGCTCTAGGATTTTTTTCGACAAGTCGACGGCTACTATCGTGAGCCACGAAGTGTGTAGTAGTAGTGCTATTATTCTTGCGAACTTTTGCCTTGCCTTACCTCAGGTGCTCTAGTCCAGGTTTGCCCCGCAGCGACCACCACGACAATGCCCCGCACTAGCCTTTCTGGTTCACTGCTTGCTCGCATTGGCCTCCAATTGCTTCGAAAGGCCTGCCTTGTTCCTTGGTGGAAGCCATAGCTCAATGGGGTGTGCGGAGTATTATATAAGGAGCCGGCTCTCAGATAATCTTCAGCAGCGCAAGGTATTACCGACATGGTCGATATCGTGGGAAGACTGTGTCTCTTCTTCGATCTTCTGAAGTAGTAGTACTGTCATTCAGCGGGTTATTCGGCAATTCTCTCTCCACAGCTACCGTCTGCTCAACAATCAAGAATCCACAGGACACAATCGTCTGAATCTTGTCCTCGGCAGAAGGGGTAAATCATGTAAACGGCTTTCAGTCGCAGACTCTAAGCTTGCTTCTCACGACTGAAGACTGGCAGCAAAGTTGCACGTTGCAATTGGGCGATTCCCTTGAGCATCGTGGTGTGTTCGGGAAAAAGGAAATCATGAAGGCGAGTCGCAATAATACTCAGAACCACCTCGATAGTCACAAGATAAGCCATCCCGAGAGAGCCGCCACCGGCAACACCGAGTAATTAGATAAATTGAAATACTAATGTGATCGGATTGTTCACGATATCGCCACGACATTACCTGTTTTATTGCTTCAGTCCTATATGGCTGTTGAGTTGGGCAGTAGTGCTTAGCATCAAGCCCAGCTCACAAGGTGCCCTGGAAGGGGGCTCGCTTTTTTATTCTGCTGCCTGGATGCACACGAGTGGCTTCGATTCGTGCCGCTAGCTCGACTACCCACTCTAAAAGTTTGAAGGATGCCTGAAAGCTCCCGGTAAAAGAACTGGAACCCAGTGCAGATTCAGTCCTGAGCAGCAAGTCTGGGAACTTCGTTGACGACGGGGATTGGGCGAACAACAAGTATTACAAACACACAAGGCCTCTGAACTGGGGAAAAGCGGATGGAATGGAGCTGGAGCTGGAAACGAAGAACTATACACACAAACCACACGGCTCATCGAGGGGCCAAGTCTCCGTTCTCGACAGCCAGCTTTGCTTCGCTCGCAGCCTTTGACGGAGAGCAAGCGTCATGCACAACACTGTCGCCCGGATCTACCCAAGCGGGAGATGGGTATTATGGCTTAGGTACAGCGAGGTCGGTCAGGTAATGTAAGCAGGTAAGGTAAGGCATGTATGTATGTAGGGCACCAAGTCACAGGTCGTCATGCAGAAGGCTTGCCTCCACATGTCGTCGTACTACCTGCTGCTAGCAAGTCTATAGCTCAATTGCCGTGGCCATTTCGTGGGTTGTTCCATGGAGCATTCCTACCGATCGAAGATAGCCGCCTCCACCGTAATTCGAGGGCCGCGGTTACGGGCGAGGTCAGGAGACATTACAAGCGACACACTCTGGCGCGCATGTATCGTAGGGTCAGGCAGTGGCAGGTATAGATACACGTATATATAGCATCCCCCTTCTCCCACCTCTGAGCTCCCGCAAACATCCTCTCCCCAAAGCCCGGACAACATGGCCGCTACGGTGAAATCTTCCACGCTCATGCTGCGGCTCGCGGCTCGCCGAGCCTTTGCATCCGCACCCGCCAGACGCCTGCCGCTGGCCACAGCAAGAAAGTTCCACAGTGTGCCGCCGCCGCGACAGGATAAGCCCGGCAGCCACTCTCGAACAGATGCCGAAGTCGAGTTTGAGTATCCTCCGGAGCATGAGCTTCCCAGCAGCGAGCCCGTCCTCGGTACTGGCGGCCAGTATGTCAAGCCGACGCTTGCCAGCTTCTCCCTCGATGGAAACGTCGGTGTCGTCACTGGAGGCGCAAGAGGGCTGGGACTGGTGATTGGCCAGGGAATGGTCTTCTCCGGCGCTGACCTGGCCCTGGTCGACATGAACAGTGAGATTCCGCGTGCCAATTCCACGTTGCTGGTACTCCAGGTCAGCTAACGCAATGGCAGAGGAGGAGGCCGAGAAGCAGACGAAGCTGCTTGTCGATGCCTTTATCAAGGAGAACCCCAACGCAAAACGGTCAGTGAGCGTAATGGCGAGTTTGGGCAGCGGCCGCTTGGCTCTGCGTGTACATACAGACAGCTGATCCACGTCCAGCATTCCCAAGGTGACGGCGCATTACGCCGACGTTTCTGATGCCGATTCTGTTGAGGCGTGTATCTCTGAGATCATCCAGCAGCATGGCAAGATCGACAACTTGGTCACCTCGGCTGGCTTCACCGAGAACTTCGAAGCCATCAACTATCCCATTGACCGACTCCGGAAGCTCTGGGGTGTCAATGTAGACGGCACATATCTCTTCGCTACGTCGGTTGCTCGTCACCTCATGCAGAGGAAGAGCCCCGGTAGCATGGTCATGATTGGCAGCATGTCCGGGGCCATTGTCAACGTGCCCCAGCCTCAAGCGTGAGTGCAATGATGGATTCAATCGTCTCAAAGTCAAAGGGAGACGTGATTGGGCGCAGAGAGAATCAGCAAGCTAACGATTTGGACTGCATCAGGCCTTACAACGCCTCCAAGGCTGGAGTTCGCCATCTGGCAGCTTCGCTCGCCGTTGAGTGGGCACATGCTGGCATCAGAGTCAACTGCCTCTCGCCGGGATACATGCTGACGGCTTTGTGAGTTTACCTAACCTGCGGTGTCCTCGATTGCAGCCATGAAGTTCGGCGAGCTGACTCATATTCTCAACTAGAACCGAGAAAATCCTGGATGAGAATCCCGAGCTGAAGCAGAAATGGGTGTCCCTCATTCCCCAAGGCAAGATGGGCTTGCCTCAGGATCTCATGGGCCCAGTAACTTTCCTACTGTCTGATGCCAGCCGCTATGTAACCGGTGCGGACCTTCGCGTTGATGGCGGTTACACCCTCACATAAGAAGGCTTTAGTGGTTAGTAGTCGGAGCTCAATCCCGAGCGTGTACATAGTATAAGTTCCTTGAATCGAGAAGAATATTTTAGTCATATCTACTTTTCAATGTTTTTTTTGTTTGTACATATTAAGACACAATATCAACTTTGGCACAAACCCTGGTGCACTTTCGCCCAAGTAGCCCTTTATCGGCATAGTCCAATGGATGATCTATGAGTAAGAACCGTCTATGCTCATTGACCAGGAGAAACCAGTCTCCCATGAGCCCTTGAATCATGCTCCCACCCACCAGCCAGCGCCGGACCCCCTGAAGCCTTGGCATATCTCTCCATCCTGGCTTCGAGCTCAGGTCTGAAGTGGCGGATGAGACCCTGGATTGGCCAAGCAAAGGCTTCACCGAGAGCTGGAAAAATAGAAAGGGATGTCAGAAAAACCGGACACCTACAGTAGAAAAAGGGGGGTCGAGTACAACTTACCACAGATAGTGTGACCCTCAACCTGCTTCGTCAGCTCCTGGAGCATGTCAATTTCCCTCTCTCGTCCTTGTCCTTTTTCGAATCTGCTCATGATCTGCTCAGTCCACTTGCTGCCTTCGCGGCATGGTGTGCACTGGCCACAGCTCTCGTGACGGTAGAAGTGGCTCAAGCGGCTGATGGCACGGACAACATCTGCACTCTTGTCCATGACGATGACAGCCGCTGTTCCCAGACCAGACTGGCTATCTTTCAAGGCATCGAAATCCATCAACTGGTCATCACAGACACTCTTGGGGAGAATGGGAGTAGAAGAGCCGCCAGGAATAACAGCGAGCAGATTGTCCCAGCCACCTCGGACTCCACCGCAGTGTTTCTCGATCAACTCGCGCAGAGGAATTGACATCTCTTCTTCAACGGTGCAAGGGTTGTTCACATGGCCCGAAATGCAGAACAGCTTCGTGCCTTGGTTACGTTCGCGGCCAAACCCAGCGAACCAGCTTCCTCCACGGCGACAGATGGTTGGTGCAACGGCAACAGTTTCCACATTGGCCACAGTTGAGGGGCATCCGAAAACGCCGACCGCGGCAGGGAAGGGTGGCTTGAGTCGTGGCTTTCCGGGCTTTCCTTCGATAGACTCGATCAGGGAAGTCTCTTCTCCGCAGACGTAGGCACCAGCACCGCGATGAATGTAGACGTCGAAATCGTATCCGGAGCCACAGGCGTTCTTGCCAATGAGGCCGTCTGCGTAAGCTTCGTTGATCGCATTCTGAAGGATGGCGGCTTCGTGATAGAACTCTCCACGGATATAGATGTAGGCAGCGGTAGCGTTCATTGCCCGACCAGCGACAAGACATCCCTCGACGAGTTTATGGGGGTCCTTCCTCATGATTTCCCTGTCCTTGCAGGTGCCAGGCTCGCCCTCATCGGCATTGACCACCAGGTACCGCGGCTTCGTGTCCTTTTCCCAGCCCTTGAAGTTCATGAAAGACTGTTTTCTCGTGGGTTAGAGACTCGTCAAGGCCCAACTCAAGGGCGGAGATCGTGACATACCCACTTGAGACCGGAAGGGAAACCTGCGCCACCTCGCCCGCGCAACCCAGAGGCCTTGATCTCGCTGATGATCCATTCGTCGCCTTTCAGTAGGATCTCCTTCGTCTTATGCCAATCGCCCATCTTCTTGGCGCTTTGGAGGTTGGCAGGCATTCGCCCGTAAAGGTTCTGGAAAATCCGGTCCTGGTCCCTCAGCCCACCATAGGTTCGGGCGGCGCCTCCATCCTGAACAGTAGCCAGGCCTCTCGTGGCACCCCGCGAGAGACTTATGGCTTTCTTCGAAGTTGCTCTGGCAGACAGCATGGTGGTTGTTGCGATTGATCGCGAGGTCGGAGGGTCGGAGGGTCGCAGAGCGAAGAGCTGGGTTGAAGATTGGTGGCAAGACTCTGAATTGGGGATTTGATAACGGAGCTGTTTGATTGGCTAGCGACTTTGCCTCGATTTCCAGCTTGAGACATTTACAGAAAATGCAGGCAACGCTATGATTACTAAGGAGGGAGAATTCAAAGTACGAATACTATCTAGTCTAATCAATTTGATAAAATACATAGTAATTCTTAGTTTCTATATATTCTATTATATTTATGTAATTATATATTTTAAGAAAGAAAATCAATATTTTTTTTTTCTTATAACTATAGAAATATTCTCTATTAAAATATATTACCTGTATATTTTCATAGTATATACGTAGTTATTTAGCCTACTTAGATAATCTCACACAAAGGGCTAGCGTCTTTACTCCTTGGTGCCTCTAGGGATCACGGCTAGCAGTAGCAAAAGCCAACAAGTGGAGCACCTCACCCCGGATGCGACTACCAGTGACCTTGCCGCCTCATCATACGGAGCGCCGTCGATAATACCTGCACGCGTCACAGCTTGCACACAATGTTGGAACCAAGCAGCTTGTCCGAGTTGTTACCCTGATCCATGAATCTTAGCAGCGGCCTTTGTTCTGGATGCCAAAATGGATGTTTCAAGCGCGACCGGCTCCAGCGCAGCCGCCAACAGGGCGGAGCGGTTCGAAGACGAGAAACGTCGAATTATTGACAGCTGTTTCAACAAAAAGGATACCGATGGCCTCCGTGAGACTCGACCGCGAAGATCTTCCTGTTGGGACGCTCCTTCACTGACCTTGCCTCACAGTTCACGAGACTTACATTACCCATATTCGCGTTACGGAGTTCTCCTCGCATTCGTCGATGCCGCCACCTCCTGAAGCCCGGGGCCTCAACACGGAAAAGCCCAGGATCATTGTCGTAGCGGTACGCAAATCCGGAAGGGTCCGAGTGCATAAGGCCAAAGAGAACAGCAGTGGGACCTTTTCCATCGGCAAGACTTGGAACCTCGACGACCTTTCACACATAGAATCATATACGGGGCCCAAGGTAAGCCCAAATCTGCGAGAATGGGCTGGAGAGACTGGCTTTCTCGTCACGCTGGGAAAGCCATACTTCTGGCAAGCTCAGACCGAAAAGGAGAAGAAATTCTTCATTGCGAGCTTGGTCAAAATATTTGGCAAATACACAGGAGGCAAATTACCAGAGCTATCAGGGTTCGACCAGAGGGAATTGGATCAAATTCTAGGGGCGGGCAAGCGGCCGACTGGAACACCGCCTCGGCATCAAACGAGTGACCCGACGACCAGCCAACAAGCCATCACCACGTCTTCAGCCGCACCCAAACCCGGGTTTGGAGAGGGGCCGCGATATCCTAGGCCGTCTCCTCTTGTCCGACCTTCGCCGAATGAAACCATGTCTCCTTCCGGTAGCTTTGACTCCACCACATCCAGAGAGCGCTCTGTACCTCGATGGACGACCCAAAACAACAAAAGCCAAGACTCCATTGCCAATTCTTCCGCGACAAAAGGCGATGATTCGTCGAGCCTTCCGCCGCGCTCACGCAGTGGTATGAGTGGACCAAGTGGTCTCAGTGGGCTGAGCGAAGCTCGAGATGCTCCTGACTCGGCTCCTGACTCTGTACCTCCACTATCTCGCCCGTCGCTGGACGACAAAGTGCCCCCTGCACGAAGGCGGCCCCCTATGGATCCTTCAAGGCCGCAAGATAGGGATCTGGTTCCTGCTCCGTTGATGAGTTCGACAGCCAAGAGGGAGCCGGTGATGCCACCGCCGCGCAGTATTGATCGAGTTGCTTCTCCCGCAATCCCGTCTGTGTTACAGCCAGGAATAGCTTTTGCTAGTCGACCTAGCCTTGATGAAAAACCGCCACCTGCAGCGGAGCCATTGGACGATATGGATCAGAAATCAGGGAGCTTTACTGCTAACAACGATTCCAAAGATCTGACTTCCCCCCCAATAGGAGGTACAAGCTCGCCCGCTCAGCTAGGCACAAACGGTGCCGCAACCCCTGAAAAATCGGCCATTGAACCTGAAGAAGAAACTCGTCCTGGGTTAGGCCCTATGATCAAGTCGAAAATTTCCAAAGGGGATGTTGCCGGTGCTTTCTGGAAGGCTGCATCTGCTGCAAATGCTTTTCGTCCACGACCCGGAGGAGCTGGAGAACGACTACGCCAAACCCAAGCCAAGGCGAATGAGGGCCCTGACGGCATCACGAGCGTTGTTCCCGCACCGCCCAGACCAGCATCTCGCGATACGAACCTCCCGGCTCTTGAGCCCCCCAAACCAGCCGGTGGTGATTCGGCAATACCAGAGGTTAAAATACTGGTGTCCGAGTCAAACAACTCAGGGGGCTCTCAGTCACTGGTCAGGGAAGTCAGTGAAGCCGACAAGGACCCGGCTGTTTCGAAGGAATCCTCTCGTCGACCCGTTGTCGTTGGGCAAGATGCCAGGTATCTTCAGAGGCTGGGTATTGACCCCATTATACTTGATGATCGGAGTGAAGAATTCGGCAAATGGCTGGACTTTTTTGGTTGGGTTCCTGGTGATCAAATGCATTGCTTAAATATGGACGATATAAGCAATGACCTAGAGCGAGAATTAAACACAGTCCAGGCGGGAGGGTGGTTAGCACGCTTTCGAGAAGAAGATGAGAGGGTGAATACTATCAAACGAGGAATCGACCTTGCCATGGGTGAATGCGAAGAGTTGGATAACTTGCTCACGCTCTATTCAGTGGAGCTTTCGGTAAGCGTCTTGTTCATTCTGTTCTTCTCTCCTTGTCCTACCTCCCCTTTCATCTTCTTCGGCGTCCATCTACGAATCCTATAGCTGATTTCTCCTTTAAGACCCTCTCAGATGACATTGCCTATATCGAAGCTCAGGGCCAGGGCCTTCAGGTGCAGACGGCCAATCAGAAATTGCTGAGAAAGGAGTTGGAGTCGTTGCTGGAAACATGCGCAATTACCTCCAACGATCTCCAGGCACTTCAACAAGCACCCCTGGACAGCTATACTGGCTTGGAAGAGGTGGAGCTCGCCCTTGTTACTCTGTTCAGAGCCATGATGAAAATCGATCCCTCACTCGGGGGTGATGACACTGGAAAGTCTCTGGACGCTGCCTTAGACACTGACCATACGTTGGGGCTAAACAGCAATTACGGCAAGATGAGGATTGTGCAGGAAAAGAGAGAAATGTATCTGCATGAAAGCAGGTACTTCATGAAACGACTACTGGACTTCATGACGGGTCAATTCGGAGAAGCTTATGTCGAAACGAAGCGAGCATTGGACGGCGCTCTTTCCAAGAAAGTCGATCCTGCACACCACAGCATCGGGAGGGATCTTCTGTGGAAGTACAGCCCCTTGATGCTCTACGCGAGAGATGTCGATCTGGAGAACTGGAATCGTCTTCTGCAGATTTACCAAGACAAGAGCTCCCCTGTGTATAAGCATGAATTTCAGCATGTAATCTCGCTTTGGCGAAAGAACGCCAGGAAATTGACAGGAGAGGAAGCAGAAGTCATATTCTCGTCGCAGGTTGAGAAACAGCAGGAAGGCGTGGCAACAGCTGCTAGAAAGCTCACTGTCAAACGCAGTCAGACGTTGGCTAAGGCTCTGCGATCGCCGTTGGCAGACGGGGGCACCAGAACGCCCGTTGAAAGGAGCAACGCGGATTCTCGAAGCTTGCCGTACGAGGTCTTTTCCGGCGTCCTGGAGGATCTCTTGCCTTTGGTCGAGATGGAGCAAAACTTCATCATCGACTTCTTCCACGCTACTACGCTGGAGCAAACAGATTTTCCAGAGGCAGTCGCAGCATGCCCACCTCGGGACCGCCGAGGAGGCGATCTGAAGCGGCATAGGCTCATGGAGCCCGACCGAGAACTTGCTCGTCGCGTAACGCGGTCCATGGAGGCTATCTTTGCGTTCCTCGAGGCAGAGTTGCGAAGGTTGATGGAATGGGCCATTGCGCAAGATCCACTGTAAGTGAAGCCGTTGCGAGCGCAATCCCGAACGATGCTAACCAAGAGTTTAGCCAAGGTGTTGGAGTGCTCGCCACGCTCGAAAGGAAGTTGTCTGAAATGGGGCAATCCAACCAAGACTTCCTCAACGCGCTGCTCCAGAAGCTACATGCGTCGTTGGAAGGACAGTTCCGGAAGTTTGTTGACGAACAAATACGCGCCATCGAGGAGACAAAGGTCAAAATCAAGAAGCGGAAGGGCGTCATATCGTTCATACGTATATTCCCTGCGTTCATGGCCGCTGTGGAAAACATGGTCGCTGGCTTGGACCAGAATCTGGTATTGCGGCGGACGGTCAATCGGGAATACGATCGCATCCTCAAGACGATGTTCGAGTCACTGATGGTGATTGCGCGCGAGCATCCTGCTGTCGGAGTCGCCAGTGGAACAGCTGATCCAGAGGACAAGGAGGCGCTGAACTTCCACATCCTGCTGATCGAGAATATGAATCACTTCCTGGAAGAGACCGATACTCGCGGCTTGGAAGTTATAGAGAACTGGAAAGCGCAAGCAAACACCGAATACCATGAGCACATGGCGCTGTACCTGAATACAGTGATGCGACGCCCGCTCGGCAGGCTTCTGGAGCAGATCGAGAATATCGAAGCGCAGCTGCAAACCGGCAAGTCGGCAATGGCCATTGCGCGACAGCCCTCAAACAACAAGGCTGCCTTCAACAAGGTGCTAGGCTCGTATGACGCGAAGGAGGTGCGGAAGGGCATCGAGACTCTACGGAAACGCGTGGAAAAGCATTTCGGGGATGCAGACGACCCAACCCTCAGTCGGGGCTTGGTCGTCAGGGTGCTCAAAGAGTGCGAGGAATTCTACACCAACGTCGAAAGCAGGATAGGCAGGATCATCACAGACGTCTACGGCGGAGAGGTGTTCTTCGAATGGCCCAGGGCAGAGGTCAAGGCTGCCTTTAGGTAGATTCACCTGCTATCTATACATATAATAATACATCTAGTTTTGTGGATTGGGTTTCATTCATGTGAGCCGTTATGGCTTCAGCAGGCGGCTCTTCACCCACAGGCCAGGTACAAGTCAAGCCCCGAGCAAGAGCCGCCGATTCCGCTTGATTACCAGATTCAGGCCCTTCTCAAGTTTCTCAGTCTCCTTCTTAGCCGCGGTCAGAGCTGCCTCGGCATCTTCCACGCTCATCAGGGGCATGTTCCCAATTGAACTAGCTGCGGCTCCTTTGCCGATTTCATCAAGTGACATTCCCGGAGCAGCAAAATCTTGTATAGCCCGAGCACTTTCGGGTGAGCTGTAGATGCCAACACCAGCGGCAGCATCAGGACCGTAGAAGTAGGGCGCCAGAGAGTTGAGGCTCGCTGAGTCACGAGTAGAAGATGCTCCCTTTGGAAAACCCATGCTTGTAGCTCCGAGACTCAGCCTCGGCAACACGTACTGATTGATGTAGCTTAAGGCATCCTCCCTTTGGAGCTTGCCAATCGGATCCTGTGTTTGTGGCTGCGTAGTAGAAGGGAAGATGTTCGGCCGTCCATTAGGGACAGCTCGACCCTTGATGAGGGAGAAAGCGCCGCTGCTGGGCTGATGTCTCGGCGCCACGAATGCAGCAGGATTCTCTGCCGTTGCAGCAATGGCGGTTTGGAGGGCCAAGAAGGTGTCCTCTTCCTCTGGCGTCAGCCCGCGAATGCAATCTCCGTGGGGGGTAATAAGCATGCGGCTGCCGTCAGTATGGAACTGCTTGCGCACAGGCTTTCCGGCACGCAGCGCCGCAAGATCGGCGTCTTGCATCTCACCACACCTGCAAGAGCTCTGATTGCAATCTTCTCGTTTCCCCGATGGGTTCAGCGGATTGTGCTCTGGCCTGGATGAGTTGCTCGAAACGGGCTTCAGCAGCTGCAGTTTTTCTGGCGCAGCGGTGCAGAGAGAATCCTTTATAGCGGCAAAGACAGACGCGGGGCTCGACTGTGACCTTTCAGGGGACTTGTCCGCTGACTCGGATGCTTTGGGCAATGGAGGCGTAGGCGATGGCGATGGCGAAGCAAGGGGCTCACTTGCCCCTTTCGTCGAGTTCTTTCGAGCATCTAGCTTTTCATTGGGCGAATGCGTCGTACTCTCCGTCTTCAATGCCCCATCATGCTCGACAGCCACTTGTTTGCCTTCGCCCTTGGAGAGTGTTGCCGCTTCTGCCTTTGGTGTCTCGGTGGGAGTGGCTGCTGAAGACGAAGCGTTGGCCTCCCTAGGGGGCTTTTCCTTCTTCTGTTTCTTCTTCCGTCCAATAACGGGGGCGTGCTCTGCAGTGTCTGTCTTGGGTGCTTCAGCTATGATCTTTGTCTCTTGCTTCAAGACCTCTTTGCGCTGCTTGCGCTGTTGGCTCTTGGTAGTGCCTCGTACCGGAGCAGTGCCGACTCTGCTCAAGGGAGGGGATCCAGCTCGAGATACGGAAACCGAAAACGACGTAACAGAGGCGGTGTCACTGATCATTTCGCTGGCGGGAGTGCCAGGCCGCTGTGATTGGACCAGCTTCCCCGTAGCAGGACTGGATACTGGAGCAGGTGATGGCGAAGCAGAGCGGGTCTCTGCCTTGACTGATGAAGAGACCACTCTCAATGTCTTTGGTACAGCTCGCGAAGCTGTAGACATGCCATTGCCAATCGTCGGAGCAGGCAGGGGTGGAAACCTGGAGTTTTCTGCTGAATCGTCTGATTTGGCGATGCCGTCAACAGGCTGGGGAACGAGATTGGCTCCGGCAGTGGGAGCTGCCTGTTCCACAGGTTTGGCGTCACTGGTCTTTGTAGAGTGAGGTCCAGGCACCTTGGCGGTAAGTCCTGGATCCTCGTCCTGGGCCTCGGGGCCTCGGTCCTCCTGTCTCCTGGTCAATGGTCTGCTTTTCAACGCAACTGTCTTAGGGGCAGCTAAGCTGATGCCGGCGCCCATGGTTTCGATTGTCCTTGGCGCGCCCAAGGCAGGGAAGTCTTTTTCCTGAAGTATACCGCCTTTTGCCGATGTGGGTGGGGGTGCTGAAGAGTCCTTTGCTGTAGAAGCTTTCGCGCGGATGTCAGTCTCTTGATCGGTCAGGTTCGCTTTGGAAGAACCCTGAACAGATGGCACTAGATTATAAGGAGGGGTGAGAGATGAGATATGAGGCGTAGCTGGAGTCGCAATCGCCCGTTGTGGCTGAGTCTGCTTCGATGCGTCTTGGTTCGGTTGACCAAGAGTATCAGCGCTACCTGCTTGAGAAGCCAGACGATGAGAGTCCACGTCGATGACAGGAGGTGACGCCAGGGCCGGTACCGGATCATCCGAGACCAGTGCATCCACGGATAGTTGGGCCTCATCCGGCAACTGAAGATCATGGTCTAAAGAACACATCAGCAATGTGCAATCAAACAAAAGCTTAACACAAGGGCAATGACGGAGTGGTGTGCTACGGAACGGGAGATTCATAACACGATGCAAAGAGAGCCATCCTACGACCTCCATCATCGTCTTCCACGGGGAATAACGAGGGGAAGGAAGAGGAAACATGAGAATATGACAGGTATGGTGATATATTGCGATCCAAGAAGTCTCCAAACAAGGAGACTCCATGCAATCTGTTAATATACAGGAAGACTTGTGTGGAAGACGATGATGGTTTGTCTTACTGGATACTCGGCTTGCGTCAAACCACGAATCCGGTCCGCAGGTGAGAGGAAAGAAGAGAGAAAATGAAAATGACGGGATAGGGAAATGAGGGCTACCCCTCGACGGCTCGAGTCCAAGGAGGTTTGTGAAGGTGTTCCTCCCAGCCGTTATAGTGATTATAGGCGCCGAAACCAAGGTACGCCACGCGAATCCATAAAACCGTCCCTAACTTTAAATGCATGTCCTCTCGAGCGCCCCCTCGTACAGCATAGAAATGTGAAATGGATATCAAAGTTCATGTAACGCCCTTGGCCATGCTACCACCGGGCATAACTGGAATTATACATCATGTTCGGGACATACCCACCTTGGCTCTGACCGCTAAAAACTCCTTGATTGACTCCGGTGTTGCTTTGCGTTTGGTGCTGCATCCTCGCCTGCAGTATACTCGGGTCCGCAAGATCCACTAGACCACTCCCCCCCGAGGAGGAAGTGTTAGCATGTCTATGCTTCTTCCCCTTCTTCTTCTGCTTCGAGCCAAAGTCTTGGAATGCTCCGGGGTGGTTACCGTAGAGCGATGCCAAAAGGCCAGAAGTAGGAGCTGGGGTAGAGGTTGAGGGTGGTGGATACTGATTAGAAAAAGAAGAGATCATGTACTCACGCTTTCCACCGTCATGAGGCTGGTTGCCACTGCCTCGGCTCCTGCTAATTAAACTCTGCAATAAATCGCCAGATGAGTCCTTCGTGGCAGCGCCAAATCCGGAGCCACCAAATCCCTGACCAAAAAGGTTCGGTGGCGTGTTGGTAGACTTGAGTCCCGGCGGTGGCGCCGGCATGGAACTGCCAAAAAAGTGTCCGTTGCCTGAGGACTGTAACGAACTAGGGATCATGGATGATTGCTGACCCATTATTCTAGGATTCGTAGCAAACTTGAGATTGGTCGATGCTGGCGGACTGTCAGCCATGAAGCTGAATCGAGATGATTGACGATTGTGGCCTGGATTCTGAAATGCGGCCTGGCCAGAGAGGCTTGAAGGGGCCAGCTCGCTGAACCCAGATTGAGGGCGCAGTGACATCAAATGCTGGGGCGTAATCCCCCGACCCATCTGGGTTGTACCCGGATTGAAGTTTGAGCCATTGAGAGCAGGACCAAAGAGGGTGTCGGCATTGCTTCTTTGGATCGGAGGAAATGTGTTGATGTGCCGGTGCTCGAATGCTTGTCCATCGCCCATTACTTCGCGTTCTTCGGGCTCGCCGCCAAGGGCAAGGCTGCCGCCCGCCTCTGCTTCACCTTCTGGCTGAGCCGGTCCTTCAGTCGCATTCTTCTGGTCCCCGCTGATTCGTGCGTCGTCGTCTTCACGCATTTCCTTTCGCTTCTTTCCGCCTCGAATGTCGAATAAAGGAGGACCCAATTCGTTGACTTGGGGGGCAACTAGGTTGGACAACGTGCAGTTCTGCAATGCCCGCAGAATGTTCACTAAAGGGCTCTTTGACGATTGGGGCTGCGGTGCTTCAGCAGAGTCTTGATTTGACACTTGTTCTTCTTCCGCTTGCTGAGCAGGAGGGGGAGATCCGGCATCTTCCACAGCTTCTTGAGCAACTTCGGTCGTGGTAGGCAAAGAGGCTGAAATAGCAGGGCTGGACGGAGCGCCACTCGTGGCATGGCTTCCTCTCCGGCTGCGTTGAGGATTTCGTGCCCAATTAGCCGACGAAGGTAGAGCAGAGCCATCAGGTCCGTAGTCGGAGCCCTCTTTACTCGAAGTACGCGCCATCGACTGCGAAATGGGCGTGAGGGTCGGCTGCGAAACTTGCTGTCGGGGCGTTGTTCGAAAAGAGGTACTGTTTCCGCCAGGCAAAGGCCTTTGTGTATGAATGCTGTTCATGGATGACAGGTCTTGACGAGTATAGCTATCTTCTTCATCGCCCTGCTCGTGTAAGAACATACAGCCCGGGTTGTTGCATTTCTCGTTCTTGAGCCACGCAGAGCAATACTTAGTGGTTCCGTACTGAGCCTTGAGTATCCTGTCTCCATTCTGTGATCCGTGGACAGCTTGGATGCACCTTGTTGCCTCTTCAGGCTTTTCAAAAGTGACATAGATGCCAAGTGAATGGTGCTGGCCATCCGAGCTCTTCCGATTACTAATCGAAATCTTTTGAATCACGCCGTACTGCCCGAAGAATTCAGGCTTCCTCAGCGTCTTGAGGAGCTCATCCTCGCGGACCGTGGGCGCTAGACCTGTAATGTAAACGAGATTCTTTTGCACAACTCTGACTCCGATAAGGTTTTTGCGGTTCTCTTTCTCGGCTTCGCGTTTCTGAACCTCTTTTTGACGCTGTTCCTGGGCTCGTTTTCGCTGATTCTTCTGGATATTCGCACGGAACTCGGCAACCCTGAGCCCCAGTTAGCCTCTGACAACAGAGTGGTTCAAGTCCATGACCTACTCTTCTTGTGTTACGACCTTCCACTGAATAGTCTTCTCGTCGTATGGCCGTCGACATGCCGGGCACAGACCATTCATATTATTCTTGATGTTGTTGAAGCAAAACTGACAGACCTATGGATAGCGTGAGCGGAGGGCGAGGCTATGAGCTGCAGTGGATATTTACCTGGTAGCCACAGGGACAAGGTCGAAAGTTTCGGTCGGACAAGTCGAACTCTTCGATGCAAAGAGGGCTGTGACAGCGTGAGAGAGTGGCTTTTTCAAATTTCTGCACACCAACAGGTGCATCGGAGCGTCTGGATATACATACCAGACATCTTCATCTTCCTCGATGAAGGAGTCTTGAGGCGCCATGTTTGTGATGAAGAAGCGTGTCTGATGGCGGGAATATGAAAATCGGGATCGTGATCCGGCCAAGTGGTGGATAGTGGTTGAGGATGTTTGTTCAAAGCTTGGTGTGGGACAAGTCAAACCACTTCCAATGGTACGGGATTCAAGGAGACTGCACGCACGTGACTCGTGCCCCACTATGTCATGCCTCCCAAGTGACGCTTTCCGCGGCAAATCGCCGGAAAGCTGCCCAGAAAACCTGTGGATCTGAGCTACTAATTGCTTCATTGAACAATTCGACATCCCCCACCAGTTCCCATCAATCCTCGCGGCCATTGCACCCGGACAGGCAATTCGCTATGGCAAGCAGGCTTTCATGGAGAGCGACTACGGGCTCGGTCCTTGAGCCCGTAAGGGCCCTGACCCGAGCGCGCGCCGGCCAGATCACCCGAGCAATATCGGTCTCGTCTCCTCGGATGGTTGCGGTGCCTCAGGATTCCCCGAACCCGAGAAAAGCCCCCAGAGAGGCCATTGAGACTCTCAAAGCGCCGGTCATCAACCCAACAGCCAAATACCAAAGCAAGGCGGACAATCTTCATCGATACGGAACCTGGTTGATGGGGTGTCTCCCCAAATACGTCCAGCAATTCTCTGTGTGGAAGGATGAACTCACCATCTACATCTCTCCAGCTGGGGTTATACCGGTCTTTTCTTTCCTCAAGTGTTTGTATGCCGCTTTCCACTGCTCTGTCAAAACCTAACCAGCGGGCTTCTTAGACAACACTGCTGCAGAGTTCACCCAAGTTAGCAGCGTCACCGCATGCGACTACCCGACACGCAGTAATCGATTCGAAGTTGTTTACAACCTGCTCTCCGTGCGATACAACTCTCGAATTCGCGTCAAGACTTACGCCGACGAATCATCGCCTGTGCCAAGCATCACCAGCCTGTTCAGCGGTGCTAACTGGTATGAACGGGAAGTTTACGACTTGTACGGCGTCTTCTTCACCGGTCACCCTGATCTAAGGCGAATCATGACGGACTACGGATTCGAGGGTCATCCTCTGCGGAAGGACTTCCCTCTCACCGGCTACACTGAAATTCGCTACGACGAGGAAAAGAAACGGATTGTCACCGAGCCTTTGGAGCTTACGCAGGCTTTCCGAAATTTCGAGGGCGGATCTAGTGCTTGGGAGCAAGTTGGAACAGGCGAAGATCGCAAACCCGAAACTTTCAAACTACCTACCCCCAAACCGGAAGAGAAGCAGTAGATGTATTGCCTGAAAACACCTATTAAATCAGGCATGCATACTCTTCAGATGTTACAAACTCAATTAATTGTTGATTTTCGACTGTGTTATGTGATATCACGAGATGGTGCCAATGTGTTATTGAGCCCGTTGGTGTGTGTGAACGCCACCCGAGAGCTGTTGGGAAGGGTTGCGCATGACGCCCGACTTCTCCCCGTGAACCCAAACAGTTCAAGCCACACTTGCTCAATCTCTATACAACAGGTGGATGCTTGCAAACCTTGAGGCACGGTAGGTGTCGCGCATTGGGCCACGATATGGCTTACTGGCTACGAAATAAGGTACGCTATGTTTATAAGGTCAAAGGAGACTACTGTGCCGATCAGTCCAAGACTGGTTTGTCTCGTAGCTCAACATGAATATCATTATCAGTACGCTAGAACGGCACACAACCCCCAGGATTTGTATCTGCTCCCACCCAACATGACCAGAGTATTTACATCTTAGCCTAAACCAACATCAACCGACTCCTTCAAATGATGACCAAGAATCTAGAGACGCCCAGACGCTCAAACGCCCCGTTATACTGAATTTGCTATATGTTCTTCAACCATCCCCCCTTCAGGTATTTTGGGGGAGATAAGGAAATATGAAGATGAGAACAGAAAGAGAGGAGGTGTAGAGAGAATGAGAGAGAGGGGGAGAGAGAGAGAGAGAGGGCATGTGTGTGTGTGTGTGTGTGTGTGTCTGTAAGAGAGAAGTGAGAGCGTGAGAGAGCGAGAAAGACTTACAGAGCTTCGCATCGCGCTACTGAACGCACACAAATAACTTTGAGGTGGTCATGCGAATTTGTGAAATTGAGATGATGATCAATGCGTGAATCAAGTATCACCATACGCCATCCTGGCTACTGTGTCGATCCGATACATCATGATGATACCGATAATAATCTTTCACCTCCTGGCCATAGCCGCCCGCATCGTCAGCGCCATAACCACCATGATCGTCGTGCGTGTGGTCGTCTTCATATATCTGAGCATCATCCACATACTCCACCGGCTGGTCTGAATTGGAATCTGCATATTGAACTGTCGTCTGCTAAATATTTAGTATACATCCAACTTATGGGGGAGGGGCGGCCTACGCGATGATAATCAAAGTCGTACTGCTCGAGACTCTGTTGCTGGTCTTGTTCGTCTCCCTCGTCTTGCGCTTCACGCTGAGCCAAATATTCTTGCTCTTCCCGTTTACGGCGTGCCTCCTCTTCCAGTCGCTTTTGCTGCGGCGACACTGGAACGTTCATCTGGGGATGCATAGCTTGAACAATTGCCAAATAGCTGTACATAAAATTGCTGAGAAGGACCTGGCTGTGGAGAGAGCGGCGAGGGTTTGCCAGTTTGATGTGTGCCATTCGATAGATGGCGCGTTCTTCGAGCAGCGGAAAGCGGCTCCAGTTGTAGTCAACATCTGGCTGCAGAGGCTTGTAAGGCACGATGTCCTCTGGAACATGCAACAGCTGCTGGTGTTTTTTGTTCTTCTCTTTCTCCTCTCGTTTCTTGCCGCCGCCAAAGATGGAAGAGAACAAGCTTCCATCCTTTTCCCTTTTGGAGTCGCTTTTGCGATGACTGTCCTTCTTCCGTTCGTCTGAAAGCTTATTGTCGAGGCTTTCCCGGTCAAGGACTAAGCTTTCGCGCCCCTTTGTGGCAGTCTTCTCTAGCGAGGTTTGAATGACGTCCAAGCGCACGCTGTCCTGAGCCTTTTCAGATGGTGCTTTATGCCTAGACTTCTTGCTTTCGTCTTTCTTCTTGTCTCTATCGTCCGCCACGCCCTTGAGCCATTTCCAGGCGCTGCCAGATCTACTCGAGTTGTGAGAATCCTCGTCCTTATCTTTCCTCGCCTTTTTGTCCCCTCGCTTTTCATCTCGCGTATGCGCCGTGGTAATGACGGCGACATCCGTGCGATGAGCGTTACCATTCGATGAGTTGGGTGGAACTGCGCCGGTTTGTGTTGTGGCGGTAATGGAAGATTTCACCGAGCTGCTATCTTCGACCTTGTTGTTGCCTGGTAGGGAGCGATGGTTCGAGCGGCCGATTGTATCGTTGCCAAGGTCATCTGCCGCAGAGTCTAACCCCGGCTCCTCTGCTGTGGTCTTAGTTTGAGGAGGTCGTTGTGGAGATTTGTCTGGATGACGATTATCCTGAGAGGCACCTAGTTGATCCGAGTTGAGGATATCGTCGGTGGAAGCGCGGGGCTTGGCGGAAGAGCCTCGAATAGAGAACTGGGATGAGCGTGAAGCTGAAGAAGGGTCGGGAGTTGTTGATGCTGCAGATGGTTCTTGCGAACTCGAATCTTGTCTTCGGTCTGGCCGAGTTGGCCGTGAGAAATTCTCCGATGCAGGCTCTGACTGCACTTTGATCAGCGGATACCCCCGAGGGGGGTCTCCAGCAGCAGGAATCTCTATGCTATCACCGCTTTGGTGGCGTTGTGCCATTCGCTTTGAGAACGACGCTTTGTCGCCAAATCGCAGGCTCCCTCCTTTGCGGTATGTTGTCCGAGTTGATCTCCGCAGCCCGCTACTGGGTGCGACAGCAAGGATAGGTATGTCATCCATCCCAGACTCTAAGCTGCCTGAATAGCTATGTGACTCTTGAGCAAGTCTCTGAACTGCTTTTGAAGGGTCTTTTACTAGCTCGTCTAGACTCAGTTCACGATCTTGCTGATCATTCTTGAAGCCTTGTCTCTCCGGTTTGTCCGTCATGCCATTGGCAAGCCCTTCGGGAGCTCGGTCGTCTGAGCTGTCAATCTGGCGGGAAAGCAGCGATTTCTTCCTTCTTAATGAAGAGGAATTCATTGGATCCTGCTCGTTACCATATTTCTCATCCGATACGGAAAGGAAAGAATCCCCGGATCTCCTCCGGATTGACTGGAGCCGGCTTGCGAGAAAGGTCTTGAATTCAGTGGGAGCCAGCTCTGGATGTACCCTGGCGGGTACCCAGAGCAATCTCGAGGGGTCGTTTTCATCGTCGTCTCCTCGCGGCGCTACAGCCGGCATAGCTGCTAGTGACATTGGAGGCATATCCGGGTCAATACTGTTGCCCACGTCCATCGATAAACGCCTCAACGCCTGCAAGTTGCTCAATTCTTGAGCGATATCATTCGGGTTATCTATATTGGTCAAGGGAAATTGCTGCCCGGACGTTTGCGCATGAGCTCCTCGCAGTGACAGAGTGGGAGATGTTACGGGCCTCGTGTCTTCCTCCAGCTGGTCGCTCCATTGGTTGTGTCCCGTAGAGAGGGTCGTCGGAGAGGATTTCGAGCCGCCATTGCCATTATAGGGTTTTGGCCGCGTGTGCTGGTCTGGTGCTGACTGAGGGGAGACACTGGACGCTTTGTTGGATTGTAGGGGCTTTTCGTTGTGTTGCTGGCGCGGTTGGCTGACTTGGTTTTCGTACGCAGGATCGGCGACGAAACTCAGCGGGCGGCTCGTCTCGGAGTTCAAGTCTTCGTCTTCGTCGTATAAATTGCCGATTGCCTCCGTTACGTGATGGCTGGGATCGGAAATCGAGAGCTGGCTCGAATGGCCACGTCGTGTGGAAAGGGTGCCGGCAACGTCGCCATGAAGTCGAGATGATGTCTAATTACCGATTCCATTAGCCTTGAATACAGTGTCTAGATCGCTGCTACCATGACTATGCACGATCCGATACTAGCGACGACCACGGCATCCCGACGTGCTCCGTTCTACATTTGTCTTCAACTCCGAAGCGTCTTCTACGTTCCGGCATCAGAACACACTGGAGAACATACCATCATCGAATGCGGCGTGAGGGCTTCAGGGAGGCAGGACCCCCGGGCAAGAGCCGGTACAGCTATGCTCCCTGATTCAAACAAAAACTCTCAAGGCCTGGATTTTGAGTTGGTCACAGCAGCGAGATGCGTAAGTGGTAAGTTGGATTCAACCCAGCAACAGATGGTGGGTTAATTAAACACCTCCTGAGCGGGATGTCGTCACGAGGTCTACCGCCACATCAGGGCGCTGGATAGAGAATATCCAGCCAGAGATGGATATTGTACAGGTATAGCGTGCGAAGCGAGGCCGTGATTCATTAAGCATGAACGTGAGTATCTTGAAACGTGAACCTTCGTTAGTTGAAACATCAGACAAAAGTAGATACAGATATCTAGGCGCTTGACAGCATGAACCTATAGTAGTGTGCTATCCGTACTTACAGCGGGGGGCGCAAGTTACCTTACTATACTATACGTAGCTTCGTTAAGTATAATTATTAAAATCCAAAATATATATAATTAATAACTGAAGTAATTACTACACAGTATATTAAAAAATTCTAAAATAAAAAATTATAATATAATATTATTTATTTTAATTATTTATATTTTAATATATATATATATATTATTTTATTTTTTCTAAATTAAATAAAGAAATGATATTTATATAATATATATATTATAATAAAAGAGTAGAATAAGTAAATACTTATTTAAAAAATCTCCTTAAGAAAATATCCTAGCTTCTTATATAAATTTAATTAATAGCTAACTTAGATTTAAATAGTATTTATATTAATATATATATATATATAATAGTTATATATTTATTATGTGGTTTTTTTTTTAAATCTAAGTAAGAATAACTATAGCATTTATATACCATTCTGTTCTCAGTATATACTATACGAGACTTATTACATCATTACTTGTAACCTACCCTGTCCGCCATACTTTGTTGAAGATGTCCCACGCTCAAGCCTTGACCCTCGGTATCGTCGATTCTGCCTCGCTGCCTGTCTTCCAGACTCCAACCAAGCGCATTCAACAACCCGATGATGTAGGCAGATTTCTTGTCAGTGCGGCCTACCGAGATATAGGCCTCTTCATACTCCAGCTGAACCACGCCGTTTGCCCACGACAGCCAACCGGCTCATCAACTCCAACAGTCTTTCCACTTGGTTCCAAGTCTACCCGCACAGCTTCCATTCGATCATGCCAAATGTTACTGTTTCGCATCCGCGATCTCATAGACAGAGCACCACCAGACCCTGGTTCCCAAAGATTTGGAAACGTTAGTTTCCGCAAATGGTTCGCGCTCCTGAAGGAGGAGCTTGATGACTTGCTCAACGATGGATTGCTCGGAGAAACCCTACGGATAGGCAATGGGCACGCCAAAGACGAAGTAGCGAGCTACTTACTCGGGTCCTTTGGCAGCTCACAGCGCCTCGACTACGGAACAGGGCATGAGCTCAACTTTATTGCTTTCCTTGGGTGTTTATGGAAGCTGGGGCACTTCAAGGATGGCATACAGGGTGGCGACATTGAACGGGAGATTGTGCTACTGGTTATACAACCGTAAGTCAGGAGATCGTAACATGTTCGCATAAACTCACTGCTGTAGGTACCTCGAAATCGTAAGGCAACTGATAACGACGTATACTCTGGAACCAGCAGGCTCCCATGGTGTATGGGGCTTGGATGACCATTCGTTCATTCCATACATTTTCGGCTCTGCGCAGCTCACTCGGCCGATCAGCAACGAACTTGATCCGATGCCCACTGAAGGTTCCGTGAGGGGCGCACCGAAACCGAGCGATGTCACAAATCCAAGCATTGTCGAGAGCATGAGACAAGTCAACATGTACTTTTCGGCTGTTGCATTCATCAATGACGTGAAAAAGGGTCCATTTTGGGAGCACAGCCCTATGCTATTTGACATCTCTGGTATAAAAGATGGATGGGGCAAAATAAACAAAGGCATGATCAAGATGTTCAATGCCGAAGTTCTGTCCAAATTCCCCGTCATCCAGCATTTCCCGTTTGGTTCGCTGTTCTCCTGGGACGAGAGCAGGCAGCGTTAGAGCAGGGTCGACGCAGGCAGATCACGAGTCCTCAAGGACCGCTGAGTCGAGGTCATGAATACACCATGTGCTATAGTCAGATCATATGAATACGATACAACAACCACCATGGAGTGTGCGGACTGGGCAATGAATTGAGTGATAGAGAGCTATCTGTGGCATTAATTCACGCTTCCGTAGCCACAAAGCGGCTATGACCAGTTGAAACAGCACAAACGCCTGGAACTGCTGCCTCTACAAGGATAAGAGAGATACCAGCATCCCTTGTAGGTCTTGTCCTGCTCAATCTTAGATACACGTCGACTGTGATGTGCGTGATACTCTTCAGCCAAAGAAATCCGTAATCTTCTGAACACCGGCAGGGCCCGATTTGATGCGGCTCCTCTTCGCGGGAGGGCTGTAATCGCTTGGAATCTTGTGTTTCTCATGGACGTCTGTTCTCTTACCCAACATGGGCCTGGCGTCGCCCTGGTTAACATGTTGGTCATCGTTGCTCTCATACTTCTCGACCTTTCCTGCTACTTCGTGCTTTTCTTTTCCTGTGTCTGGAGTCTGTGAGGCGTTTGTGAAAAACCGAGCTATATCATACTCTTTTCCCTTATCGTCTAACGGCATGATGAAAGATGGCGAGCTGCGGCCAACCTTTCCAACATCTTTGCTTACTGGATAGATGTCTAAATCTCCTTGGTAAGGCTTGAGCAAGGATTGTAGATCATTGTTCCACCGACGCTGAGGAGGGTGTAGCCAATCTTGAAAGCCCTTGGAATTTGCATCCAGAATGACTGGCATCCGGTCATGCAAGAATCGAAGCTGTTGGTTCGAGTTGGTTGTAATTATGGCGTAAGTATAAGTCTTATCTCCGGTGTCTTGGATCATATTAGCCAGTAGTTTTTCGTGGGGATATACAGTACTTTACCTTCGCTGCCACTGGAGTCCCAGAGGCCAGCAAAACACATCAAACGGCCGTCTCTTCGCTTTATGTAATGCGGGACTTTGTCTTTCGTGCTCACATTAAGCCACTCGAAGAACCCCTGCGCCACTACAACACATCTCTTGCGGTCTTTCATGCTCTGCCACATACCGCCGTGGGTCCTGAGAGAATCATCTCTACAGTTGATAGCCTTCGGGACAGAAGCAGCTTTCTTCTTCGACCATGAGGGTATAATCCCCCATTTCATTGACTGGAGTCTGTACGAGTACTTCGCTGCACTAACAGCAAGCTCCTCTGTGCTGGCCGTTTCATGGAGGGAGCTCTCTTTCTCTGGGCTTTGGGACTCGTTGCATCCTGGTCCTGTGCCACGGTCCAGAGTGTCAGCGATACATACAATGCCGTTAGACCCAGGCGAGAAGTTATATGTCTGATGAGGCGCTCCAGGGCCTTGGTCATTTGGAGAATCCGTTATTTGAATGCCATCGTCTTCCAGCATCCGGCGAATTAAAGAAGGGGGCTGAAGCCGTTAGTAATAGCCTATTCAGCATCGAAACGGCTTGCTTCAGACATCTAGATTAACTTACAAGTGCTAATGAGTACCTGCCGCACATGTTAGAGTTGTTGTCTCAGGCCAACAGTCCTTAATACTACTAAGCAGCACTTAGAGATATAGGAAAGATTGGCTTTAGAGTAGCCTACTAGAACTTCGCTATCCCCTTGAAGTTACTAGCGTATTAATACTTAAAGTATTATATATTTAACTATAATATAAAAGTAGACATTTTATATATTTTCCTAAAATAATAAATATAATTAAAGTTTAATATATATATATATATATATTAATAACTATATTATAAATTTTAATAAATTTTATTTTATTAAAAGTATTAAAATATAATTATAATATATATATTCTTAAGTTTTTATAATATAATATAATTAGTTTTTTAATTTTTCTTAAGCTTTTTATATATTTAAAAAGTATTATTTTAAGTTAAATATTTAATTTAAAAAAAAGTTATTATTATAATATTAACTTTTTATAATATTATTAATACTTTAATAATTAAGTAATACTTTTAAAATTATAAGTTAAAACTTTTTTATATAAGAATAATTTAAAAAAAGATCTAAAAGTATTATTATAAGTTTAAGCTTTTATTTAAGCTAATTAATAAATAAAGCTATTATAATTTTATTATTAATTTAAGCTAAGTTAATAATTATAAAATTAGTTTTTTTTTAATAATTATAATACTTATATATTAAATAAAATATTTTAATATAAGATTTATTAATATATAATATATTTATTACTTATTAAAGAAAATTTTATTTTATTTTTTTATAATAATAAAAACTTATATATTATAAATAAAACTTAAATAATAATAATTTAAGATTTATATTATATTAAAAAAATATAAAATTTAAATTAATAAGTTATATAATATATAAAATAAATAAATATATATATATATATTTTAATTTAATAAAATTATAAAATAATTAAAAAATATATTAAAGGCATTTATAAGTAATATTAAAAAGTAAAAAAAATTTAAATTATAAAAAAGCCTTAATAAAGTATAATTTTAATTATATTAATTAAGTTATAACTTTATATTAATTATAAAGGGAATTCTAAATATAAAGGTTAAAAGTTAATTATATTTATTTTTAAACTCTTTATAAAGATATAAGTTATTTACTTTTTTATACTTATAAATATATTATAAAGCTATAATCTTTTTAAGCTAAAGCTATAAGCCTTTAATAATAAGATTATATTAAACTTATTTAATATTTATAACCTTTTTATATTAAGGTTTATAATAAGTTACTTTTTTTTTAATAATATTTTAATACTTTTATTTATTAATACTTTATTTATTTAAGTAATAGTATTATATTTTTTATTTTAAATTATAAATAAATATAGCTTTATTTTATTTACTTATTAACTAGCTTTTTTATAAATATTCTTTAATATATATAAAAGGTTTATAATTTTTTTTAATTTTATAAAATATTTTTTCTTACTTTTTTAATTATTATTATTCTTACTTTATAATGCCTTTTTATAATTATAATATTCTTATTATAACTTTTACTTTATTAAAAAAAAAGGGTTATTTTTTAAAAAAGACTTTTATATTACTTATTTTTATAATAATAATTAAAAATAAAGATAAAAATCTTATTAAAAAAAGTATATTAATAATACTTAATAAAAAAAAAGAAAAAGATATTCTAAATATTATATATTCTTATTATACTTTTTTTAATACTTTAATTTAATATTATTATTTTTAATTTTATTATAGCTTTATTATTAATTTAAATATAAATAGGGTTTTTATTAATAATATATATAATATTTAGTAAAATAATAATTAAATAAACTTATTTACTTTTATTAAAAAATACTAAATATATTTCTTTTTTTTTATATTTTCTTATTAACTTATTATTAGCTATTTTATTAAGATATACTTAATATAATCTTAATAAAAAAAAATTATAAATTATATCTTATAGTTTTATATACTTTTTATAAAATAGCTATAAGTTTATAATAAGCTTTACTTTTTAATAATTTAAATTTAATAAGTATTTATTTATTATTATTTTATTTTTATTTTTAATTATTTTTAAACTTATATTATTAAAATATAAATAATTTATAAAAAGCACTTAAGTATTTTTTATTTAGCTAAAAGCTTATATTAGTTTTTTTATTTTATTAAGACTAATCCTTTTATTAATACTTTATATTTTTAAATTAAGTTAACTTTTTATTTTAAACTTAAGTTAACTGTTTATTTTAAAATTAAGTTATTTTTTTAAGCTTAAGCTTAAGTTATAACCTTTAACTTAACTAGCTTTTAAAGTTTTTTATATACTTAATTATATTAAGTATTAAGTTAAGGCTTATAGCTATTAATTTATTATAAATTTAAAAGAAGTTTATAATATATTTATTATAATATATAATTCTTAAATATAGTTAAAGCTTTACTTTTTAAAAATAATTTACTAGCTTTTTTAATTACTTATAGTTTTACTTTTTTTATTTATTAAGTTTTTATATTATTTTATTTATTCTTTTTTTTTAATATATATTTATCTTTTATAATAAAATCTTAATATATTTATAATATTTTAATAATATATAATATATAAATTTAATATTTTAAAGTTATTACTTTAATAGCTATAATTTATTATTAAGTAAATATAAAGAAGTATATATAATATCTTAAAAATAAAACTTCTTATATATACTTTTTTTTAAGCTTTTTTTAATAAATATTAATATTTTTTATAATTACTTTATAAAGTCTTATATTATTATTAATAAACTTATAATATATTATATTTACTTTTAATTTTAATATTAAAAAAGTTTACTTTTTTTTATTAAAATTATATATTTAATAGTTAAGTAATTATAAGTTATTAAAGTATTTATTTTAAAAAAGTATATATTAATATTTTAATAAAAATAATATTTTATATAAAAAATATTTTTTATATATATTATAGTATCTCTAGCTATATAATATAATATATTAGTATTTTTTTATAATATATTACTTTATAGCCTTTAATATATTATAATAGCTTTATTTTAAATTACTATTAATATATTATAAAAATAAGTATATAATATAATTACTATAATAATAAACTAATATATAAATAGTATAATATTATCTTTAATAAATAAATTAATTTAAGCTAAAAGGCTAATACTTTAGCTATATATAAAATAAGTATAAGTATTAATATTATAATAAAAAAGTTATATTAATTAAGTAAAAGAATAAGTTAAGTATAGTATAAATATAAATACTTATTATTATTAATATATTTTAATATAGCTAAAGTTTATAAATATAATATTATATTATAATATATTATTAATATATATTAATAAGTCTTTTTATATTATTTATTATAAGCTTAATATATATTTATTACTTTATTATTAAGTATATAATAATTAATAAATAATAGTTTATTACTTATAGTTTAACTTTTTATATATTATTCTTTATTAAAAAAGAAAATAAAAAGAATATTATTATAATATTAAATAATAATAAAAGTTATTAATTATTATTAAGTTATAAAAATAAATACTAGGCTTATATATAATACCTTTAAAGTAAAATAATAAAAAGAATAAATATAATAGCTAAAGTAGTTTATTTAATTAAAAAATTTTAAAAGTATATATTATTAAGTATATTTAGTAAAAGGCTTTTAATAAGAATTAATATTTAGTTTATATTAATACCTTTTTTATAATATTACTAGTTTTTTATAAATATCTTTTATATTATAATAATATTCCTTATTATAGCTTAATATTTATATTTATATTTTTTTATTTATAATTAAATATTATAAGTATTTTATTATAGTATTATTACTTATAATATATATTTTTATTTTTATTTTTTATTATTATTTAAGTTTATATTTTATATTTTTATTCTTATTTTATATTTTATTAAAGCTTATATATTATATTTACTTTTTTATTTTATATTTTATTAAAGTTTATATTTTATATTTTATTTTTAGCTTTTTCTTTTTTTTTTAATATTATTTTAATATAAAGCTACTTTTTATAATTTTATATAAACTAATTATTTATAAAGTTAAACTTCTTTAATTATTAATTATAATAAACTAGCGTTTTTATAATTAGTAAAGATATATATTTCTTAAAAGATAAACTATTTAAGTAAATAGCTTTAATAAAAGAGCTATTTAGGTTTATATTAATAAAAAGTTAAGTTAGTTTTTAAGCATTTCTTATATATTATATAGCTAGGTAATATACTTTATATAATAAATATCTAGGTTTTAAAGTATATTATAATTATAGTGCTATATTAATAACTAGCTATTTTAACTATTTAAATAAGTAATATAAATATAACTTATATATCTAGTTATTTTAGCTAGATTATTTAATATTTTAATAATCTTATTCTTAGATTATTTATATAAAGGATAATTTATCCTTTAGATTATTAAAGGATTTAATAATTTATTCTTAACTAGCTAATTAGTTTAATATTTATTTAGTATTATTTATTAAGGGTATTCTTTAATTATAACTATAAGTATTAAGTTATAATATAATATCCCTCTCTTATAGGCCTTATCCTTAAGGCCTTGCTTAGTATTCTTATATAATCTTATAAGTGCCCTGCTCCTTAATAAATGCATTTTTTATCTTTTTAGTTTTATTTATTTATATATTAACTTACTTTTAATAATAATAAAAAAAGTAAGAAAAAGTCTTTATTTAAAAATAAAAAAGTATAAAAGTCTTTTTAATTTTATTATTTATAGTATTAAGAAAATAAATAAGTATTATTCTTTTTATATTTTTAAGGATTTTAAAAAGTGTCTTTTATTTACTATTAATTTATTATATTATTTAAGATATATATAATTAAATAAATCTTATTATAATATTTAAGGTCTTACTGCTAATTAGCTTAACTAAGTATTTACTTAATATTTTTATTTAAAAGAAAAGCTTAAATCTGCTAAGAATGCTTTTATTAAGGTAGCTATAAAG